GTGTCATTAGCACTTCAAAGCAGTTGGTGGATGACGCTATGACGGAGCTTCAGCACAGCTTCAACAGTCGTGGGCTTGAGCTCCACGGCAGTGAGGTGACTGAGAATTATGTCGAAGCACTTGGCTGTGTTCTGCAGGGAAAAAGGATGCTGAGCAGGTGCAATCCAAAACGTCTATGGCGGGTTCACCATGCGATCAAGGCTTTGCTGAACAGAGGGAGATGCAGTGGTAAAGCCCTTGAAGTGGTGATTGGTCATTGCACTTTCCTTGGCTTGATTTGCAGACCTAGCCTGTCCTGTTTTCATGCTGTCTACGGATTCATCAAGCGTTTCTATGATGAAGTGGCAACCATCTGGGAAACAGTGATAAAGGAGCTCAGGACGTTTATGGGCATCTCATTTCTGCTGGTTCAGGATTGGTGGAGACCGTGGAACAGACTTGTAACTTCTTCGGATAGTTCACTGGTTGGCTATGGTGCATGCAAGAGCTGGTGGCCGCAAGCTTTGGTTGCTGAAGTTGGAAGAGTGCAGGAGAGAAGCAGGTTCAAACGAAATGCCAGTCATTCAGCGCGAGAGTCAGCTCTTACGCAAGCAGGGTTTCACATGCAGGGTAGCTCATGGACTTTGATGGATGAAAAGATGTTGGGAGAGCTTGCTGAGTCAGGTTGGTCAGTCAATGCAGATTTTCCTGAAGTCCCATCTGGTTCCTTGAAGCGGCATCTGTGGACACCTGTGTTTTGGGGGAAGTGGAATCACCCTGAAAAGATTGGCATCCTTGAAGCTAGAGCTGTTTTGAAATCTTTGCAACGGCTGTGCTTGACACGATATGGTCATGATATCCGTCATCTGCATCTGTGTGATAACTTGGGCATAGTCCTTAGTGTTGAGAGATGTAGGTCTAAAAGTTTTAAGATTCTCAAAATAATTCGTAATATAGCTGCCTATTGTTTAAGCCGGAATGTTCACTTGAGTGTGAGATGGATACCAAGTGAGTTGAATGCGTCGGATGAGCCTTCTCACATTTGTGACCCTGAAGAGTCAAAGCTGTTGTTGGACTTGGTTCGTGCTGTTGATTTTGATTTTTTTTCTCCTCAAACACGGAACCCCCCACATGGCGCCGAAACCTCGGCAACGCAGATTGACACTGCCACAGCAGACTGCACAGAGCAAGCTGCAGCATGCGCCAGCCAGTCGGAAGAGGCAGCTGTCGCTTGGAGTAGAGGTCAGTCCAAAAGCCAAGGTGAGGCCAGTGCGGGTTCGTGGTCTCAGCACGGATCATATTTCAAAGCTTCTGACAGCCAACAAGGTGCTAGGCTTGCAGCTGCCTCGCACCGACCAGGAGCTGGAGACAATGCACGAGGACAGTCCAAAATGCCAAGAGGAGGAGACCGAGAGTGGAAGCACTTCATCAGAATGGAGGGTAGAAAGAAAAGGAGAGAGCAGACGCACACTGCGAAAGAGACAAAGAAAGCCGCTGCGAGCCAAGGTGGACAAGCTTATGAACCAGACTCCAACAGGTATGACTATGTTGGAGGCAGCTTCAGTTGGCCCCCGGGCTCGCGAGCAGTACAACAAGAGATGGGAGGAGTTACAGACCTTTGCCAGACAGAAGGGTGTGTCCTTCAGCAATGCCAAGTCAGTAGACATCATGTTGGTAGACCTCTTCACGCAGAAGTTTTCAGAAGGAGAAGGCCCTCACTATGGGGACTACATGATGGCGGCGTTGATGGATCGAAGACCAGAGTTCAGTCGCCTCGGAGACCTCAAAGCTCCGAGAGCTTGGAGGGCTTTGAAGGGATGGAGAAAGTTGTGTCCACCTCGCTCGAGGCTTGCCTTCCCCCTTGCAGTATGGTGTGGCCTGAGTTGGCGGATGGTTGTACATGGGCAAGCAGCTATGGCCCTTTTCAACCTACTTCAGGTCTCAACCTATCATCGCCCTGGCAGTCTTTTGAAGCTACGGAGGATGGGGCTGGTAAAGCCCACTGCTGGGATTACCTCAACGAGGCGGAGGACACATCGAAAGTGGGATCCAAGGACGACAGTATCCTGCTGGACTCTCAGTGGCTGCAGTTTGCCCATCCTTTGCTTGCAGGGCTTTCGAAGGGAAAACCGATGGACTATGTCTGGGAGTTCAGCTACCCAGAATACCTGAAGATCTTCAACACATGTGTGCGAAGGAGCTCAAACTCCCTGTGGTGCCGTATCAGGCTCGCCACTCAGGGCCCAGCATCGACCGGGCCAACAAGGTGAGAGATCTGGAAGAAGTGCAGACACGAGGTGGATGGTTGACGAGAAAGAGTGTGATGAGATACGAGAAGGCGGGGCGACTGGCAGCCAGCTGGCACAAGCTGGGCCCATCTGTCCAGTCAACGTGCAAAAGTGCGGAGCGATACATCGACAGCATCATGCTAGGCCACGCCTATCCAGACATTCCACTGCCTTTGTGAGACATCACCGGGGCTATCTGGCAGACTTCTTTGCTGGTACTGGAGGCGTTTCCAGAGCTGCTGGTTCTTTGGGCTTCAGCACTCGTGAGTGGGAACTTTTGCACTGTCCTGATCACGATCTCACAAAACCATTGGTCCAGTTCAAGATTAAACATGACATTGAGAAAGGTATCTTGTTGGCTGCTATGCTTGCTCCACCATGTTCCTCTTTTTCTCAAGCTCGTGACAGGACTATGGTAGTCAGAGACCGTTTACACCCTTGGGGTCTTGATGACCTTCCTTTGCATGAAAGGGAGAAGGTAGAGGTTGGCAATGCTTGTTTTCGAGCCACCTTCAAAATCATCAAATGGTTGGACAAACACCATATTCCTTGGATTTTGGAGAACCCTTCAACCAGTAAAAAGCTTGGTATTTGCCTCCAATGATTGACTTGGAGAGTGCCGACCACACCGTCTCTATCATCACTGACTTCTGCCAGTTCGGCACCAAATGGAGGAAGCGCACTAAACTTTTAGTGGGTAACATGTATGAGGACGACATCGCGAGATGCAGCCGACTATGTGCTGGCCCCCCAGGCTACTGCAGCAGAACAGTCAAAAAACACCAACAACTCACAGGCAGCACTCGCAATGGAGTCCCCTGGACACGGGTAGCACAACCTTACCCCAAACAACTTTGCCATCACCTGGCGTACTCCTTGCTGTGCAGATACATTGTTCCAGCAACTTAACACCGTGTCCTGGGTTACACACAAGCAATGACCCTACCCCTCCCCCCTTCTTTTTCTTTTGTTTCCCTCTTTTTTCGGTGAACAATGTTTTTGACTTGGGTCAAGAAGTGCTTCATCCATTCCTCCAAGTAGCATCATGGCTGGCACCTTTCTAGCGATTTAGCATTGATTTGGGAATTGCACTGCCGATCAAATTGTGATCTTGGTGCAGAGTGTTTCCAAAGCCAACTCACTGGCTCGCTTGCTTTGACGATGCTTTGATCTTACTAGAAGTGTGCCGCCAGAAAAGAGTGATGCATTGCAGTGTCAATGATTTCTTAATTATAGCCAGTCTTAATTTTTTCGAAACTTCCGCCCCGGCACCGGGCACTACCTGGTAACCAGGGATATAACTTCCCACTTAGTAAGTGGGATGGGCCACCAAGTATGGCTGATGAACACCATCCGCAGGTTTGGTGAAATCGCTGGTTTCAGCTTAGCAACTGCCGAGCTTTGCCCAAGGGCGGTGAGCAGAATGACCTGGAAAATCATCTGCATGACCTCGAAACCGTCGATCATCGTCGATCTATCAAGCTTGTTGACGCTTGAAACCACCAAAAAACAAGACGTCCGCCACTAGGGAGGACCAGTTGAGTCCAGTTGAGAGATTCCAGAGCGAAAATTCCTGGTTTCATGCGTGCTCTCTGCAAGCGGCGCTTGCAACCATACCTTTGAGCCGCGAAAAGTTGACTGAGACCCCGGCCACCAAATCACAACGATGTTCGAGCTACACTGATCTTCGATCAGCACACAATTGTTAGATCCAAAATGATCTGAAATGTCACGACAGAGGTAAAGATGTGCACCGGGTTGGAAGGACTCAGTCTTCTTGGAAAACCTGAAAAAGAAAACACCTAGATGATTACTGATTGTGTTCTGGTGACTCGTCTCCTTGCTCGCAAGGAATCTGAATGACGTGGAGTGATGACAGCCATTGGTTACAGCCTGCTTGGCTTGAACTTACTATCTTTGGCATCTAGGCCACATCTTCCTCGCATTGGAATCTCCATCCAACTTGAGTCTGGCTTTGGTGCGGCGGCAAAATTCTTTTCCACACTGCGCAGCTGACATGCCAAGACAAGCAGCCCAAAATCATCAAGACAGGATCCTCTTCGGCAGAGAAAAACAGGGTCAGGCAATATCTCAAGATCAGAATCCGATCTGCCATTCCCTGAGCTGCAGAAGAGACAGCTCCGTGCAAGAGATCGCTAGCTCTGCAGCAATCAGCAGCAACAGCAACGAAATAAGAATTCGACCTACTCACCGATCCCCATTTTCGAGCCGGAAGGCTCTCAAAGGAAGATTGGATGTTTCAAGTGGAGGAAGCAACTCACACATTGTCTGACAAGGAAACTACGTCACGGATGGGATGGAGCCGCGCTAGACTCACATGCGTTTTTTGGGACTCGACCCGAAACTGTCTTTGCAGAAAAGGCTCCTGGAACCGCGATTCAGATTCAAAAACTGTTGTAAAGTGTTGTAAACCATCTGATTGTCAACAAAGCCAATGATTTCACTAGATGTTTTCTATCCTTCTACTATAATCTACTATACGGATAGGGGCCGGCAGAGGCTTCAACCGGGTTCTATTCTATCAAAGTATCCAGACGTCTCTTGTGGATTGCATGCAAACGCCGCAGTGGTGGTGCAGTGTCAATCAAGAAACATGTTCCAACTCGTGATCCGTTCAGAAATGGATTGTGTTTCAACATGATATAATGATAATAATAATAGATAATGTAATAATAATAGATAATAATTAATAATAATAATGGATATGAATATGATATCCAAGTTGTGGTGCTTCCCAACAAAAAATAACACGTCACAGGGCGCAACTCTGCTTCGCAGAGTTCGCTGCATTGTTGTGTCCCATGGCTCGTTATGCCTCGAGCGACTTAGCTTCGCTCCACAACGACCATGGCCGTGAGCAACGCGGCAAGTCCTTGGGAAACTGGCCGCCAAGACCCGGAAGGTGCGGGGATGAGACCTGCTTGATGCATAGAGATGCCACTTTAAAAATGCCAGACTGGTTGAAGGGGAACTGTTGTGTTTTCCGAACGGGAAGCATATGGCATATTGTGAAATGTCAAAGCGCAGAAATTTAGGGCTGCAAAGTTCTGCAAAACTAATAGCGCTGGATACGAGAATGAGAAGCTCCACTATAGCCAGACGAGTTGCCGCGCAGCACCTGGTCACGAAGACCAACCCGACTTGTTAAAACCGAAGGTTGGCCGCAATTACAGCGTTTGAGACTCAGGGGGTCAAAAGTTTGATGAAAGTTTGGTCGGTGTCAGGATTCGTCCATTGGTCCTGCTTTCTATGTCTCCCGGTTTTTCAAAAAACTGAGCGCATCGCCCTTGCGCCCGAGGTCTCCTCCACCTGCCTGCTGCGATCGGGGATGAAACTGGGGATGATTTGTTGGGGCCACAGAAGTTGGGATATATGGGATATGAACAACTGTGTATGTGATATATGGGATATATATGGATAGTACAATAATATATACAATAATATATGGGATATATGTAGTATATGTTGCGGCTGATTTATCGTCAGTGACTCATTTCTGGGCTGGTGGCTAGGCTACCCACTGTAGAAAATATGCGTCACTTGAAGGTCATCCATGTTCGACGGAGTGTGAATTTCACACAGGATAGTAGTAGAGGCTAGACACAACATACCACATCATGAAGCTGTACCAAAGCAGCTTGCCACAATTATCATGATTGATCAGGAAAAATGCGCTGCTTCATTTCGGATTGCCTAGACATGCTCTGAGTATCTCTGAGTCTCAAGATGTGTCAAAGGCGGCCACTTTCACATATCTTCTACGTCTGTCCGCCCCATCCCCTCGCGCGTTTGCGTCGTGCCCGCAGTCGTACTGACCTCAAGTGAGGAGTGTTTCTCCAACCACAAGCCCTGATTAACTGTTCTTTCATGCTTGGACAGGAATCGAACGTGATTCGTATCTTCGTAGTTGATATATTTCCCACTCTTGGGGCGGCATCCAATTAGATCTGTGGAAAATAGACACACATTGAACATGATTTACAAGTTACGAACTCAGATGCGCATCTCAGCACGGAGATACCACCAACATCCTCCAACCCTCTGCACAATGTTCCCCGATGTGCATACTAAACCACTGGCAGCACCGGACATCAATGGACATGTCTCTTCACCCGCGCGCCTGCGCAGATGTTGACGAAGCATCTGTCGTTGAAGCAGCGCTTGATCCCGACGTGGCCGTTGTGGCCGTTGTGGCCGCAGTTGTCGATGGCGCTCGGGTGGTGATTCCAGCCTGGCAAGTGAAGACACAAAAACCTGCACTTAAAAGGCCCCAAGAAACAAAATCTATACATATATATATATATGTATATATATGTGTGTGTGTGTCTATAACGTATCTATGATGTTTTTTACTTCTTGATATGTATAATGTATATATATATGTGTGTATATATATATAGGATATTATAAGATTGTATATATATATATGTATAATCTATAATGATATCATTGCTGTGATCACTTGGCAAGACTTCGATAGACCTCAGCTACAAACCAAAGAAGTGCATTTTTCTTGGTACACAAAATACGGTTTCCCAGAAGAAAAACAAAGAAGGCTTAGCTGATCTATCCCCTTCTATCGTATTATATCCCCACTAAATCCCCTCAGATCCCAAGTAAATCCGCATTTAGTCCATCCCGATGTTCGTTGATTATTGCTGGTTGTATCCCCATCAATATCCTCATGTTCCTTGGTGAACCTTTCCATTGAACTTGATTTAGATCTACTCACCCTCCAGTAAATTAACATAGAGCCTGGCAGATGGTTGGAATATGTTCCATTAAAAATTGGTGATTTTCAAGGTCTATCTTGATTTACCAGAGGCTAATTCTCATTGATCACCATGATATCACCATTATATCCCCACCAATCACCATTAAATCACCATCAAATCATCTTGAACAGTGTTCAAAATCCCTCTCTCATTCCATTTAGTCCTGGTTGGTTAAGAACGGTTTTTATCCCCAATATATGAAGGGTAGTATAATCCTCTATAATCATCAACCAACAGGGGGTTTGAACACTACTAACTATATAATCAGCATTAAATCACCATTTCAGGGTCTATCTTAATGTGGTAAAAACAAAAATAAACCACCCATTTGGGAATGATTTGCACCACCTATTTAGGGTGATTTGGGGGATGGTTTATGGCATTGTTTTACCCATCTTATTCCAGGGTCTATCTTTTATGGGGGTTTCCTAAAATAGGGGTACCCCCAAATCATCATCCATTTTAGGTAGGATTTTCCCTTATAAACCATCCAGCTATTGGGGGATCCCCATGGAAACCCCCATATTTCTTTCTTTGGAATCTTTTCACCTGACCTTCTCATTCCTCTGCTCCACAGCCGCTTCGCTTCGACTGTGCAAGGTCGCCGTGGAGATCTCTAGGTTCACACCAGCCTAGCCGTTGCCCCGATCTCCGTTACCCGTTAAGGGAGCCATGGTTTTCTTGGGAAAATCTTAAGCGGAAACCTGCAGGTTTTTACTATCAAATATATAGGGGCTTGCGGTTTCAATTTCCCCATCATCCAATTCTATGTTAAGGTTGATAGATGGTGAAAATCCGTATATTCTTGTTGGTGAAGATCTGGGCGAAATGGTCGTTTTTGGCTGAAAACCAAGAAAACCAGATCGGGAGTTCGCCCAGATCTTCACCAACACTTATATAAATGGGATTCAACCAATCAAACACTGGGAATGTCCTATAGAGAGATCATGGGTGCCATTTCATGGGGATAGTGGATCGGTGGGATATTGTCTTCACTTGATAACCAATTGGGATCTTCAAGATCCGCAATGTCATTGTTCAGAACAGAATTCCCAGTTTATGGAGTATTCAAATCTATGATGATCATATAATCCCCTATATACTATATATCAAGGGTAGATAGGGAGTATCACCCCCGAACTATATCAACCAACAGGAGGCTTTTGAACACCGAACAATCAGATGGGTGTACTTCCCTAAAATGACATCAATATTGAAGCAGGAAATCCGCAATTAGAAGATATTAGAAGATCATGTGTGGATGGTTTGTTGAAATGGCGAACTTGTCCAGTGGCTTGGCATCTTAGGTTGCAGATGGCTTAATCAGTGGTGATGTGTCTTATCAGCTTTGAATGGTACAAAAGCTACAGCACCCAACAACTGCCTACCCCAGAACGGCCACCCTCCAAGACACCTTTGAATCAATCACTCCAGCAAGGCTCACAGCCTAGGGCTGAGAGAAATCCACATCCCACAAGCACGAGTTCATGACAGAAAGCATGATACCACCAGTTGCAAGGTACAGTAGGGGGCGGTTAGTAAGCGGGGTGGCCAAATTTCTATGTTTTGTGTTTGAATCCGCATGATTCTTGGGGGTTAAATCCCCATTGATTGACGCCTAAGCGACAATTTTTGGCATGTAAACCTTCATGTTTGGTATTCCAATGATTCGAATTCCCCCAGAAAAAATGGAACAACTTGAAAAACCAAACGTTTATCACACCAAAATTCCAGACCCCTGCCATGGCACGTTGGTCAGGGCCGGACTGCTGCTCTTCACCATCTTCTTCAATTCCTCGCAGACCTGCCCTGGACTCACCGATGAGGAAATTCCTGCAGGATGGATCGATGGATCGAAAAAAACCCATGGGAATCGCCACGTGAACGCTGGGATTTAAGGATCTCAATGGATGTCTACCCAAGCTGGGAAATCCCCCAGCTTGCAGCATGCTGCCATGGGAAAATCAGCGAAGCAAATACAGAAATCTTCTGGTCATGTTTGATTACCAGGATGTAGCCGATTTGGGGGTGAACCCGCCATCAGGTACCCCGGGAAAGACACAACTGACATCAACTGACTCTATGGCGAGTACCCCGCTGCTGATGTCAAATGACGCGAGGTCCTAGAAAAATGACTCGAGTTTTAGAGATCAACCTGTCAACAGGAAAGAACACGGCCTCGAGAAGATTTCTGTTCTCAAACACGGCAACAAACACGAAGAGTCTACCACTCTAAAAGTTCGTGTCACCAGCTCCAGCGGCCTTGATTGTCAATGTTGAAGATCATGGTGGCTGCGGCTGTACTCAGTTTTCGACTGAGTTTTCGATTCCTCTCCAAGCGGCCTCAAGAAACCATCACAAGTCACAACCTGTTGGCCGATCCTCAAAACGCAGATGCGAATCACAGGGACTTCCGTCACTCTGACGCCATTCTTTCCAGTCAAGATGCGTGATGTCGATGACTTAATGGTGAGAGTGCTCTTGAAACCGCCCGGCATTTGGAGTGCCTGCAATGAATCATACATGATCATGGAATCATGTTGTGCCTTGCCATGCAAAACATCTGGGATAAAATGATCTATCCTTCTCAAAGAGCTTGGGAGCTACAGTCATGTCTGTCATTCGGGAGACACAATGCTTCATATGTGCAACTGAAAAAACCTCCGTGGATCTGTTGGTTTGTAACCCTCATGAACTAGTTCAATATATCTAAAGCCAGTTGATGGAGCTATATCAGTTGGAGTTCTATCAACTTAGCTACTCCCATACCTCCCAAAAAATCCCGTGAAAAATCACCATAACTTTGCGGGTTGAATCCCATGACGGCCCGAGGGTACACTGTTCATCTTCGCTCGGACAGTCTCGGCTTTGGAGACAGCATCTGATCCTCGACTGCCGGGTTCTCCGGTTTTGAAACGGTTTCGAAATGCTGTGGAAAAATGGAACGATGGCAGTAGTTCCATGTAGTTCATGAACATAATACATATATCAGATGTGTATCATGTATCATGTATTTATACATATATAGAAATTGGATAAATCAACACATCAACACATGCAGAAAATGCAACACTTGGCATTTCGCAGCAGAGCCTTTTGTCCGTTTCAACACCGCGCCAAGCCGCGCAAGCTCGACATGGTGATGATGGCGCTGCAGGTCTCCCTCTGAGCAGTCTGAGTTGTGCTCATACGGCGGCTGCTCAAACGACGGCCTCCGGAAGTGGCAGCATACCTAGGCGCTGGTCGGCTCAGATCCAATGGCTGAAGGATTCACCACATTCACCCATCCATCAACCAACAGATTTTGGGCATCACCCAAATCATTGTGGTTGGTTTTTTAATCATAATCATATATCTATCCCATGAATTCCCATGATATCCCCACTAAATCGGATCAAATCCCGATTCTTCATCGTTAAATCAACACCAAAAATCCACAAAAATCCCAGGCGCTTGTTGACGCAAGTGGTATCCACTGCGATCACCGCTCCCGATGGGCAGCGCTTCATTCCCTCGCCCACGCCGCAGGTCGCATTCTCACTGATGCATGTGACCTGGCTTTCTGCTGACACGAGAAGTGGAACTATACAACCAATTGGAAAATCCCCAAGAAAATATGAGGACAATATGGGGATCATATGAGATACAGTGGCGATTTATTGGAATATTTTTCTTCAACAAATGGAAACTGAAAGGAAAATCCCCAAGAAAATTCTGGTTGGGTAGTGGGAATCCCATAAAGAATTAGTCACCTAATTCTGAAAATAGTGATTGGTATAAACCCCTTATGGCCCCATGGTCATGACAGTATGACCCGATTCACGGCAATGCAACAAACCCCCCTTGACCGCAGACATGGTGCAGTCTCAGATTTGAAATTTCCCTTGTCATCCAGGTTGATCTGCACGCAAGTCTGTTGGCCTCACATTTCGCATCTTCTTGCTGTTGTACTGTCGTTGTTTATCAAATATCGAAGCTCGAGTGAAAAGGCAATTTAATGATAGTCACCGACTTTCTTCAGTCCTGGAATTCAAGTTTAGAGTGTGCTTACATGGAATCAAACATTAGAAATGGCGCTAGCTGCAGTGATTTGTATCAAGAACGCATCTTTGCACTTCTTCTGAACCGAGGTCAACAACATCACTGCGTTCAGTGCTTCCGGTTTCCCCCTAAAGTTTTCCCATTGCCAGATTAAATACCATTGGTCCCCCGCCCGGCCGCCCCAACGGCCTGCAACGATGGCATCAACGGTACAAGGCTCGGGGCACTTCTTGTGATTGTGGCTGGGAACACACTCTTTCTTCAGCACCTCGAACCATGGAAAAGCCAGTCATTGGATGCGGGGATGAATGGCATATCAGGGGGTTGACTCTGTATGTTGCTGTATGTTACGATATCACTATGATTCAGCACTGGAATTATCACGTATGTCATATGTTGCTGTATGTTGCTGTATCACCTATATATATCACTGTGATTCAGAACTGGAATGATCACTGGTTTGTTGCTGAACAGTGATATCACTGCTGTTGCTGCAATGAAGAGTGTTCATTACCAAGCCCATCTGCAGTACCCGAACCCCCCTCTTGGTGCAATTCGTGTGCTGCAACCTATTGATTTCACATTTCAATCATCTCACAATTCAGGAAAACACACTTAAGTGACTTAGCTCCTGAAAATCACCAGTTCAGCCCCATCTTCCCTTATGACATCTTATGACCATTCATCATCCTCCGGTGCCAAGTCACATCGTTGGGATCAGGGCAGCTGATGGTGTTCTTTCCACACGGACAGGCGGTGCCATCCTTGACGCATTGCGTGGAGAAGCCCGTCACCACGCCATTCTTGTCATAGTCCGCCACATTGCAAGACGTCTCGGATCCCTCCAAAAGCCATAAAATGGGGTTCATTGAACCTCTATTCATGGCTATATGATGGGGTGTGTATGTGTGTATGTATATATATAATTAATGTATATATACGTGTACACACACACACATATATATATATATACGTATATATATATATACGTATATATATATATATATATACATATATATATGTATATATATGTACAAGTATATATATACACATATATATATGTGTATATACATATGTGTATATATATATATATGTATGTATATACATATACACATATACATATATATATACTCACCCGTATGAGTGGATGGATGAGCAAGAAACTCTACTTCTTAGCTGCAAAAAAAACACGTCAACATGGTCACTCCCAGATCTCAAAGCAAATCACCTATCTATGGCTAATCTCAAGGGCCAAACACCGAGTTTCAGCAATGCAACCTCATCAAAATTGGGTACCCCAAACCTAGGCTTGTTAGTACACAAACCAAATATCTCTGGCAGTTTCAGATGTTCGGCCTTGCAGGGACAGACCAGTTCCTTTTCGGCCAGGGGCAGGCATAGGTCGCTGTTGTCACACCTCGGGTCTAGGGACAATCAGTGTCACTGTCACTAAGAAACATCCAATGTTTAGTTGGGATGGTTGGTAGAATGTGAGGCCCCCCCAGTTATAAGTTAGTTTATAAGCCCCAGTAACTATAGTTATAAGTACCATAAACCATAGTTATTGGAGTTATAAATCAACTTCAAACCATCAACAACAACCAGCATGCAGACGCGCCTGTGACTTCGTGGTTCTTCGCGACGGCAGCGGCCCATGGGATTTCGGGGTCATCTCATCCGAAACCCGAAAAAAACTTGACATTTTTTCGGGGGATTCTATCCATGTACAAAACCCATGGATTTCGCCATGGAAAAACCGCCCAAAAAAAAGGTCGTTCCTAAATGGATGTCCCTTTGGATGCGAAGTTTCATGACACTATCACTGTCTCACCATGTTTGAATTTGGCAAATCACCGAACTACATGGGCCATCTCTAACATATAGCTAGAAATATAGCTATAACGATTACATGACCAAAGGGCACATTGATCTCAGCAAAACAAACACCATGACTTTCGATGATTGTTGTTTGGGTCATGACTTAAGGAACACCTTGCGATTCATACACCCCTTACTAACCATGATGTATCCCCAACGTGTAACCATGGTTAATTCCAGAGTTACTCGTAAGTCTTAGGGGGTCGGCACCGGATCCTTTTTTTCACCCAGATGCTTGGCCGTGTTCTTACCGCATTGGCACGTGTCCTTCTTGGGAACCTGCAGAGAAACGACATGATGCCCTCTGGTTATCTAACAGTTGGCGGGGTGGAACATCACCATGTTTAAGAGGTATGATATACGGTAACTACATTTAATATACCTCCGGGGCCTCGCGGTCTGGCCCGCCCTCCACATATTTAAATGTCGTGACCGTATATATATATATTGTTTTTATAAATCATCTCTAAAGGGGCCATGTTCCACAGCTATGTCATATAACCGGAGGGTATCTTGTTTGGAAAAAAAGAAGCAACTTGCATGTTGGTATGATATGTATGATGTTATGCATAGTGATTCCCAAAAAGATAGAAAGTGAGTTCCCCTTCAAAGTGTGATCAAATACTTTTACGTATGCGCGCATGTATCTGCGTATCTATCCATGTGCCGGTGTACCTATATACATATGCAAATGTGTATGTCATATGCATAGTACATAGATATGGATGATATGGGGGGTTCTTAAAATATGGGATCCCCAAGTCACCATGGCTTTCAATACTAAGTCATGTTGTCTATGTGCAACTGGAAACATGAAACATCAGCTAGGCTCAGGCGAGAGGCACAGAACTCCTGGTCGCTGATCAAGACGCCTCCCTCGGTGAAGTCTGACACATAGCCTGAGGCAACTGTGCTTCGAGCCAGCATGGCAGTTGGGAAATTTCGTGTACAAACACGGGATGGATGTACAAACTGGGTGTCCTCAGAGAAAAAAAACGGTGCAAAGCAGCGATCAGTGATCCATAGTTATCCTTTTAACACTTAGCGATCTCCTCTTCTGTTCGACAGCTCCATGTGCTAAAGCGCTGAAGCCAAGAATCTATGGAATTCTTGCCGAACCATGAGAGGATTTGGATTTGCCAAGCTAATAGGAAATCCTAGTTCATGGATTACGATAATCCCCCATATAGTGGGTAGTAATGGTTTGTACAATCCCCCGAACTCATCATTAACCAACCAGGGTTTTTGAACATTGCTCATATGGCCTAGCTAAGCAGCATTTCTTTTCATTCGCTCCACATTCGGCGGCGCATCCTTCGTCCTTGAAGATGCAGCCCTGATTTGGGCAGCGCGAAGCCTCCTTGCTGCCTGACAAAGATTAGATAGGGAGAAGCTTCAACTTCTTGACCAACAGCAAGGAGCCCCCCAGTTTTTTCAGCTGGCCTAAAACCCCAACTATAGAATCAAACATATTCAGACTGATTCGGATATATCCCGCATGAGTCTTAGTTCGGCGGCACCAACCAACTTACCCTGGGACGGAAAATCGTTCGGCAGTGGCCCCTGGGCTCCCCGACAGGGGCATTTATCGTAGCTTGCAGCGCATTTCACCGAAGGTTGAACCAATCCCAAGGAGGTGCCGTTGGGCAGGTAGTCTTCGACCATGTCACACGCGACTTCACCCTGGTAGCTGCTGGCAGCTGGTTTGGACGATAACCATGAAAAATCGTGATATTGCGGGATTATAGATGATTCTAAATGGATATAATCGAAGGAAGTTTCGAAGTCAAACTTCCGACAATATGGACAGATGAAAAGCAGAGATGGGAAGAGTCAGAGAGAAGAGAAAAGTAGAAGAGAGAAGATCAGAGAGGAGAAACGCGAAAAGGTAAGAAAGTCGCGAAACACTGTGTTTTTCAAATGATTTGTGGCTCCGGAGGGTCGAAAAGGTAGGCTCGCTAAAGTGGCGGGTGCGGAGCCATCTGGCCAGATGAGCGATGAAAAATTGCACGCCGTTGTGGCGCGAAGCACATTTTCAAGTCAGTCAAGATAGACAGACAGACAGACAGACAGACAGACAGCCAGGCAGGCAGGCAGACAGACAGACAGAACAGAACAGGCAGGCAGGACAGCCAGGACAGACAGGACAGGCAGGACAGACAGGACAGACAGGACAGACAGGACAGACAGGACAGACAGGACAGACAGGACAGACAGGACAGACAGGACAGACAGGACAGACAGGACAGACAGGACAGACAGGACAGACAGGACAGACAGGACAGACAGGACAGACAGGACAGACAGACAGACAGGACAGACAGACAGACAGAGAGAGAGAGAGATAAATAGATAGCGATCGATCGATCGATCGATAGATAGATAGATAGGTAGATAGATAGATAGGTAGATAGATAGATAGACAGATAGATAGATAGCTAGGTAGATAGATAGATAGATAGATAGGTAATTAGATGTAAGAGAGAGAGAGAGAGATGGATGGATGGATGGATAGATAGATAGATCGATAGATCGATAGATCGATCGATCGATCGATAGATAGATAGATAGATACATAGATAGATAGGTAGGTAGGTAGGTAGGTAGATAGCCAGAGAAAGAGAGAGAAAGAGAGAGAAAGAGAGACAAAGAGAGACAAAGAGAGAGAAAGAGAGAGAAAGAGAGGAGACCTCAACCACCTTTCGGTCCATCAGTGGCTTGGCTCTGCCATCCGTGAGCGCAGCTTCGCCGTGAGCATAGCCGCTGCATCTTCTGCGATCCTGCGCGCCTTCGATCGCTGCTGTCGGCTGTAGAAGACACTTCAGTGGTGACAGTGCGTTTGCGGGTGCCTCGACTCAAAAGTATAGCAAATGCACTTGCAATTGTCCCAAGCAGATTTGCTTTTGTTCTCTGTCTGAACTTATCGCTGCTTGTTTGATCCAAGGACCTATCCGGCTCGCCTGCGTATGACCGGGCATTAAGTGCTTTGGAGCAAGTGGCCGGCCGCGCAGAAACAGACCATCTTCATTTGACGGCGCAGGCTCTGGACCACTTTTGGAATTTGAGGTGTCGAAAAAGTGCACGCCGTCGTGGCGCGAAGCACATTTCCAAGTCAAAATGTATAAAACACTTCAGCATTGGAGCACTTTTAGAAGTTGCGATGTCGAAAAAGTGCACGCCGTTCTGGCGCGAAGCACATTTCGAAGTCAAAATGTACAAAACACCTCAGCTCCGGACCACTTTTGGACGTTCAGATGTCGTTTCGCGTGGCAGGCACAAGGGATTGTGCACTTTCTCAAAGTCAGCAAAACGTGAGGGTTCTGTAGCATTTCCAAAAACGATGGCAGGCGTGGGACACTTGAAGAGGATCTGCAAAGATGCATTTCGCGTGGTAGGCGCAGTACAAAAGACATGTTCATCAGAGATGTTAGCTGGTCAGGGCGCTGATTTCCTGAGAGGGGTTGCATTTTGGAGCATCAGATTTATAGATTTGCTAAGATGATTTTGCGTGACAGGTGCAGCACTTCGTATGACCTGTCCTCAATTTTTCGTGGCAGGCGCAGTACTTTGGACAGGAGGAGTGGAAAAATCGCAAAACATATTGGCACGAGGCCGTCAGCGCTGCACTCAACTTTCAATTTTTGAAGGAAATCTCGCAGAATTGTTTTGTTTTTGATGTTAGCAAATTCAATACTTGAAGAAGTCTCGCAGAACTAATTTGTTTTTGATGTTGTCCAATTCAAAAAACGAAGAAGTCTCGCAGAATTGCTTCGTTTTGGATGTTGTTAAGTTCAAAAAATGAAGAAGTCTCGCAGAATTGCTGCGTTTTTGATGTTGTCAACTTCGAAAAATGAGGAAGACTCGCAGAATAGCTTGGTTTTCAAGCTGGCAGATTGACAGGTACATAGATAAAGAGACAGACAGACAGAGAGATAGATAGAAAGATAGGTAGATGGGTAGATAGCTAGATATACAGTTAGATAGACAGATGAGATAGATAGATAGCTAGATAGGTAGATGGATAGATAGATGGATAGATAAATAAATGCATGCATAGACAGATAGATAGCTATATAGATAGATAGACAGATAGATAGATAGATTGATTGATTTGATTAGAATAGATTAGATAGATAGATCGATCGATCGATAGATCGATCGATTGATAGATAGATAGATAAATAGATAGATAGATAGATCGATAGATAGATAGATATCTAGATAGGTAGATAGATAGATTGATTGATCAATAGATCGATAGATAGATAGATAGATAGACAGATAGATAGATAGATAGGTAGGTAGGTAGATAGATAGATAGATAGAATAGATGGATAGATTGCTATCTAGGTAGATAGATAGATTGATTGATTGATTGATAGATTGATAGATAGAATAGATAGATAGAATAGATAGATAGAATAGATAGAATAGATAGAATAGATAGAATAGATACGATAGATAGAATAGAAAGAATAGATAGAATAGATAGAATAGATAGAATAGATGGATAGGTGGATAGGTGGATAGGATGGATAGATGGATAGATGGATAGATGGATAGATGGATAGCTAGATAGATAGATAGATAGATAGGTAGGTAGATAGATAGATAGATAGAATAGATGGATAGATGGATAGATGGCTATCTAGGTAGATAGATAGATAGATTGATTGATAGATAGATAGATAGAATAGATAGAATAGATAGAAAAGATAGAAAAGATACGATAGATAGAATAGATAGAATAGATAGAATAGATGGATAGGTGGATAGGTGGATAGGTGGATACGTGGATAGGTGGATAGGTGGATAGATGGATAGATGGATAGATGGATAGATGGATAGATGGGTAGATGGATAGATGGGTAGATGGATAGATGGATAGATGGATGGATGGATAGATAGACAGATAGATAGATAGGTAGATAGGTAGATAGGTAGATAGATAGATAGATAGGTAGGTAGATAGATAGATAGATAGACAGATAGTTAGATAGATAGATAGTTAGATAGACACATGAGAGAGAGAGATAGATAGATAGATAGATAGATAGATAGATAGATAGATAGATAGATAGATAGATGGATTGATAGATAGATAGATAGATCGGTAGGTAAGTAGGTAGATAATCAGAGAAAGAGAGAGAAAGAGAGAGAAAGAGAGCAAAAGAGAGAGAAAGAGTGAGAGAGATCAATCACCTTTCAGTCCATCAGTGGCTTCGCTCTGCCATCCCGGATTCACAACAACCAACCTCTCCTATAGGTTCCCTATTTTTGCAACTTCCGCCACGGCCTTGTGCGGTACTACTGGTATCAATATCAATAGATATCAATAGATCACAACGAGCAAACTTTTCTTGTGAAAATACCAGAAATGTGTCTTCAAAAAGAACATATATTTCATATATTCACCAAATCTGTTATTTGAAAAACATATAAAAACCCTTCGATCAGCCCAGCACGGAAAAGGACATCACCGAGCCGCTGTTGGGCAGTCACTTGGGCAATATCCGTTGTGGGTGGGCAGGCACTCCGTCCAAGATCCCCAGAGCCTCAGAGGAGTCGGGGCTTGGGTGGAAAAAAACACCTGCTTGGCACAGACATAGAATTCAAGTATATATATATAAGTATAATTAAGTATATAAGTATATAGTTAAATAGAAAATGCAAGCACAGGATAATCATAGAATCATAACATAAGATAATCATGTCTAGGGTTTTCAGAGTTCAAGTCAAACAGAATCAAGGAGCGGATCTGTCCAAGTGCAGGAGAATGCGTTTTGCCCCTTGGTGCAATCGCAAGCTTGGCCTTTTGGAACGCATTCCTCCTGGCCAGTATTCAACAATTCCAGGACAGTCAGCTATGGCTTTGTCTGAAACTAGGGACCCCTAGAATCCATGGTTATCATCATTTTCGCATTAAGATGGTACCTGCCTATTGAAAAACTTACTTTGCATGTCGTGGTGACTCTCTGAAACTCGTGAAGCTGCTACATTGCACATCCTCATGGCACCCAATCCGTACGCATGGGGCCCCACCGTTGTGCTGATCCAATTCCCCTTGGTGTCGAAGCTGGGAATGTAGCAGTAGTCTTGCTTGTCGGTGCAGTAGACTGGGCACTTCATCGGCTCATTGGTCCTCAGCACACTTGAGACCGTGAGTTTCACATGGAGCAAGTTTATCTTCTGCATGTGAAGGATGTAGAAAACTCATGCGCGGGCGTGTGCATCCCTGGGTTTTGTTTTGTCCTACTTTTAGTACCAACAATACAATGTAATGAAATACTACAAAGGCATTACAAAAATGGCATTAAAAGGCGCAACAGACTGTGGCCAAGCAGCCAGAAGTCAACCAAAGGATAGCAGAAGTTCTCTTCGAAGAGTGGATCATAGCATTCTTGAGAATTCGTTCCACAAGTGCAGGACCGAGTCTGCAAAAACATGCACAACATGCAGTACTTGACTCGCTTCTTACTGATCTTACTGAGTTCAAGACAACAAGAACACCTGCGAACTAGACAGCGAAGTGGGTTTGGTCGAGTAAACGTCTGGAGGTTTCCTGAAATGGGGCTACCCCATTTCATCCATTTGAAACCAGGATTTTCATGGATTTTCAGCTATTGGGGATGCAGAATGACGTCATGACTTAGGAACCCCAGCAGTTCTTTGGCCCGGCCTTTGCGACGCAGCTTTCGGAGAATTTCTCGGGATATCCGGAAGCGTTGAAGTCCGTGAGGTAGCCTTGGACGGTGATCTGCGGTAGAACATGGCCCTAACATGGCTCAAGGCCTTGGAATAAAAAAACATGACAAAACCCACGAAAACAATGGCAAATCAGTGGAAAACCAATGAAAAACAATGAAAAACCCGGCAAAAGCAGTGAAAATTATCTATGATAATTATCTATGATTCATGATTTCTCTAAGTCTCCATCAGGGCTATTCACCAAGGAACACCTCTTTTGATCTGAAGAGCAGGTGACCGGGCATGATTCAACTTCTGCAAAGCACCACTCCTGCGTGGCGCTTTTTTATTTCACCAACTGAGGATGGGTCCAGACCGTAGGTACTTCAAGCACTCCAAACATGGAATGGTTTAATATGGTTTAATAATATCCAAAGAATCGAACTGCTGATTCCTTTTGTCTGTCTAAAATCTGAACCCATACAGTATCATATATGTCCATAGATTTCCCCTGTTTGATAACTATGTAGTGGCACCAATCTACAGCCTGGGACACTGCTGCAATCTGCTGCAGTCGCACCAACCTTTGACCAGCTTCGCTTGTTTCAAACCCCAAAGTCGCTCCTCTTCATAGCCCCAATCATCTGTCCATTTGCATGGCTTGGCATTTGCACCACATGGGCAGGTGGCATTCAATTTTGCACAAGATTCTTGGACATTGGCATCTGGGTCCTTGGAAGCCACCAGTCACATGGCACTGAGAGATGTTACCTGGAGAAACCCTGGAAACGATGGTCTGTAAGAGCTGTGCATAGGACGTTAGTCTCAAGGTTTTCACATAATTCACTTGCCGACCTAGGCACATCCTCTGAGACCCCGCAGTGGGGACTGTCAATCCCTACTGTGCTTGATCTTGGGACATATGAAACAACTGAAGCTCTGGCGGTGACTTTGAAAGGTACTTTGGCCGAAAGCTTTGCACTGAGAGCCTAAGAGCTCAAAGCCTGCCTGCCGAAACCAGGCGTAATTTTCAACCTCTTTCAACCCTCCACTTACATTGCTGCTGGGCATCGTAAAGACCTCCAAAAGGGATCAAAAGGGCACAACTATGCACAACTCATTTGTGAGGCATTGGGATGTGCATGATGCAAGTGGTCCCTCCCCCAATAAACATTCACCTTGTGCTTCCTAGATGTCACCGGATGTCACCGGAAAGTAGACCAGCAGAGGTTGTTGACACTGTCCATGCGAGACAGATATGGCTATGTCCATGCAGGTCGCTCCCCAGCCTTCAGGCGTGTAGGACATTGGGTAGCAGTACTTTTCGTCCGCAGCGCAAGTCAATGGACAACCATAATATCTTGACTCGCAATACGACCAGCCATCAAAGGTGCCTTGGTGAAACAGCCAACATGGCTCCGGAATCCCGAGAATCCCGAGAATCCCCCACGAGGATTCGCGCCAAGACATCCAAGACACAGAGCTGGCTGTTCTCACCACAGGGGCACTCTTCGTCCTTTGGCGCGCACTTGTCTTTGCCACTCAGGTAGTTGCCTGTACGGGCAACCGCGATTTTCTCAGGGTCTTAACCCAACATTCACACTTAAATTTATGGCGAAAATTAGATTCTTAACCATGATCAACCAATGGAGATTTCAAGTGCTGTTGGAATTTTTCGTTTTTCAGGTGCCTTGGGTGTCGTAGTTGGAAACCCAGCAAGTCTGCTGTTCGGAGGTGCAAACCTCTGGGCATTCGTCCTCAGCTTTGCCGACTCTGACTTCTGAAACTTCTGAAACTCACCTGGCTCAATTCCATCATCTCAGGCCACGAAATCTGTCCATCCCATGGTGACCCAATCAACACCGATAAGCCCACGCGGTAACCGAGCTTCCGTCAAGGCCACGCACTCGGCGAAGTCGCCCGTTCCACAGGTCTTTGCCGTGGCCTCGTCGCAGAGCACAGGGCACCACCAGTCATCGTCACCTCAAATCATGGAAAAGCAGATAAAAAATGGTGCCTTAATGATGTTGAATGGGAGAATAACTGGGATTATAGGATTATGGATTATTATAATATACAAAAATAAAAAACGAATGATATTTAATGGAAGTATTACTGGGATTCTAGTGGCTATAATATCTATACTACAAAAAAAAAAACTCGGCTGAGGAAAGCGGCTTTCCCTGGTGTAGCAGTACTCTGTCCATGTCATCATACCCTGCGAGTCGAATCCCACGCGGTAGCACCAGTTCTCCGTGTCATAGTTGCACGTCAAAGGGCCTCAAATACGATATTTCTGAAAGAATGGATCGGAATGAAACTGTGGTGCTATGAGGTCATATATTGATCATCTTCAACCTGTAGCTATGCCACAAAGCACAAAAACTTTGTGTTGCGAAAGCTGTTGTCCCACTTCTACCCATCAGCGAAACGACTGTTGCAGCGACCAGCGGCAGGTCTCTCCATACCATTCCTTTGCATAGCACTCAGTCTTTCCTGCAGAGTCCTGCAGGAAGATGAAAAAATAGAGGGGGTTCCGAAAATGGGGACGCCAAAATCTTTCAGTAAAACAATTTTTTTTGGAGTCCCTCGTTTCAGAAATCTCTCAATCAATCATTTTGCAAAATTACGCTGTCTCACCCTGCAACGCTGATTTTGGGTTCCATCCGAAATCCATGATTATTCAACAGCATCATTTAATCATACATAGCCTAATCAATAGTTTAATCACAGCTTCATCATCTTCATCCATTTCTCTGAACTGACTTGCTTTGCATTTGTAACATCCATAGACCGGGAATGGGTGAAAGATAGAGAATCATAGCGAATAATATTATCTTATCATAAGCAAACTTGGTCGATTTGTATCTATAGACAGGGTCCTGGCAGGCGAGTTCGTCGGCTTCGCAGCTGCATCCGCTGTCAGTGGCACAGCTTGTATTGCCGGAGTAGTGCCAGCCTCACAGAGACCACACATGACCACAGGAACCGGCGCAAGCTGATCCAACTTGCCATCCATTGAAACCCAAAAAAACAGCCAAAAAACACAGCCTCCAATCTCAGATTGAATTGGATTCTAAGCACGGTTTCTCTCTTGATCTGGGTCAAACTTGTTGCAATCCCCAACTGTGAGTTATACGGATCCCAATCGGAGCAGCCGAGTTGCACGTGACAGCGTCACCACAGTCTACAGGGCAACTGTAAGACTTGCTTTCACACCAGGAGTAGCCGCTCGAATAGCCTGTCAGAGATCCAGGTGAAGACGTGAAGCACCATGGCAACAAAAAATGGCCCTCGAGGCCGAAAACGAATGGTTTTTCTGCTGTTTTTGTTGAAGATTGCATTACAACTCAAGAACAGAACCATCTTTTCTGGGCCTCTACTAGTACAGTATGAATAAAAACACTGTAACGAAGTTGGCAACTTCTGTCGCTTTTGCAATGGTGTTCAAGTTTGAAGGACCACCAACTTTCACCGTTGTCATGTTGCATCACCAAGCATGATGGGTCAAATTACAACATACCAAATAGACATGATGGAAATGGCAAACATTACAAATCATTATTGTTGGTCATATCCCCATTATGAACCGGTAGAATCAACTCTTAGTCATCAATTGCGCCAATGTAAACCATTGTAATCCCACCAGAATCCCGAATCGTCCCCATGTCCCGATGGCATGGCCATATCCAGATACAGTGCATTGGTGCTCCCAGACTGGATCACAGGGGCAACCAGCTTCTGCAGCGGCGCAGCTTTCCTGTGGAGACTGGCAAAGTCGACATTTCATGTATCCATATGCCAAGTGCAACTAGAATGAAGGCGATTAATATATTATACTGTATATTATATATATATTACTCAAACATAGATTCTTATACATGTATGTGTACTGTGTACATCTAGTATGTACATGATTGTACATTCATGTTGCAGCGGATATAGATTCACTGAATCGTGGGCCAATTTTTGGGCTCTTCTCGTCCTTCCATGGAGCAGAATAGTTCACGTTCCCAAACTCATCGTAGGGGGTCTCCCAGCAATAGTGCCTCAGGCCAAAAATGGCCAAACAGGACCAAAAACATCCCGGTGTTTGTTAGCGCAAGACACAAGGCAAATAGGCACGAAGTACTCAAAGTACTCAGTCTATGAAATTGGGTACCCTGGAACTGGGATGATGATGGTTGGTGAATGGGATGGGAATTGTGACCGAGAGAAAACCTGAAACCCAGTCCTGCACAAAAAAAAACTGAAAATAGGGTAATTAACCCAGTAACCCCAAATCTCATGGTTTAGCATCATTATCATCATTTTGGGGATATATGATATATTCACCATTTAGCATTATTATACATGATATATCCCATTATATTATATATGATATCCCATCATTTTATTCCCAATAAAATATTCTACCTCAGACTGAGGAAAGTGTCTCATCTTCCTTGCAGGTAATAGGACAGGAATGGCCGCCGTGCGTGGGTTGGCAGAAGGAATAGCCCCAAGAGTCAGTGCAGAGCTCCTGGTGGCAGGCGCATCACTAATCGCAACCATCTTGTGAAGATATAGTAAGCCCCAAAACCATAGGTGTTATATAGATGGTGTTAGTAGCTGTTAGGAACTATTTCTTTGTTGTTTAAGTTATCACTATTTTGGGGGCTCTTGACTTTCCTGTCTGTTTGCTTCGGTGTGGGGGTTGCTGTAAGGATGAGGAAAGTAAATGGACCACTTTGATTTGCCGTCCTCAAACTGGGGGTGGCATGGGCAACTGCCATTCCAAGGGGCGCAGCTCTGGTTATGAGGGACGGACCAATCTGGTTCACCCGTGGGCAGGTAGGTGTAGCTGTGGCACACCTGGCAAAGCCATGGTTCAATGGGTCTAACATGTGGGGTTGTCTGAATGTCTGAAAATCGTGTACCCGCAAATCCAGTGGTTAGTCATCAGTTTCCCGAGTTATTTATTGCCATTTGGATCCGGCTAGGGGGTATACGGGTATACCAGGGTATACCCCATTTCCAGACAAACCCATGTCTAGGAAAACCATGCAAAAAACCATGGGAAAGCCATGGGAAAAGCGAAAAATCTCGGGCCTGCTCACCATGGCCGCATTCGATTGGGCACGGGTAAGTCTTGGGAGTGCACCAGCTGTAGCCCCATGAGTCAGTGCACGTGTCCTCCCATTGGGGATCCTGAAGTGACGTGCTTTTCAGAAATTCTATGGGATCCAAGAGGAATATCATGGGAATATCATGGGATTTAAGAGGATTCACCCCATAGTTTGACATAACTATGGGAAATCGTTTTTTATGAGTAAAATATGGTAAAATAATCATAAATATTCATAAATAATCTATAGCTATGGGCCGTTGTCCATAGCTATGTTAGATTCCCAGAGGCTAAATGTCATGCGGGGTTTCCCAGTCAACGACGGATCCAAAGGGTTGAACTGAAGTTTTTTTTCGTGCCAAGTGTCACAAGGGCAGCCAGTGGTCATATTGGCACAGAACTGGGTCTGTGGAGCCGTCCAGTTCACTTCTCCTCAAGGGGATCAAAATGACAGATGGATACAGATGGATACAGATGGATTACCGGCCAAGACTTTCGCAACATAGCTCCCCCTTGGTTTATCCTTGGTTTGTGACTGAGTTTACGTGCACAAATGTGGACAGTCCATCAGTGTCCTGTAGAATCGTAGACATAGGAGTAGCAATACGTTTCCTCGTGGCTGCAGGTGACCGGGCAGCTTCCCCAAGACTTGTCCCAGCAGTAGGCAGACCACTCGTCCTTGCAGACGCGCTCCTTAGAGACAGAAGTCACAGATTGCGGCAAGCAGGTCGAAATGCTGTGCCATTGAATCTATGTATGTGTATAAACAAATAAACGAATATAAACTATGCATGTGTATATGCGTGTATATGCATAGTATATGCATGTATATAATGTATATACACAGAGAGATGTATGTACATACTGGTTACTGGATCATACTGGTACCGATATATTTGAGACTCTCTGCGCGCAATTCGTGGAAAGCTGATCACTCTCCACTTCAATATTTTGATCCAATCAATCTCTCACTTAACTCGTTGATCCAACATGTTTCACGCTCCTAAATTGAAAATTCCGATCGTGATCACAAATCATGATAATGCTGGAATGACACGCCTCTGCAGTCGCAAGATCGCACGCGCCTCTCTTTTTGGACTGCAAATGGCATGGGGTCAAGCAGTCTGATAGTTTGGACATAAATGCTTTGAACAAATGCTGTGAGCCAACAGGAAATGCGATGCCGGCCAGGCTAATGACTCAGACACAAAAGCATTGAAAAGGTCAGAGCCAACTGGTGGCGATCACATGCCACAGCAAATGAAAACTGAGCAAATGAGGAAAATACCCCACACAATGTCACACAATTGAGCTCAGTGAGTGGTATCACTCGTGAGCAGTGGGCTGTGGAGAACTCCCAGCCCACCTGATTATACAGGGATGGGCCGGGTGGGACAAAATGAAACAGGGTTCCTGGGATGATCAAATCCTCTTTGAGTCCAAAATGGCATCGAGCGGCCCTCCTTGGTTTTCTGACCGCTCAAATCAAAAATGATGATCATCCACAATAACATGCTCAAATGCTCAAATAAAGTCTCAAGTATATAGAACGTATTAATAGGATCATACGATCACGGATATGGAGAAATATAAAACTAAGAGGAGGGTAGAGATCAAAATCTTGAAATGCACTGAAGAGTCCTTCACTTGTTCCAGACCCACCTTTCCGTTAACATGTAAACGACTCTCTGCGCGCAATTCGTGGAAAGCTGATCACTCTCCACTTCAATATTTTGATCCAATCAATCTCTCACTTAACTCGTTGATCCAACATGTTTCACGCTCCTAAATTGAAAATTCCGATCGTGATCACAAATCATGATAATGCTGGAATGACACGCCTCTGCAGTCGCAAGATCGCACGCGCCTCTCTTTTTGGACTGCAAATGGCATGGGGTCAAGCAGTCTGATAGTTTGGTCATAAATGCTTTGAACAAATGCTGTGAGCCAACAGGAAATGCGATGCCGGCCAGGCTAATGACTCAGACACAAAAGCATTGAAAAGGTCAGAGCCAACTGGTGGCGATCACATGCCACAGCAAATGAAAACTGAGCAAATGAGGAAAATACCCAGGCCCTCAAGAGCAGAAATTGAGCTCCTGTGGCCAAGTGGCTTTTACCGTAGACCATCCTGCTGCTTCCCCTATCCAGAGCTTATTTCTGGATGGCCAATCTGCTGGATTGGCATCGGTTGAAACACGGTCGATAAATATTCGAGCTTTTAATTTCAAAGCAAGATCCCAAAACAGAGTGATGATTTCACACATGTCAGACCGACTCGAGTATCCCTTGATCAGGGCAGCTTCAACTGATTCCGAATCAATGAAAAGAAAAATATCAGCGCCCACTAGCCGATCGGCGAATGCGGAGAGAGCTATTACGGGAGCCAACATCTCGATCGGCATGATTTGCGTAGCTCTCTTCAGCCACCGCTCCTTGATCTCGTCAGGGACGACCGCTGTGAACTGTCTGGGCTGTTTCAAGCGCCGCTCAAAGATGACTCCACCAATCCGATCTGGACTCACGTCACTCGATCGAGGATCAGGCGTGAAGCCATCAGTAAAGATCACCGAGTCGGGGAGTCTCTCCTGAGCCAGGTCGATCTGCCTTGGCGGCCCAGCATGAACCAGCTTCTTCCACTGCTTCAGGTACTCTGTGAGTGGGACGTCGAGCTTGAACTCAGTGCCCGACGGGAACTTCCAATACTGACGTTCTGAAATAGGGCGCAAGAAAGCACGCCCAACCTTCCCCCAGAGCTGCGACGCACCAAACATGAGCTTGCCTTTGAGCTTTCCTGCCGACCCAGGGTCGAGCAACCCGACGTGCAAGATAAAATCAATCTCCTCGAGCAGATCTTTCTTTCGATCAGCTTTGATCTCTAGTTGCATCTCCCGCAGGTTGCACGTCACACCCAAGATCGTTGGCTCAGAGGACAACTGCAGTTTCTTCTGATCAAATTTTGCACCAAGCCACCAGTGCACTGTTTCCGCCACATTGCGAGCGCATGGGGCCGAGGCAGCAGGTTCAAACCCGTACTTGTCGTCATAGAAACTGAATGCAACCAGCTTGAACAAGGAGACCAAAATTGCGTTGATCGCCGCTGAGCGCCTGTTGTAGTTGTACACAGCAGAAACCAAACCAAAAGAGGGGCCGACCATGATGAAGAACGCAGGCCTCCCCGAGCTGGGCGACTTCAGACAAATGACCGAAAACTTCCGTTGATCCGGTTGTATAGCCACTTGACTGTATGCCTTGCGCTCGTCGAGCACCCAACCTACGAGCTCTTTGTCCGAGGCTATGGTCTTGAGCTTCCTGATCGCCGCAACATTCGTGTCCGTCGACGGCAGTTGGAGCTTCTCTTTGATCTCAGTGATTTGATTGATCAAGTTCGTGGTCGCGCTGTCACAACCTCGCACCTTGTTCTTTTGAACCACTTCAAAGCGCTGAGTTGGGATCCAATCATCTTGGCCAAGAGCGTCCGTAACCTCCTCTGGGCTAGCAAAGGGGCCCAGACATGAGCCTTCTTGAACATCTTCGAGTGTAGCTTCCCAGATCTTCACCAAATTGTCAGATACAGGAACGCCACGAACTCGTTGAGTGATCTTTGCCCGGATCTCCCAGGCCCTAGAGAGCGCGTGGTCGATCGACAACACTTTCTGGGGCTTCTCATAAGGCGGCCAGCGCCCAGATGGCGCAATGGGACCGACGATGGGGAAACCGACCAGCAAAAATTTTGGCAGAGTCTGGTCCACAGAGTTTGCAGCCGCCAACATCTCCTCGTAGAGAGCTACATGACAAACATCACCAAGGCGAGCGCGTGCAGGGTCATCAGTGCCAAGCAGCAGTGAGCCATGATCCTTGCAATAGATTCAGGGAGCAGGGCTTCAGCGCGGTGTTGCCAGAACTGCAGAGCTTGAGCACGATGACGCAACACCTCACCCGGGTTTGTCGCCACTGCATGGATGGCGGCGTCGAGCGCAGGGGGGCAACACTGCCGAGCGCGAAAAAGGATGAACTTGTTGAAGAGCAAACAGGACTGCTGCCCCCCCGGTTCCATCTCCACCTCGAGCAGCGGTTTCGCAGCACCGCGTTTGAGCTGGTACCCGGCAAAGAGCGCCTTCTGAGCAGTGTCTGCTTGTTTGTGCTCTTTCCACGGCCTCGCCGAATGCAGAGCGCGCTTCCTGTCAGCTGCTGGAACACACAGCTCGAAGGTGAGCTTCAGGTGAGGCAACTCCTGCAAGAAGATGGACCGCACCTGGTCTGCAATTGTAGCGCACAGAGCAAGGGGGTACACTTGAGCCTGCTTGGTCTTGAACACCATGCGTTGTAGTGCTGGGTCCCACACTTTGCCCTTGAGCGACTCATGAGTATGCCCGCCCGGACAACGTACACAAAGAACATCAAGCTGCTCGTTAGAGCAGGCGAAGCGTGTCGGCTTCATCCACAGCGTGCCAAAAACGCACTGATCACATTCCAGGTTGAAGGCGCGAGCGCTTCGCACGAGCTGGAGCAACTGGGGCGTCTGCCACAAGAGGCTCAGGAGCGGGTTCTCAATGAGAAAGTCACCCCCAAATGCAAAGACCAGGCTGCAAGCTTCTACTGTGCGATCCAAAAACACATTGCCCAAAAAGACCAGACAGCTATCTTGCTCCGACAGCGGAAGCCTTCCAGACCGAGCGGTTCTTGGGGTGACCTCAAAGGAGGAGGTCCCCCATCAGCTTTTCGTGCAGCAGTGAACGTATTGCACGGGGTGCCGCAATGCAAAAAGAAAACCACACCCAGAACAAGAATATCCACCAAACTCTGCCAAAAAGTTGCATCCACCAAGTCAACCGGGGTGCGCACCAGGTCGGACGCCACAATGTCCACTGGAGGAAGGACTGGAACACCTGCCAAAAACACGGCTTCAGTGATCCCTGCCTTCCCTGCAAAGAGCTCGAGGAAAAATGGTCCAGCGGAGAAAAGCCAGTGTCGATCGTTGAGCACCTGGCTCCAGTGCGGGATCGCAGTCTGAGCTCCTAACTCCACTTTCCGACCAAGAGGCGGCTGCACCGGCTCTGGAGCATCATTCGTGGAGGCAGGCTCGCCTGTGAACACCCCAGGGGGCGGCGAGAGGCCATCCTGGGGCGGTGGTTGCAGAGCTCAATGGTTGCCGTGCCAAGGGTGGTCCTTTCCACACTCGGCGCAGCTATGCTTGAGCTTACATTGATCTCCAAAGCGGCAACCCAACGAGCTGTTGTAGAAGGGGCATCTGCGACCACCACTGTACTTGAACGCAGTGATAGTCTGCCACTCCTTTGCCGGCACGCGCTCATCTCGCGCGGCCTTGCGCGGAGTGTCCTTCTCTTTGTTGCCGGAGTTGCTGAGCACTGCCTTGGCCTTTTGGAGCTGGGCCTTTTGCCGCGTACGGCGAGCCTTGTTCTTGCGAGCTTTGGCCGACGACTTAAAGCGGCTCTGGTGAGGTAGAGCGTGCCCTCTTCTTAGGAGTCACTGGGGCAGCCGTGAGCGCGGCCTGCTTGTATTTGTCAAGCTCTGCGCTGGAGCGAGCATCGTTCCAGAGCTGTTTGTGGTTGTTGAGCACCTCCAAAAAGGCCGCCGAGAACGTAGTGAACTGTTTGCGGTGGTCTGAGCTCACTCGATGCACCTTCTTGCGGATGAGCGTGTCCACGGTGAGGAGCAAGGCGAGCCCGCGGTTCTCGTGACGCCACTCCTCGAGCTGGGCCAGGTACTTGAGCGGTCCCGCGGCCACAGGGAACTCACAAATGTTGAGGTACTCCAAGGTGATGAAGAACGCGTGCAACTTGTCCATGACCTGGGATTCTGAGCTGGCTGCCGAGGGCTGATCAATGGTGACTACCCGCAGCAAATCCTCGGCATTCTTGGACAAGCCCGCTTTCTGAGCGATCTGCTCGTTGCGGGTGCGGATCTCCCCCACCTCATAGAAATGAACGAATCCGTGAACCAAATAATCTCTCTGGACTCGCTCCACGAACTTGCGGTGGGGCTCCCGATGTACTGGAAGGAGCACGTCAGGGTGCCTGGAGACGAACGTCTCTCTGAATTCCGCATGGTCTTCGCCCGGAATTTCTGGAACCTTGGAGGGGTCCTCTTCCATCTTTGCGCGACGAGCCGCGAAATGGTCTTGCATAGTGCTGCACGTCTTCCAGACGGCTGCCAGGCAAGTCAAAGCAAGCTCTTGAGCAGGGCCATCGGCTCCCAATGCTGTGAGATCAGGCACCAAGTTCTTGAGCGTCGCCTTGACCGAGGCAATGTCATCGCCGAGCATGGCGAAGGTTTCCACCGTGAGCAAGCCAGAGTTTGCTGCGAGCTTGCACAGGTCCTCATTGACTCGCTGCCGCCCAAAAACTTGACGGAGCGGGAGATCAGGAGTCTTGTCCGCAGCATACACCATGCGATCCACCATGGTCACTGGATGCGGGAGGTGAACAGAGGGCTATGAGCTGAAAATTATGCTCAAAGAAAAACAATCAAACAAAATACACATGAGCCATGACCTGAGCAGGAAGGGAGGCAGAACCGACTTAGCGAGCTCACGCCAACACTTCTTGCAGTCAAGCATCCTATTGTTGGCGATTGTAGGCCTCTACTGCTTCCGGACGGGCGCGTGAGCAATGTTTGCACAACACTGAGAGATCCGGAAGGTAGGAGCCCACGTTCGTGCAATCCTCGAGGGAGATCCTACCGCAAGCAGACTTGTCAGCATCATCAGGAGCGCTGCAATGATAGCGGTAGTCATAGGACGCCGCAGAGCCCGATGACTTCACAAAGAACTGGATCTGGTCGAACGAGCAGGGGTCCTCACTGTCAAGCTGCACCTCATCGGACTCCTCGATTGGGTGTTGCTGCACGAGCATGTCCTTGACCAGCTGCTGGACCATCTTGGCAGGGATGGCCGCGCGGTTGCGCGTGTACTTCAGGACGAGCGGCCCTGGATTTTTACAGTTCGCTTGCAGCCCGATCTCTTCAGTACTTCTGCCCGCGTGAACCGCTGCATCTAGCATGGTCACTCGAGCTGAGTGAGCTGTAAGCTCGTTGACCACATTGGCGAGCGACTTGAACTCATGGTCCTCCCCTTTGTGGTAGTGATTGAGAGCGTATCGACCTATGAACCTCAGCCACTGCACTGAGCGTTGATAGGCTGCTGGACCATCGCGAAAAGCCTCTCTGGAGTTCAGATCGCGCATCCAATAGTCTCTGGCCAGAGCGAAATGTTCTGCTTGGAGCAAGTCCCAACCAGGTCTGAGCCAATCTGAGCCAGAAAAGCCCACATGAGGCACGACGAACTTGGTGCCACGCCTCTTGCGCTCGACCTTGGTCTGCCAGGCCACGCCGAACATGCCCTCTTCATTCATGACCAGCTCATCGGGGCGCACGTGCATGGCGTCGTCATAGCGGAGCGACGCAAACACCATGCACAACCACCACCATGTGAACAGGCGGATGGCCTCCAGCTCTTGCTCGTCCACCACAAAGAGCTCCATTGCCCGCACGACCTGGGTGGGAATGGGCACGGCCTCTTTCAGAGTGCGAGCGCGCTTGCCGATCACCTCCGCTTGAAGAGCCAAGAGCCCTTGATGATCCACGTCAGGGCATTCAATAGCTATAGCTTAGATGTTACCCATTTAACGGAGGTTCTAAAAGATGGTATCACTGAGGGGCCACATTCTTTAGAATCTAAAAACAGAGCATATTGAATGAGCTTAGCACTGGTCAAAGGAAAAGCTTCGATCTGCCTCGGTTCAGCCCATTCTGCGAACCTCTCCCAGTTGGACACGTGGGTGGCCATGGTCCTTGGAGCGCCAGAAGAGAGCACGAGCTGGCGCAATCGAGCAACTTCAGCATGTGACAGCCCACCCTCGTTGGCCGTGTCAAGAAGGAGCTTCGAAAATGTGCCAGCCTTGCGCCCAATCTCTTCCAGGCGAGCCGCCCACTTCCACCGAGCTGCGTTCTCTTGATCCAGCAGCGGTGTAGCTGACGTCTCCTCGGCCCCCTTCTTCAAGAACTTCCTCGGGGGGTTCACTGGCCTCCCACCGAGAGCGTTGATCGCCCCCACTCTTCGAGCTCTGGCTGTCGCTGGGCTGATAGGTGCAGTGGGAGATTCACAAAGCCCAAACCCCAGCTGAAACGCAGTGGATTCGAAGAAAGCCCTTTCAACTGAACACGCCAGGGACCAAAACTGTTCCAGCATGAAAGTTGAATGGAGCAAAGCACCCCTGATCCCAGCATCCAATTGAGGGGCCCATTCTGTGACCTGGGCAACAAACTCATGAGCTGTCTTCATCTCCATGGCAGCCACAAAGGCCAAGTTGGCGAAGGGAGACCCTTGAACAGCCTTGGCGAACGAATCATCGAACACCGGCAAGGACAGGATCCTACTAGCCCATCTGTCATTGTGCTGAGCCATGATCGCTGCTGAGCATATTGGCGATCAACTTCACTGATAAGAAGTCGCTGGTGAGCACAAAAACTTCTCTTCCACTTGAACTGAGGTTGCCCCAAACATAAGAGTCACAAACCCAATCAAACCCGACCAAAAGACAAAAAGAAAGGGGGGGTAAACAGAGAGGCAGAACTGACTGAAGAAACCCTAATGCATTGATCAATGCAGCTCACTGCCAACTCAGGACCCACAACCCACGACCGCTGGGTTCCTCACCTCGGCAGCCAGGGTTGACCGGCCGCTTCGGCAAGACCCCAAGTTAGGTGGGTCAAGTCTTCTGATCGGTCCAGAGTTGGAGAGCAAAAACGATCAAAGCCTGTTCCAGCCGACCGTTCACTCACGCACACCCTGGGGTCCCTCAACACCAGTCGCTGAGGCTAGCACCTGAGCAGGCGAGAGTCGTAGAGCTACAAGCCACTTCTCAGGTCGATGAGTTTGTGACATGAACGATCATCGTGTGGAGATCTAACGGGTTATCTTATTATTGATCCATGAAAATATATGTGCAAATGAAATATTTATAAATCTAAATATGCAAATGATCACACCGTCCGAGCCCCCAGAAAAACCATGGTTGTAGAACCCAACAGTTGTTCAACACTGCGATCATGCCGAAACGGATGCCGACCCATGCACGAGTCAGTCGCTCCGTCTCTCGCCGATCTGAGATTCCACATCCCTCTGAGGAGCTCGCCTGAGCAGGCGATAAAACCAACTTGAAAAAGAGCAATCGGGGTGAAAAATAAATCCGGGAAATGGAAAGAAGCTGTGCCGCAAGCCAAGCATTGACTCTCCAAACTGCTTGGACAGCTCCCTCACCCTGACCGCATCTTTTCAACTGCGCGGCCTGGAGTCAGGCAAGTTGTGGCTAACGAGCGATTAGGCCTCTTTCTGCTGAAGAGATCTGAGCAAAACAACTGTGATCTTAGAAAAATAATCTACACGTCATCCGCCTCCTCAATGATCGGCTCGGGACCAAAAGAGCGGGGAACTGACGATTGTGGAACCGCCACCAGCTTTATGGCCCCTGATCGCCTGCTCCACTGTGTCCACAAAGACCTGTGGTGTCACCGCTGCATCTGCGAGCGATTCAGCTTGGCGCACTTCAAGTGAGCGCCTCTGGACCAACACAGTTTTTTTGACCAGGAGCTGCCTGTGGAGCCACACCTGCCTCAGTCACAGAGATGGCTGCCTCGACTGGGGGGGCTGCCTGAACAGGTGCTACTGCGGGGCCTACCAGAGCCCTCAAGATCCGGCTGAAGACGTAGGGATCGCCGATGGGCCACCCAGCACTGGTGGAACGACGATCGTCTCCTGCTCTTGTTCAGGATCATGGTACATGGAGAGCAATGGACTCCTTCGGCACGATCACCATGGGCAACTTGAACAAGGGGGACTCACAGGTCAGGTGGAGGTTGGTGTGATGCGTCTCCACCGCCACTGCACCGACCCTGGGCCCCGTATCAGCCAACGATAAGGCTTCTGTGGCCGCTGTCCAATGAGCATGGATCCCGGCCAATTGGGACATCTGCATCGTCTGATCCGGTCCCTCCACACGAGCATTGCGCTCGCGACACCATCTGGCGTTCTGAATGAGCGTTGGCCCAGACACTCGAGAGAGCGTCAACCAGGTGGCTGGGACATTCAGCTGGGAGCATGCCACATCGAGCTTGTCGCCCGCCGACCTGAACCTGAATTCAAGGCGGTCTGCATCCACCCCGATCGAATCAGCCGAAGACAGAGCTGTCATTCGAAGTTCAAAGTGGCACAGCGGGTAGTCAGCAGCTACGACCACACCGCCATTCGAGCACACATACAAACGACCTCCAACTTCGAAGCTGGCCGCCATCACTCGCCAACCAGCGAAGATCGTCACCACGACTGCAGGCACGAAGAGGACCTCCTTGAGCGAAGGGATCAGCCCGTCGTTGATGTAGTTGAGCTGAACCGTCATATCCTGGTCAGACCTGCAGCCCCTGAGCTCCAAATGAAGCAAGAGCTGCCCTTCGATCTTCATCTTCACGTCCACCCAGATCGAAGAGTCATCACGCATGAGCACGGAACGGTTGGAAGGCCGGGTGTGCCATCACCGAGCCCGTCACCGCATCCCATTGAGCACAGGGAACACTGCCGTAGCTGGTCATGCTACCCACAATGATGAGCTTGTACCCATCCATGGCGCGAACGTAACAGAGGTTCATGTGGTAGCCTGTGTTGGGCGATCACAGCTGCAGCCGATTACACTGGTGACTGGATGTTCACCCCCGACTGAGCGTTCAGCAGGATCTCGTCCAGCAACCAGCCTTGGAACGGGCTGGTGATCCTCTTGTCTCTGTTGTCCACGATGAGCACGGACCTCTCGCCCTGAGCAGAACCAAGCTGTTGGACGAAAGGTGGGAGCTGAAAGTTCTGTGGGCTCAATGCGTTCTCACCGCGCATCTGCCCCCAACGCACGAACTTGTGCCCCCGAGCTTTGGCCCTGGCCTTCTGCTTTGCCAACTTCGCAGACTGCTGGTGGATCTGACCACCCACCAAATTCTTGGCAGCCTGTGTGGCTGGAGCCAGCCCTGCACCTTGAGGAGCTTGAGGGTGTGCCTGAACTGGTTGGGGTTGAGCTGCAGGCTCAAAGCCCGTGAAATCCTCTGGAGGAGCTGGCTCAGACTCCGTGTCTGCATCCCACGCAGTTGGAGCACCAGTGTCTTGTGAGCTCAAACCAGCTGGGTGCACTGTCGGAGCCGATGCATGCTGAGCAGATGATTGAGGCACAGCACTCCATGAACCCACACTGCTCACTGAGTCTTCAGGTCGAAGAGACTCAGCAGCTCTTCGAGCTGCCATGGCATGTTGTTGAGCGAGCGGTGATGGGAACGAATGGGGAGCGCTAGATTGAGACATGTTAAGGATTGATCACTCCCAGGCCCAAAAGAATGAACTACCGCCCGCCAAGCGCAACGAAGGCAGAGCCACAAAATGAAACAGGGTTCCTGGGATGATCAAATCCTCTTTGAGTCCAAAATGGCATCGAGCGGCCCTCCTTGGTTTTCTGACCGCTCAAATCAAAAATGATGATCATCCACAATAACATGCTCAAATAAAAGCTCAAGTATATAGAACGTATTAATAGGATCATACGATCACGGATATGGAGAAATATAAAACTAACAGGAGGGTAGAGATCAAAATCTTGAAATGCACTGAAGAGTCCTTCACTTGTTCCAGACCCACCTTTCCGTTAACATGTAAACTTATATGTGCACAGTCCTCTCATCTCACCGAATCTGTACATGGGTTCTGTCCCGAAACACTCAAGAGTTTCCCAGCCAAGGTTGACCGTGAAAAGAAGTGCTTTCAAAGTTTCACGGCTCTCACAGCAAGGCCGGTCAATAAAATCATGGCGAGTGCAAGCAAGGCTCTGTCTCATCATCGCCTCGCTTGGCGAGTGCAAGCAGAAACGTTTGCTAAAGAACTCTGAGATGTTGCATAAGTTGCACACCCGAAATCAAATATGACTATCACACTTAGAAAAGCTGATAACAGCCTGATGCCATCAGACTGACTGTATGCATATGAAGTATAAAGATGGGATAATAGAATGGAATGGAATGGAATGGAATGGAATGGAATGGAATGGAACGGTGGAATAGGATGGAATAGAATGGAATAGAATGAAATAGGAATAGAATAGAAATAGAATAGAAATAGAATAGAAATAGAATAGAAATAGAATAGTTCAGAATAGAAATAGACTAGTTCAGAATAGAATAGAATGAGACAAGATGAGATAAGGCAGATCTGATATGTGACTCCAATCAATTATAATATATGCTATAAGAATTGCCCCAGAACCACCAAGAGATGCCAGGCAACACTCGACTTCAAAGGGATCAGAGCAGCCCTCTGTCTTCGGGTAGCACATCTGGCAATGAGGATTCGAAAGGGGACTTGCCACATGGCTTTCTCTCAAAATTGTAGGATTTCTAGAAAAAACGGAAAACGGAGCGGAAAAGCCGGAAAAGCCCTAAAAATCCATTGGTTTCAACACTTAACACAAATCATCATTATCCCGGATTATCCCTATCAAAATGACCACAAGTGCTGGGTATTTTTACCAAATTTTTACCCCATTGTCACACCCACATGCTTTGAGTTGGCCAACTTCGCAACGACCAGCGAACCAATCCCTTCATACCCGCGTCGACATATCTCACCATGTCCCCTGCCTTGTAGCCGTAGCTTTCGCACTGGACCTCGAACTTCTCGTGGCACGGGCATCCTTCTTCCCAGGTGCCACAGGTGTACTCCGTCACCTGACCCATGTATCGTTCTGTGAGGCCAATGGGGCTGCGACCGAAGGGAACGTGGCAGTCATTTTCAGTATCGGATTGCCATCCACTGCGACAAACTGATGAGCCTACCCAATCAATCACACACTAAGCCGTTCAAGCACTCTCTTGCTCACCAATGGAGAAAGCAACCGCCTTAGCCACTCACAACTACTTCACTCGTTCTACAATGAATGATGGCTAGTCACCCTGGCATCAACAAATTGCTAAGTTGTCACACGTGAAACTGCCACACAAGGAGCATCATTGGAGCATCATTAGACAATTTTTTGGTCACCTGGTCACCTTTGTTCTCCCAAACTAGCGCAAACGACGTTGGGGACCTGAGGCTGGGTAGCCCGTGGCGACGGATTCTGACGTGGGATCCCTAGGTCATCTTAGGTCATCCTACAGTAGATGGACAAAAAAATCAAACCCCACAGACATCTACCAAGTAAAACCCCACACCCCAAATTTCAATGTTGCACAAAACTCTATCCAACTTCCTCTGCGTTCAGGGTTTGATTTTTTTGTCCACCGGACCCAACCGCGCAGCCCAAAGACAACATTGAAATTTGGGGGTGCGGGGGTTGACAATAATACAGCAAGGGTTTGATTTCATCGTCCATCTACGGTAGGTCCGAACCATCATCCAATCACCCACTCACTTCACTACTAAATCATACTAAATCAATCAGCCACCGTGGATGAAACAATCGAAGAATCAAATCAAACAAGCAATCGATAGATCATTGAGAGGCGCAACAATACTCGAAGACTCCGCCACTTACAGGCAGCCCTCGGTCGGTCAATCTTTCCAGCCTGCAACGTGGCATCCCAGTCGACTTCTCCATCATCAGTGTAGACAATGGAATAGCAATACTGTTCTGGGCATTCCAGCCAGCCTTGGAATAGCCGCAAAGTCTGTGACTTGATGTCCCATGGCAATGTCCGATTTGAATTCTCGTTTCTGAGACGAGGAAGAGCCATTCTAAAATGGCAAGGCAACAGAACCCCTTACAAAACGATTGCTTTCTGTACCTTTCTGCCAATGCCAAATGGGCCAACTGCGTTTCAAGAAACTCTTGTTCCCGTAGCCGTATGGACCGTAACCACCGGAGCCAGAGGCATTACCATAGGGGCCATAGCCATAGGAACCCGAGGTGTTTTGGCCGTAGCCATAGGAACCCGAGGTGTTTTGGCCGTAGCCATAGAGATACGACCCGTTGTTATCGCCAAAGAGGTCTTCCCTTAGCAAGTCTCAGCACAAGGGCACTTCGGCAATTTTTGGAGCAATGATGAATCCCAAACTTAGATCTAGGCCACTGCCAAACAAAAAAACAAATTGGTCATGTTCCGTGCAAAGCGATCTACGCTCTGATATTTTAGCATGGTGATGGAACATCTACCATTTGTAGATGAGTTCCCTATATTTTCTCATGTGACATGTAGTTTTCCCATTGCCATGTTAAATTCTCAAAGTTAAATTCTCAAAGGGATGCAGAGGGTATCTCCACCAGTGCAAACTGGGGCGCTCTAGGCGGCGGCGAACTTTGGCCTGAGCCCACCATGCCGAAATGTGAAAATGGTCTGAAAATGTGGTATTTACACCCAATTTATTGGCAATCTCAATGGGGGAAATGGCATGAAATGGCGATATATACACCCAACTTGTGGTTATTTAAGTTGGTCATCTTGCATTGGGAAAATGATGATGCACCAGTGGATGGAGTGGGGTCCCCCATTTTTAAGAAACTATCACTTGAGGCCCTCAAAAGGAGTTATTGCCAAGGAGGAGATGCTGGAGATGACAGGTCTGAGCCGAGCCTTTTCAAAGAGACAAAGACCTACTAGTAACTGCCTAGCCTCTGGTGGCTGCAAAGTTTCCACTCGAAAATGGCCAAATGCCAGTGATGACTTTTATGGCTTGTGAATGCTTGTGATACAATCCCAACATATAGCGGTTTTCTTAAAATGGACCCCCAACACCACACGTTTCAATACTCAAATGGTCATCCATGACTTGGATGACTTGGACGTGGGGAAATCCCAAAATTCGCAGTTTATCCCAACACATCCCCACCTCAAACCCTTCAGCCCAGGTACCGCAACTGACAGCTGCTGAAACGAGTCGGGCTTGCGAAAGCTCAATTGTCGCTGGGCCACATGGTCCTGGACAGCAGAACTTGCTGGAAAACCTGTCCATATTTGTCACACATCGGGATAAAATGGGGATCAAATGGGGATCAAATGGAATGATGAGTTACAAACAAAAATGCGAATTTGACATGATTTAACACATTTAACCGTTATAACCAACAAAAAATGGATTTCAGACCGCTCCCTCCTTACCACTGGATAGTAAGGAAAACACCAGAAACTGCATATGCTCAACAGAAACACCTTCAGAGGCCCAGAGGGTATGACTCCCAGTCCTTGATGATGAAATATTCCATGGGAGGAGGCTGAAAAAATGGGGGGATTCACTCCCACAAAAAGGGTCTTTAAACGGGGAAGATATAGGAAAATGACAAATGACAATAAACATGATAAACCATTGGATAAAGTCAAGTTTTTTAGGATGATTTTCTCATAGTTTTCAGACAAAGGAAACAGCACCTGCCGCTGGGCCACTTGCGAAGTTGCTTGCCCAAGGGCGGTGAGCAGGATGACCTGGAAAAGCATCCTGCCTGACCTCGATAACTTGGGATAGAAGGCATATGGGCCATGACTGGGGGGTGACCCACAAATCAAGGTGCCCCTGGATGATGCTGGATGATGCTGGATGGTTTATTTCATGGAAAATCCGAACATAAAATGGATGATTTGGGAATACCCCAACCATATCTGTGAAATCAGCTGAAAATTCACATGCAAAAACCTCTGCTCGATGAACTCTTCTAGATATTGAAGACCAAAAAACCTGTGGAGAAGGAAGAAGTGAAACGATTTGGTTTGATTCTTACTGTGGTAGCATGCAACTGGACCATTGAAGTGAAACACGACTGAGACCCCGGCCACCTATCAGCAAAACAATGTTCGAGCTACACTGATCTTTGATCAGCACACTATTGCTTGATCCAAAATGATCTGGAACACGCCCGGCCGAAAACGTATAGATCAAGAGCTGCGCATCGATGAACAAAGAAACTTTTAGGAAAGAGACAGAATACATCATTAGCAAGCTATTATTGTGAGTGTTGCAGTGCTCATTCTGTTGACACATACTGCACGTCTCCCCACTCAATAAAACGTCAACGCATACTCGTATACGTACTATATGTACACATATATACTATATATATATATACATATATATACATATTATATGTATAGCATATCTATATGTATAGCACATCTATATCTAGCTGTCAAAAATTCTATCACATGCCACTTTGGCTCCAAGTGTCCACAAACGTAAAAAGCATGCGTTCGGCGCCTGAAAGGTGACTGTCAGATATCGAGCCACAGACGTATTTCGCTGTGTCTGAAAATGGGGTATATATATATATATACCCTGATGGTTAATCTATACATATATATATATATATATACATTATATATATAATATCAACGTATATCGCCAAGTAATCCAAGTATGGCCATTTGAGTCCTGAAAATGCGAACCGCAAACTTCCCATAGTTGTCGGACAAAAACCAGATGGAGCCATGGACATGTCACAATCGCTCCATTTCTCTCACTGTGCTGCTTTGAGCATGATGCATCCGTTCTGCTCTGTACACAGGCAGCCAATTCTTGCCGGGCTTGTCATCGTTCGGAGTCATCAACCACGATGGAAATGTTTGAGCTCATGCAATTAGTCACATACGAATATCATATATAAAATATGTACATATATATATATATATATATTCATATGTGTATATATATATATTATGATTATATAATTACATGTGTGTGTGTACACAACATACTGTGGAAAAGCTTCAAGTAAATCACTCACTTTCGCCCGAAAAACATCGACCCCAGGGCTCTGGGGGCCTCGGGTGTCATCAATGGGAGATGTTCCAGCGATGTTTGACTACCGGATGGTAACAGTGGAAGCAACAAGCCAAAGATCACCAAAGATCGTATAACTATACCTAAGCTAGTAGAAGGCCATCAGTTCTAGGCACGTTTCCCAGGGGAAACACGATTCGTGGTCCAGAACGGACACAACAGTTTCAGCTCTTGCAAAAAAAAAAAGTAAACCGCAGACTTCTGGGCAGGAAATACAGGACAATTTGCAGAGAGGACACTTGATTTTCCAGCTGATTTTCTCAAACGAAGCATTTCATGATATGATATTTCCCAAGATAGATCATAGCATTATCAGCTCAATAGTCTTGGCATAGACCCAGATAGACCCAGATGCCTTCACCCCACAGGCGACAGCATCCCATGCCTTCAAACCGAAAGCTTTTTCTCCGAACGTCGAAGAAACGAAAGGATGCAGCCTCACACTGCCCGCAGAAATTCGCTGAATGGGATTTCCAAAGTTCCAAGATACAAAGCTTTGGAAATGGAAATGGCTTACCCCAAAATCCTCCAAAATCCAATGGTAAAGTTGATCATCAGTTTCCCTCGTCAAATTGCCATTTTTTGGTGGCATACCCAATTTTCAGACACACCCGACTGCGAACATCTCGCCCCCATGCTGTCTGCGTTTGGCACAACGTGCACATCAACCAAAAATCGTCATACATCAAGATTGGAAGGGGATAGAGTCGGATAGCCAAAGATTGTCAAAACCATCCCCGTGGTTTTGTAAAGGTAGGGTGAATGCCCATACTTTGGGGGGTATGCGGGTATCCCATGTAGTCATCCGTGGTATCCCATGTAGTCAGGCGCCTATCAAGCAACCGCCAGCAGCCACCAGAGCCAGTAGGCCCATCAGGGTTAACTTGTGGCCCCACACCTGGCTTGAAGACCCTAAGAACTGCTGCGGAAGCAGCACAAATGGTGATAGGACAGAAGTTAGGGTCATGGGGGAAGCCTTCACCACGGCCATGAAATGCTCAGTAACCAACCACAACCTGGGATGACGGTCCACATCCCCACCTTTGGGAGAATCTCCCCCCAGGGCAGCAATCCTTGGAGCTGACAGCCAAGAGTTGCGTCTGCTTCTTGGTTGTGGATTGGGTGGGGCTTCATCATCGCAATGACCATCTCCCTTAAATCGTGTGGTGCTGGATTTCCAATGTCTTGTTAGGACCTTTGTAGCTGACCTGATGTTTGACAGAGTCTCCTTTGATGGATTACGCTAGTAGAGAAACGAGACGCCGTCATTTTGCACACATCAGGCCCCACCGTAATTCACCGGAATCTACTCGTAACTCGTATCTACTCATCTCTCAAATTAACTTCAGCTCACCTGAATCCCATGAAATTCCATGAAATCGCCTTAGATCACCATCTGCTGCTTCAATCTCATGAACATAATTTTGACATCTCCATGTTTTCCGGGTAACTTCACCCATCCCCAACCCCCAACCGGAGGGGTCCCCCCTGGGTTTTCTGGGTCCCCTGGAGGTGCCCTGGGTCCCCGGGCTCCAGCTCCAGGAGCTCATGACGGCAGCTTTCCAGCTGGATCCCAAAGCTGCACTGATGATGGGACCCTGGAGCCGCTCCGCTCGTTGAAGCCCAGAAGTTATGGCCTATTGAGGCCTATTGCTGTGGTGTGGAACTATGGGCTTGGACAATAACAAATAATTATTTTAAAAAGAAGAAGAACAAACAATAGTAACAATAATAATTAGTAACACTAATAGTAATAGAAAGAACAATATTCGCCAAGGATAATGGGTGATAATCCACAAATATCCACAATAACAATGGGAGATATTACAATCAGATAATAGGATACAAAAAAAATGGATTACCAAGAATCGACCCTAGCAAATTGTGTACTATATGTACTATTCAAATAATCCTCAATGACTCAATACAAGTCCCTACAACCCATCAACCTATGTTGAGTCTTATGGGATGGTCCTTCTGAATATGAAATTCGCTGGGAGACCCATCGGTCCATGCCTGTTTTGTCCGATGATTGACCGACTCTTTGATGTTCTTCTGTGCTATGATCAAGTTACAGGGTTTTTTTGGTACAGAAGGTCCATCCATGATGAATAGGATGCCTATGGATGCCTTACAATTCAATATACGGTATATCATATCATCAAACCCTACTATGACCATTCCTTTTTGCAAAAAAATGACCAGGGGTGAATGAACCGTGTGCCAGTGTTTGATGGCTGCAGGGTATGTCACGGTATGTCTCTTTGCTCCTTTTCCGAATGCCCGTTGATGCGGAACATGGATTGCTTGGAACATCTCCTGGATTGCCCATGGAATTTCGGAATTTCCCCTGAAATATGGGGAGTTCCTATAGATTTTCCCTTAAACCACAGAGAAAATGAGGATTTCACCATGGGCCACTAGGCTCCGCTAGGCTGCCTCGATGGCTGCCAGGGCAGTGACGAAAACGGCCACAAGGACCGAAATCAACGACCTTCCCGGGGAGGCAGGGCCTTGAAGTGGTGAACAGCCATGGCTACGACCCAAGTCATGGAGCTACCCCCGATCATCATCCAAGTCACTAGACCATTTATGACCATTTTAGTATCGAAAGCTACAGTTCAAAAATCCCCCATTTTAAGAAACCACCATAAATCTGAAGAATGGGAGCAGAATCGGAGATTTACCACCCAGCCCAGATGTTTCATCTTGACCTCCAAATTGTTCAAGCCCCAAAGCTCGGAGTTTTGAAAATCGGAATCGTTCCGATTGGAGTTTTCGAAGTATTCCCCGATATTTTTCGATGTTCCCAGTTCTGCACCTCAACAGTCCACAGGCCTCTCCTGAGTGGCCAGACTCCTGGGCGCGGAAACCCCTTGGTCTTCCTGCAGAAAATACCTGGAGTTTTTGGGAGGTACCTTGAAAAAGATACAAACCTAATCAATACGTCTCCTAAGTTATCGTTTCTCCCATCTATACCATATATTCAGCTGGGATATAATTCCACTTGATGCCCAGTATCCCTGGATCCTCCAAGTACCCCCTGGCTCCTCATCCATCAGACTAATCTCCATGCTGCGGGAGGTGTGGAACTCCTCTGGCCTGAAGAGGTCAAGTCTCTGCAAATGATTCGTTCACAACTCCCAGTGATAGAGTCGATAGAGTTCAAAAAGGTGGAAAACCCGGAAATTGGAGGACAGATCATCATCCAATTCACATGTTTAAAAAACGTTCCTGCATCTTTGCTGGGGCCCCCTTACACACGTCAATACCAAGAGTTTATTCAGCCGTGGTCATGCAAATTGTGATTTCATGACGAAGGTGTAAAACAGAGTGAAGTCGTGTTCAATCATGTGTTACGACATGCGTTTTCCACGTCCTTCTGCTCCATTGATACCAAATTCCCTCTTTCTCTCTGCATCATCTCAGAACAGCACAAAGGCTCCAAGTCAAGTCAGAATTCCGGATGAGTCAACCCCCCACCACCTTTCTCTTCCAAACCATTTTGCAAGCATAGATGGGATGTCGGCATCTGACTTTACGTGCAGCCCAGCTAGCAAGCAGTTCATAATGCCTGCTGTGGAAGTCCCCCATTCCTTCAGGTTTCCAACTCAACAAATTTGGTAAGTCACCCCATGGTCTGAATAGACCATTCAGTAACTATAGGATGAACTTTGGAGAAACCATTTTCAAACCATTAAAGGACCAATTGCCCACATATTTCCTTTCGAAATGGAAAACGCGTTCCCCTGGCTGGTTCTGCCTTCCGGGCAGAAGAGTGTCTGCCTGCCCATCGACGGATGCCATGCGTATATGCTATGTATATTCTATGTGTACCGTTTACATACAATTTCTGAAAAATCTTGCGCCCTCCCCAAAATTAACATAGACCCTGCATGACCCTACCAAATAAGGGGTTGGAAGATTGGTTTCCACTAAAAATGTGCTACGTTCCGGGTCTTCATTAATTTGGGATGGTAAATATTGCCTGATAAGTTTATATGGGTATGGGTCAACATTGGGTGTCCCAATAATTGGATGGTTAATATATATGTTAATACCAGTAGTGCCGCACAAGGCGGTGGCGGAAGTTTCGAGGATAGGACACTATAGGAAAGGTGAGTTGTTGTGATGCATGGATGGCAGAGCGAATCCACTGATGGACCGAAGGGTGGTTGGAGTTGTGTTTTTCGGAGTGGTTGCAATGGTTGCAGTGGTCACCTCACTCACAGCTCCTGGATGTAGTGTGGTGTAGTGCAGAAGTTGTAGCTGTAGCTGTAGTTGTAGCTGTAGTGTAGTTGAAGTGTAGTTGAAGTTGTAATTGTCTTAATTGTAGTAATTGTAGTAGTTGCAATAGTTGTAGGAGTTGCAGTTGCAGTTGTAACTGTAGTTGTAGTGTAGCTGTAGTTGTAGTGTAGTATCGTGGTAATTGCTGTTGTAGTAGTGTAGTTGAAGTTGAAGTTGTAGTTGAAGTGTAGTTGTAATGTAGCTGAAGTTGCACTTGTAGTTGCAGCTGTAGTCGCAATTGCAGCTGTAGTGTAGTTGTAGTAGTTTTTGCAGTTGCAGCTGTAGTTGCAGTTGTAGTGGTAGTGGCACTTGTAGTTGCAGTTGTAGTTGTAGTAATTGTAGTTGAGGCTGTAGTTGTAGTTGAAGTGTAGTTGAAGTTGCAGTTGTGGTTGTAGCTGTAGTTCTTGTAGTTGAAATGTAGTTAAAGTGTAGCTAAAGTGGAGTTGGAGTTGTAGTTGTAGTGGTAGTGTAGTTGTAGTTGAAGTTGTAGTTGTAGTTGTAGTTGTAGTGTGGTAGTGCAGTTGCAGTTGTCTATCTCTCTGTCTATCTATCTGTCTATCTATCTGTCTATCTATCTACATATATATATATATATGTTTATCTATTCGTCTTTCTGTGTATCTATCTGTTTATCTATCTATCTATCTATCTATCTATCGATCTATCTATCTATCTATCTTATCTAATCTAATCTAATCTAATGTAATCTAATCTAATCTAATCTCTCCATCTACCTATCTATCTCTCCATCTATCTATCTATCTATCTATCGATCTATCTATCTATCTATCTTATCTAATCTAATCTAATGTAATCTAATCTAATCTAATCTAATCTCTCCATCTACCTATCTATCTCTCCATCTATCTATCTATCTATCTATCTATCTATCTATCTATCCATCTATCCATCTATCCATCTATCCATCTATCCATCTATCCATCTATCCATCTATCCATCTATCCATCTATCCATCTATCTATCTATCTATCTATCTATCTATTATACTATCTATATCTATATCTATATCTATATCTATATCTATCTGCAAGCTTGAAAACGAAGCTATTCTGCGAGACTTCCTCAGTTTTTTGAACTTGACAACATCAAAAACGAAGCAAATTCTGCGAGACTTCCTCAACTCTTGAACTTGACAACGTCAAAAATGAAGCAATTCTGCGAGACTTCCTCAGTTTTTCAAGTTGGCAACATCAAAAAAGATGCAATTCTGCGAGACTTCCTTCAAAATGGAAAGTTGCGTGCAGCGCTGACGGCCTCGTACCAATGCGTTTTGCGATTTTTCCGGTCCATCTGTCTAAATTGCTGCGCCTGCCACGAAAAAGTGATGCCAGGTCATACGAAGTGCTGCACCTGTCACGCAAAATCATCTCAGCAAACCTGAAGATCTGATGCTCCAAAATGCAGCACCTCTCAGGAAATCAGCTCCCTGACCTCCTAACATCTCTGATGAACATGTCTCTTGTACTGCGCCTGCCATGCGACATGCATCTTTCCAGATCTTCTTCAAATGTCACACGCCTGCCATCGATTTTGAAACTGCTACAAAACCCTCAGGTTTCGCTCACTTTTGACAACGGCGTGCAACTTTTCATCTCTCATCTGACCACATGGCTCCACGCCCGCCGCTTTAGCAAGCCTACTTTTCGACCCTCCGGAGCCACAAATCATTGGAAAACACAGGGTTTCGCGACTTTCCTACCTTTTCGCGCACCTGCATCTTCTTTCCTCTCACTCTTTCTCTTCTCTGATCTTCTCTCTTCTGCTTTTCTCCTTTCTGGCTCTTCCCACCTCTGCTTTTCCATCTGTCCATATTGTGGGAAGTTTGACTTCTAAACTTCCTTCGATTAAATAGACTTCAATCTGTGGTCCCCAAGGTCATTCATTTCGACCCACGCATATTGCGTGCTGGCAGAAACGCACTCTGCAGCCTCCGATCCTCGGGGAGACACCTGACAGCAGGGCACATGGCCGGTGGTCTTGGCTCGGCGCAGTAACTCAATAGGTTATGTTGGCTATGAAGTAATGATAATCTCCATCCAAAAAAAGGCCATCTGACCCAGCGACAAGATAAATGCGGATTTGAACAATTATCCTGGCAAGAGAGACCCCAAACAGTGTGGGGGAGCAAAAAGATCATGTATTATAATGCTGATGATTCATTGATGATGATGTTAATGTTGATGATGATGTTGATGATGATGATGATGATGTTAATGTTGTTGGTGATGATGATGATGATGGTAATGATAAGGATGATGGTGATGATGATGTTGATGATGATGGTGATGACGATGACGATGGTGATGGTGATGGTGATGATGATTATGGTTATGATGATTATGATGATGGTGATTATGATGATGATGATAGTGACGACGATGACGATGATGATAGTGACGACGATGACGATGATGCTGGTGATGATGGTGATGATGATGGCGATGATGGTGATGATGATGATGATGATGATGATGATGCTGATGATGAGGATGATGATGATGAGGATGAGGATGAGGATGAGATGATGATGTGGATGTTGAGGAGGAGGAAGATGATGAAGTTGAGGAGGATGATGTTGAGGAGGAAGACCGATCCCAAGACCGTGATGCGCGAGCCTGCGCCGTCGAAATGCACGTGGACATGTCACAAGAGGCATTTGTGCGGAAATTTACAGGGAAACCGCGGCCAGCATTTTGTGCGAGCCTGCGCAGTCGAAATGCACATGGACATGGGAAAATGCCAAACGCTTCCAATAACACCTGGAGTGAACACCGGGCATTAACACTTACCGTAAGAACCCCTTCAGTGTGGCCACACAGTTTGAGGAAACTTGAGGCCGGGGGTGGATGACGAAAGCTAGCGGGGTAGGAGAAAGAAGGAAGGGAAGAGGTGAGTTGCGGAGGGACTGTCATCATCGTGTCGCGGCATTGTTCGTCCCAACGAGGATGCAACAATGATATATGATATATGATATATAACAATGATATATATGGGGGAGGGGGCAGGGGGGGGGCCCTTTCGCGTGAAAAATCACGTGATGTCCTTGGGGAGCCCCGGAATACTTGCTAAAGCAAGAAGACTCTAGCGAGCTGACGCTACCTTTCGTGATAATGCCAACAATTGCCAATAATGATGAAATGTAAGTGAATAACGATGATGATGATGATGATGACGACGATGACGATGACGATGACGAGGACGAGGACGATGACGATGACGAGGACAGGAGGACGAGGACGATGATGATGATGATGACGATGACGAGGACGATGGCGAGGACGATGGCAATGATGATGATGATGATGATGATGACGATGATGATGATGATGATGATGACGATGAGGATGAGGATGACGATGATGATGATGGTGATGTGATGATGATGATGATGATGATGATGATGACGATGACGAGGACGATGACGATGATGATGATGATGATGATGATGACGATGATGATGACGATGACGATGATGATGATGATGATGATGATGATGATGATGATGATGATGGTGATTGATGATGATGATGATGATGATGATGACGATGATGATGATGACGATGATGATGATGATGATGATGATGATGATGATGATGATGATGGTGGTGGTGGTGATGGTGGTGGTGGTGGTGGTGAGGGGGGGGTCCCCCCCTTTCGCGTGAAAAATCACGTGATGTCCTTGAGCAGCCCCCGGAATACTTGCTAAAGCAAGAAGACTCCAGCTAGCTGACGCTAGCTTTCGTGAAATGATGTTCATCAAGAGCTGACTCTTATCTAAGTTTCAGATGTCTCATGAATGCCAGTGCCGCTTAAATCAAGGACGGCTGGACTTGGTCAGGCCACTGCTCGGATGATTAGCTATGGAGTCCCGAGAAATCCTTTGCAACCAATACCTGAAGATCCTGAAGGGTTGACAAATTGACAAACCCTCAAAGCAACACAGCTGAAACTTGGTCGACTGTTGCGCCTGGGATCCAACGTCTTTCCTCGGCCCTTCCTGAGGCGCCGTGGACATGCTGGACATGCTCCGAGCTTTGTTGCTCCTCAAAATCATCATTGGCTGGCGCGGGTTAGTTTTGAAACCCTCAAATGGATAAAACTATGAACTTATGATAAGGTGATGATATCCCCTCTGCTGGTGAATAAACTGCCATGTTGGTCACTTGTCCATTTTCGGATTTTCATACCCCATCCGTTTTTGCTTCCCATTTCCAGGGCATAGCTGGCATAGCTTGAGCTTGGTACAGAAAGGCATCCAAATGAGCGCACCACGTAGTAGAGGCCTGGTTTGGGCTTTGCTCAAAATCGATGATCCCCTGAGGATTGGACCCCTAAACCCTGGTGGGGGCGGAGCCCATGTTTCAGCATTGCTGTGTCCAAGGAAAAGAGTTTGCAACCGCGACTCCATTTACATCTTGTTTCGGTAAAATGTCCAGGTACAACTCAGAAAAAAACAGGAAGCAAGGGACAGAGTTTGCTAATCATTTTTGATATATAGACTGCATAATCATAAATCTGTCGCATGGAACTTTCTGGCGTATCCAAATTTGGACCAGCAAAAATTGAGATATTTGAGACGATGGCTGGGTCATCACGAACGCCAAGGCGCTGATGAAAAAATGTACCAACTATAAGCTCCAAGCACCCTCTGGCACGATTTGCGAAATACATATATCTGAAAATAATGGGAAAAACCCAACAAGGTTTTCCCTCATTAAACATCATGAAACTGCAACTTCGTCTATTGAAGAGGTTTTTCTACCGTGACCGCCCATTTTCTGTCACACTCAGATCGTGTGACCTGTGGCTGTTGACAAAAAGTGACACTCTCATGTTTTCAGTGGATCAACGCTGAGCCGAGATACTTAAAGCTGCACAAAGGCTTCCCAGAAGCGGCACAGCCAGATGTGCAGGAACCGCCTGCATCCGAAGGGCCACGAATTCCAGCTCCTGTTGAGGCATCGCTGGACAACCCATATGGTGTTTATTGGTTTGTGGATGTTTATTTCCCAAAATATTGTCATAATCGTAGTTTTGATCCCAATATCAATGATTTGAGGAATGACAGAGCATGTCAGAAAGATTGGATCCTCGGGACCGTCGAAGTCACAGATGGACTGGCCATTTGTATTGTGTGTTCTGCCAACTAATTTGATAGGACTAGCCACCTAGAATCAGGATGGGGTTCAAAAAAGTTGGTCCTTGGAAAAAAGGATGCCAAAGACCCAGAAAGCCAACAGGACTCCGAGGCCAAAGACCTCTCAGCTTTCGAGATCTTCCCTCGCATAACTATCCCATAAATTTCTCGTAAATGTCCAATGAACGAGCTTAAAAACACAGTACTGAATACAGTGCATAAGGTCCAAGACGCCTGAAGGGCTATATCTTTTTGAGCTATGCTTCTAGCCTCTCCGCAACTAATCGAGGCCCAGACCCAACTCGACCAAACATCGATGCACAGAGCCGAAAAGGCTTGAAGATAACCAAGCTTGCCGTGGTACTGGCCCCTGTGGTAGCGCATTGCATGCCTGCGGAGCATCCGTTCCAGTATCAAATCTCCATTCCAAACACCGAAACATTACTGGATAGGTTCAAGCGATAATCTACAAGAAACCATAGATGTTCCCATGAAATTTGGGGGTGTCCAATGAAAACACCAACCAAAATCATCCAACATGATCTAAAATCTGGCGGTAGACATGTAGAAATAGTGTCTAACCCTTAGATATCCTCAGAGCATCTGGAACAAGACAAGCCAGGAAGGATTGAGGATAGATGATTGAAGTGACATTGTCAGTGGACTCTATGGCTGTGAATAGCTCTAGCTATAGAAATAGACCGTTTCGTTTGGTTTCGGTGAACCTCCAGCTGACTCCATGGCCTCGAAATCCCTCAGAAAGCTGGGAAATTCTCGCCTCCCAAGGCCCATGGTGATCTCAAATGCCACAAAGGCGAAGGAGACCAAGAACAATTCTATGACCTTCGGCGCTTCGTCTCGCGGGATCTTCCAAGTTCCTTTTTTGTTGCGTTTTTAAGGGGGGATCGAAACTTCAAAGAGCTACAGTTGGGAAGAAGTTTGTTTGTAGCAAAACATGGACAACTATATATAAGGAGATGGAATGAAGCAAAGCTGCCAGGTATGTTGTGAAAGAGATCTCTAAGTCTCTAAAGGCTTTGACCCATTCACCTGTAAGAAGATGTCAGATGACTTTTGGCCAGTATTGATCTCACGAATCTGATCTTTTAAGATCTTTTAGTCAGCAGCTACAAGCCCAAATTTCCTCCAGTTCCCAGTCTACCTGAAACAACCAGGGTAAGCTCTTGCCCCAACTTGACCAAGACCCAGGCCACTGGTTGACACCAGTACAGTAGCGAATGCCTCAGGAGACTCATCCGTCAGGTTTTGTCGCAAGTGGCTTTGTTTGAAAACAGAGTACCTCCAATTCAAATGGTGTTTCCTCATTTTCCCTAGTGAACATGATGATTTTCCCAATTCCAATGGTTTGTCCCCATTTTCCCTATGAAATTTGCGGTTTCTCCCATTTTCAGACGCACCAACCATCTTTCAGATCGACTTTCAGCGGGCTACCAGAGCTTGCTCTTGGCCACTGAAAAGAAGTGCCTCGGAAAGGGCCCCAAAAACGACGTCTGGCCATCTTTAGGATGAATCCTAACCATGTTTCAGGAAAAGAAACCCAAGAAAAAGATAGATTGTGTTGGAACAATCATCCAATATCCGGAAAAATTTGGAGAAAACATCATCTAGTTCACATCCTGGAAATACGTGTTTATCTTTTTTTGCGATACTATGGCCCAATTTTCATCCAAATGTTTGCAACATCTCCAGTCGCAAACAAAAAGTGTCTCTGGGTCAGCAGCTGGAATGAGAGTGGCAGTGGAGCCGGCTGCAAGTGAGCGGGCCTTAAGATCAGGATGAAGCTTTGCCAATCAGGTTGATCACCTGCCATCGGAGAGCTCAGCTTCAGGCGCCACAGTTGTGGTCAACGTGTTTGGCTTGAAGGCCAGACCTGGCAACGATGCGGGGCAGCTTCAGTTGGAATTTGGAGCTTAGCAGCTAGAACTGAGGTAGAACTTATGGAGGTTATAGAAGTTATATACCCATGAAAATCAACCCAACCGCACCCCCAAGTGCTGAATACATCTCAAATGATCGTCGGATGTCAACTTCACACATACAGGTCAAGATTTCTGGTCCAAAAAGACCCGCAAATAGACTGGTTGTTTTTCTACAAACTTGCAAATTTGGGGTAGCTTCCAGTAAACAAGCATAGCTGTGGAATACACAGGAAACTCAACTATAAAGCAGTGGAGATTCCATGCGTAGATTGCTGGCAGGCTCGCTGTTCGGTCGTAACTGCTGAATAAGCATGGTGATTGCCTGCCCCCATTTCTTGGAGTTGTCCCCTATATCACTCAACAAACTAATCATGATCATTCTCCCTGTCATGTATCGGTTGCATCACATGTTTCTTACTTTTCCTAAGAAGGATCCAAAGAGAAATGCAGGTCGCATACCCAATGTCTATGACTTTTCACCAGCTATCCGCTGTTGTTGCGCACCTGTGTTCAACAGCTACCATTCCTTGCACCTGGACTCCCTGTCAAAGTCGCATAGAAGTCAACTCAGTTGTCAATTTAAGCTTACCTGGCACCCACTCTTGCAATATAGGAAGCCATGGTTATGTAATGTTACAGGTGAACAGAACCACTGATGGCAGCCACATGTGGCCACTATAGTATTTTTCCCATTTTCAATAGGGTGTTATCTGAAAATGCAGAAAAAGATGGTAAAATCGTTCATCATGTTTCTTTCTTGGAATGGCCATAAGATCAGGGTAAATCCAGCCACTGCGGCACCTTTCACCACCTCAATGGCTCCTTCGCGTGCCGCGTCGCTCGCCTCCTGCAGTGGAAACCCGATTAGGCCAAGATTAGGACAGCCGGTGGAAGTTCCACTAGCGGACACATCATGACACATGCCTGGACACACGCCACAACGGGTGAGCGGATCTCCTTGACCTCCTTGTCAGCTGACCGCTCCCCCTCTCGAAGGAGTGCCCCTGCCTCAGCTTGAGCAGCTCAGGGCCCTTGCGTGGCCGTGCTGTGAAGGCAGGGCCATCCGCACCTCGTTGGTGATATTCGGCAAGGCCTTCACAGCCTCATCGACAAATTGAGGCAGTTCCGTTCCACTTCAAGTGGAAACCCCAAAAGAAGATCGTTTCTGGTGAGTTTTTTTTGAAGTTGCCATGGAAAATAGATATATATATATATATAAACAGTTATGGATATTGACATGGACAGGTTCTCAGAGACTGTATGGGCTTGTCTGAAAGTAGGTCACTCCAAAATCCAGGATGAATCATCATCTTCCCTATAAAACTTGCCATAATTGGAGGCTTAATCCCCCATTTCCAGACACACCAGGTGTCCTTCTTGGTGATGTTGGGAAGGGCCTTGACAGCCTACCAGGGTGTGGTGGTTTTTCCAGGTTTTTCCCCCAAGCGGATCATCCCCAATTTGGGCTGAAACGTTGATGCCAAACAGTTCCGGTCCAGCCGTGTTGCCCCAGGATGGAAAGAAAATGCCCCAGGCTGGACCTAATTTTGCAGTCCACATCTCAGGCACTTTGAGTAATGGGGATTCGGAATTCCTTGTATTGGCTATATATATATATATCCATAATATATGTGTGTATATATATATATCCATAATGTATATATATATACATATATATATAATGTAAAATAATGTAATGTAATATCATAGAATATAATTTAATATAAAAATAGTATAATATAAACAATATATATATAAAATAAAATATAATATAATATAATATGATAAAATAAAGTATAGTATAATGTAATATAATGTAATATAATATAATATAATATAATAGAATTTAATATATATATTTTATTTTTTTTAGCCTAAGCGACCTTTGCTGAACGCACGCGGCCGTTGGCCCTAGGTCCTGCTGTGTGAACAAGGTTCAAAACGAAACGGAAGAATCTATGGACAAGAGGAAAACTAAAAGGAAACTACCGCTGTACAATCATAGCTCTCACTTCAGGCTACGCTTTTATTATCCAGAATCAGTAACAGGTCATCAAACTATCAAGTAGCATTGCAAGAAGGTTTGAAATGTAGAATTGTCACTTCACATGGAGAGGTTCACAAAGAGATGTTCAAATTGAGTGGTGGCATATGTGTAACTGTCATATACTGCCATGAGCTTTCCTCGCGAGATCCTAAATTAAAATAAATTAAAAACAGCATTCACATAGAGTCACGTTCAAACAGAGCATGTTCAAACAGAGCACGTTCAAAAGGAGTGTGTTCACTGGCGGATTACCTTAGTCAGCAAAGAAAAACCGTTATTTTTGTTAATGTTGAAAACGAGATGGTGGTAACTAGTCAAAAGGCGCTTGGTAGTTTCGCGCCGCAGCAATTAATGTCTCGCGAATTGTCCGGTTAGCTGGATCAAAAGGAACATGTGGTTGAGCGTTGTCAGCCTGTTGGATAATTTCCCAAGCTTTGCGCATATTTTCTGTTGTCCAGAATTTTCTGGGTCTGCCTACTCTACGCAGTGTAGGGACTTTTGGTCTGGCAAGGAACGAATCAAAAGTGACTTGGTGCTGAGGATGCGATCTTGGGCGTCTGAGTACACGCCCCAAAAGTTTCAAACGTTTGTCCTCAAGGATCTCAGTCAGCGGTTTAATTTTTCGGAGTGGACCAACTGAAGGGGCCTCTAAGGCATCATTTGCTTGTTGGTAAACAAACTCATTTGTGTTGTTTCTGTTGACGAAAGTGGTATGTAAGTTCAGAATCTTGCGTAATCCTTTTAGTTGGAAAACGTCGAGCATCCGACCAATATTTTCTGTAGGCTCAAGGGATTCCAGTCCATACAGCACCCGGCTCACTATAACCGAATTGTAGACTAGCAGTTTCCACTTTTTGTTACAGCGGGTTTTGTTCCAAAAAATGTCTAGCTTTTTGAGAACTGGCATCGTATTGGAGATTCTACGCCGAATTTCTTGCGCCGGATTCGGCGTATTTGTGATCACAGAGCCCAGGTATTTTGCTTCTGTGGTTGGTTTCATTTCGGTGCCATTTCTGAAACGAATATTCCCTCGTGGTGCGTTGAATTTGATGTAATTGCATTTATCGTGATTAAGTTTAAGATGCAGGTATTCGGATTCTTTTTCAATCAAATGAAGGAAAGCGTTTGCTGTTGCCGAATTTTTTGCAATGATAAGTGTGTCATCAGCATAAAGCAGCTCTTGGAAATTTATGCCTTGGAAAGTTTTGCTATGAAGGGGGTCATGGTACTGATTTTTGACATCATGAAACATTACGTGCATCGTGAGGATAAATAAGTAGGGGCTAAGCGGGCAACCTTGTCGAATCCCAGTTCTTTGTTTTTGCCAATCGCTGCTATGGTCAGATTGGAGGACTTTGAAAGTCGGGTTCGAGTAAAGACTCTTAATATTGTCAAGAATGTTAGGTGGAATCTGTAGTCTAGAAAGGGATAAGAACATCTTTTCATGATCAATTTTATCGAAGGCTTTTTCCCAATCTAAAAAGATTAAAAAAAGAGGGTCGTTGCCTTGTTCAGCGAAATCCGCGAGTCTGCGAACGCAGAAAAGTGGTTCTGCAGTGGAACGTTTGGGGCGGAAACCATATTGAGTGTCCCCTAGTAGAGGCTCCAGGATGTTTGCGAGGCGACTTTGAATGATGCTTGCAAAAATTTTGTAGCTGGTGTTCAGGAGCGAGATGGGACGATAGTTTTCAGGATTGTCGTGCGCACCTTTTTTGTATATACAGCATACTTGTGCTTGGGTAAAGGAATCAGGAACTTGTTTTTCAGTCCAGAAAACATTCAAGCAGTCGGTGAGCTGCTCCAATGTGTGATCATCAAGCCATTTGAAGAGTTCTGTGATTGCTCCATCGGGTCCTGGCGTTTTGTTGGTTTTTAGTTTGGAGATCGCGTTTCTAACTTCATTTGCAGAGAGGTTTCCTGTAAAGAAAGGTAGGGGGTGGGAAAACACGTTTTCTCGAGCATTCTCAGGTGGGGGTGATGGGCTAGTAGGCCCCCATTGTTTTTCAAACAAATATTCAGCAATTGCATCTGCTTTTTTTGATAGAGGGACTCGATTTCCTCGGATGTCTTTGATGTCATAGAATTTGGGCATGTAATCACGTTTTTCATATTTGATGTGCTTCCAAGAATTTTTGATATCCGTTAGATCTTCGAGCTTATTAATGCGCCATTGTATTTTATCTCTTTTAGCACTTTTCTTGATTTCACGATTCAAGACTTGCTCGGCTTGGGTATCTCTCCTTTGTCTAGCAATTTGTCGTTGATTAATTAAGTGCCAGGTATAACGAGAAAGGTAATCGCGATTTTGTACAACATGTTTTTCGTCAAAGATTTCCAGCGCCGCCTTATGCAACTGAGATACAAAACGACAGCAGTTACTAAGTTTCTCATCCAGTGTACCGGTCTTAAAAATGAACTGAGAATGGACCTGCTGATTATATCTTTGAAGCTGAACGTCGGTTGGTTGGAAAAATCGTTTTGCATTTTGGGCCGCTTTACCTCTACTTTTGTGCTTGCGTAGTTTCAGGCGCATGTCTGCAACAACCACCGCATGATCACTATTGAAGGCAATGTTTGTGTAAGAGTGGACATCGAGGACTGCATTTTTCCATCGTTGTGGCGCAAGAATAAAGTCCAGTTGGGCAAATCTGTCAGGCGTCCATGGAGCTTTGAAGCCATCAGTTCTGGCATCTTTGAAAGTACATTTGTGTTCATTGGCCTTGTTGAAGAAAGTATTGGAGATAATGAAATCGTTTGCAATACAAAAATCAATCATAAGTTGACGGTTTTCAAGTTGCTCTTCAGGAAGCCTTGTTACAAAACCTTGGCCCCAGCCAAAAACGTGCGGACCAACGACGGTTTCCTCGATTTCATGTGCGCGACCATGTAAGCGCGCATTTGCATCACCAACTACAAATGTAGGCATGCAGCAGGAGCGTGCTTGAGTGATTTGGGTTAGCAGGCCCCAATGTGTATCCTTTTCCCCTGATGGTTTTGCACTATGTGGCGCGTAATGATTGAGAATGCATATGTCTGGACCTTTATTGTGCAAGTGCAGTTCTATTAAACGACCATTATGAGGAACACAATCTGCAATAATGTCAATACAGCGTGGACCGATCACAAATCCTACCCCGCAGTGTTCAGTTCTTTGCGCACATTTGGCCTTTGCTTTGGCTTGTGGCGCTTGCGCGATATGACGCTGAGTGTCGTTGGCGGAACTGAAAAAGAACCTGTACTGGTCGTTGGAACCTTCTTTAACACGGCATTCTTCACTGCAGTGGTTGACTTTGGTTTCTTGCAATGCCAAAACATCAATTTTGAGTTGACGCATGATTTCCATAATTTGCTTTCGTTTTGATTGCTCGTTAAGCCCACGGCAATTCAGCGTGCCCATACGCCATTTGTGGGCATAGGGTAGGTAATTATTGTTATTGCCCTGTTGGGGTGGGGATGGGCTGGCATCATTTTTGCTGATGAAATAGTTTGCTCTCCGTTTTATCATTCTACTATACCTACGTTGGCTTTTGCGTTTGTTGCGGAGTTCGCATGTCCCAATCCATTTGGAGATGGTTTGAGTTTTTTTCTTTTTGCAGAGTTTGTTAACTTGATTTGGTACAAGCGTTCCTCCGTCAGCGTACTTATTCGATCTGTATTCTTCAAGTGTGAGGGTTTGCTTCAGCAGGCTAGGTTCTTGAGTTGCGGTGCCCAACAATGAGGCTGCAACCACTTTCCTCATTGCTGTACTGCCAATTTGTTTGAACTTACGCCAGTTCCTGCGATTATTTTTCCGAAGGTTTCTCCAATGTTCAAATTTGGCACGTTGTTTAGCACTGTTTCGGTTACCTCTCCTGGTTTTTCTTTTTACGCTACTTTTGTGTTGGGCAGTTTGGCATGGGTGCACATTCTGATGACGCTGCTGAATGGGAAAAACCATTCGCGCTGTCAACCCGGCTCTCCTCTGGAAGGTAGGGTGATTATAAAATGATCTTCCCTTTCGGGCTTTATTTTGGTCGTTTCTTTTTTGGGGGTGCCCACTCACATGTATTCGGCGCGCGGAACTTTTTCGCACGGATTGGTGGTGTGCATTCCAAAAACCTTTGAGCGGTCTTTGTTCAAAAGGAGCTTGTTCAAATTGAGACTGTTCAAATGGAGTATATCCTGAATCAGGCTTCTTCAAATGGAGTCTTTTCACATAGAGCTTTTTCATATTGAGTCAACCCTCGGCCATCTCAAACTTCGATCTCGCGTCCTCTTCGTCCTGCAATGCTGAGCGAACTTTCTCATCCTTTTTCCAGCTGGTAACTTTGATAAACTTCAACCAAAATGGGTCTCTAGGATCAAATGGCGTGTCAAGGCTGGAGAAAGCGCCTTTGCCGCGGCCTTTGTTTGGGGGTCTGCTCTGTCGTCCTTTTCCTTTGCTGCCAGCTGTTGAGTATAGGTCTTCAATTTTGGTTTCCATAAAGGGATGGATGAGGTCAAACACTGAACTGTGGATGAAGACTTGGCAAGTCGCATTGGGGTAAGAGAAGTGACACCATACTAAATACTCTCCAGTGCTGGTTTCTTTGACAGCATTTTCGCCCCAAACGGGGTAGATGTCAATGCGTTGTTGGCTGTTGTCTCCTATGCAAGCCATTGCGGCTTTGAGGTAGCGGCCCCGGATTCGGGCATCTTCGGACAGCCTTTTTTCTGATCCGGATTTGGTTGTGGGTTTGACGTCCAGTGGCTTGGGACTACCACCACAACTGTTGTTTGCGGCGGGAGTACTGGTCTGTATACCACTGGAATGTTTTGTTCCTGTGCCATCCCGATGAGAACGTCACTAGGATGGTGTTGCTAATCTCTCCCCGGGTGTTTGTTAAGCTGGCCTGGACATCCGGATCATTGCATTCTGATGCTTCAAGGATCCATTTGATGAATGCGTGTTTGTCTGTGGGGGTGGCTTCTTTGGGGAATCCTTCTACTGTGAAAGAAAGGGAGGCCTGTTTTGCGTCTTCTTGGAGTCTCTTGTATACAAGGTGTGCACCAATCCTGGACTGGGTTTCGATGTCGTAGATGGCTTCTTGTAGGTTGTCTTGGACATGGTCGACTGTGGCTTGTAGGTGCTCAATTCTTCTCTTGTTGCGGTGACGTTCGCTTCTCAAGATTGCTTGTAAGTCATCTGTTGTCAAAGCCTTGTTGTGTAGCGCTTCTTCTTCGCGCTGAAGCTGTTCATCGTTTGTGTCTGGGATGCTTGAGTGGTCTGATGTGCGACTGACGCTTCTCTCTCTTCGTTTCTCCTCAGGTCTCCTCAGGGGTGTCTTTGTGCCATCAGTTCTGATGGGGGATTCCATGGTCATCAGTTCCATGTTGCGTGTGGCTTTGGTAATCTGTGTTGTTTCTGTTGTTTCGCTGCCTGACTGTTGGCTTTTGGAGCTTCTTGCCTTGGATTGCTGAGATTCTTCATCACTGTCTGAGAGTGTTTGGAAAGTAACTGTTGCTCGTGGCTTCTTGGCAATCTGTTCTGGGGCTTCACCTGTGCTGAGTGGTTCTTTGCATTCTGGTGATTGGAACTCTAGTCTCTTCTTGGCTTCTGGGTCAACTTCCATTTCTTCAACTTCTTCTGTCTTTGTTTCCTTCCCATCGTTGTTTGGCTTGGGTTCTTGTGCTTCTTCTTTTGGCTTCTGTCTTGCTCTGTTTTCTGTGGGCGTACGACTCTTCTCACGGGTCTTCTCACGCGGCGCCATGGGAGTGCGGTGCGGAGACGGAAAACAAGCGGGGGGTCCCAAACAAAAACCCTAGTGCACTTTGAGCCTAGAATTTAATATAATATAATATAATATAATAGAATATAATATAATATAATATAATAAAATACAATCTAATATAATATAGTATGTTACAATATAATACAATAAAATATAATATAATATAATATCATACAATCATATATAATTTAAAATAATATAATATAATATAACATAACATAACATAATATAATATAATACAATACAATACAATACAATACAATATAATATAATATAATAATGTAATGTAATATAATATAATATAACATAATATAATATAATATAATATACATATACATATATATATATATACATATATATATATATTCATTCCAAGTTTTTGACCATGGCACATGTGGAAAGAAAACAAACAAAACAAAGGACGGAAAGGCTCCACGGAAGACACCTTGATCCCGTCCTCCTCAATGTCTCCCACCACCTCAAACCAGCTCAACTAAGTCTTAACCGTGACACATGTGGAAAGAAAATGACAAAAGAGTTACGGAGCTCTCTATCAATTTGTGCAACCCGGCAAATCACAACATCCCTCCACCAAAGATGCCTTGATCCCGTCCTCCTCAATGTCTCCAACTACCTTCAAATGACCAGGGGGGAGGTTGCACTTCCATGGATTCTCTCGCAGTAAATCCCTAAGAAAATGGGAGATCATCGACAAAAATAATTTCGAAGAACATGAAAGATCATCGACATCTCTGAGAAGGAAAAGAATTTCGAAGAACATGAAAGATCATCGACATCTCTGAGAAGGAAAAGAATTTCGAAGAACATGAAAGATCATCGAAATCTCTGAGAAGGAAAAGAAGTTCGAAGAACATGAAAGATCATCGAAATCTCCAAGAACGTGGGAGAAAGGTTCAAAAAAACTTTGGCAGCCGGGAATTTTGTGCCGCCTGCTTCCCCGTTTTGGCGATTGTCTTCACTTCCTTCTCGGCATCATCGACCTCGGGCTCGGCGGCTCGGCCCTGAGAACCAGAGTCCCATGGATGATGGTTCCGATAAAGAAAAATATTTGGTAGCATAGTCCCATAGTCATCAACAATATATTGGGTAGTATAATCCCATACAGCCATCCACCAGCTCATGTGGGGTTTGACTAACGAAACTTGGGGTTGTACCGGCGGAAACTGGGGCTTCACCAGCGAAAGATTGGACATTGACGGATTGAACCACTAAGGAACTGGTCAGTCTTATCATTGTACTATGACGTGATAGCGGTGATGTTGTTAACAACTAATGTTTATACATCTAAATATTTATGTATACATATATATATATATATACCACATGACCACATGTGTGTGTATATATATATGTGGTACCCCCCAAGACCTACCTTTCAAGCAAATTTAGTGGTGTTTACGGTGTTTCTCTTTTGGTGATCAAAAATTGCATTTTTTTGCAATTTTGTTCCCATCCCATCCCACCCTTCCTTAAGTACATCGGACCCAAGATTCAAGATTCATGATTCAAGATCTCGAAAAAACTTCTTGAATCCAAGGGGGTAGGATTCAAGATTCAAGATCCCAAAAAGACTTCTTGAATCCAAGGGGGTAGGATTCAAGATTCTAGAGTCAAGATTCAAGATCCCAAAAAATCTTCTTGAATCCAAGGGGTCACGATTCAAGATTCAAGATCCCAAAAAGACTTCTTGAATCCAAGGGGGTAGGATTCAAGATTCTAGAGTCAAGATCCCAAAAAAACTTCTTGAATCCAAGGGGTCACGATTCAAGATTCAAGATCCCAAAAAGACTTCTTGAATCCAAAGGGGTAGGAGTTCAGATTCAAGATCCCAAAATAACTTCTTGCATCCAAGGTGGTAGGATTCAAGATTCAAGATCCCGAAGGCCTCCAGCCTTGAATCTTGAATCCAAAGAGGTTGGATTGAAGAAGCTTTTTCTGAGCCTCGAATCTTGAATCTTGAATCCAAAGAGGTTGGATTCAAGAAGTTTTTCTGAGCCTTGAATCTTGAATCCAGATACTTAGAATAATATTAGTCACCAGGAATTGCAATTTCTTGCACTTTCTTTCAAATGATCGGCCTGTCTGCTAAGGATTCCTCAAATAATTTTGCTTATCCTGTAAAAGAAAATTCTAAAGCCCGTTAATTTTTCTTTGCTTTCCAAGCAAATCAATCAACTTTGGCAAAAATAACGAAACAATAAAATGCAATGAAGGTAATTAGATTCATCATAGTAAAAGTAAAATAAATTGAAAAAGAACCTTCTGCAATCTTAAACAGCAATTTATTTAACAAACAAGAAGAAAAAAATTGAACAACAACAAGTAAAATTACATGAACTCATCCGATAGCAATACCTCTTTATCTACAGATCAATCAAAACCTTCCCAACAAAATGTATTAGAAAGGGTTGCAGATAGATCGGCAAAGACAATGTTCTTTAAAAGAAAACATGGTTGCAATTTATGTTTAGAAAAAGGGTAATAGACTATTTTAAAAAAAACTGAAATGCTATCAAAGTTAACACCACAAAATGGTAGAATATTATCATTAAAAAACACAAACAAATCAATCTGAAAAAAAACATATTCAAGATTAAAAAATGATTTGATTAACTTAAAACTAGATCCTCAGAATATAGAGCTAAAAGAACCAATAAAAAATATAGGATCTTTCGAAGTAAAAATACACATTCACCGTTCACCCAATGCTGGAAACTTCTAGAATACCTATTAAAATATCACAAAATTAAGAACTATAAAAAAGTAAGACAAATTATAATATGACACATATATGAAAAACTGATCTAGTTTTTTGTTTTTACTTTCAATTTATTATCATCAGAATCATTTATGTTTAACACGTAATATATCTAATCCAAGCACTCCTGGATTTAAAGCAATGAAATTACAAGATCATCTACATTATACAGATTTTAAATGAAATATTAAAGCAAAAAAATATCGACTCTTCTACCAAAAAAAGATTGTAGATGCTGAAGAAAAAGCTAATGAAAATAACGTAGATTCACAAGAACAAATAAGGCAATTAACATCAAATGAGAATATGATTGATAGTTGTGAATTTATTATGCAAAGTTTGATGGAACGTTACGAAATTGCAGGAGGATTAAAAGGTAATTGCATTGTAAAATCAATATGTCACAAAAATATAACTGGAGATCAGTCTTATACATATCTGTTATACTTTCTACACCTTTATGATCTGCAAAATCTTACGTAAATAAACAATTAATATCTCAAGGTGCACTAAATATATCATCTAATCTTGCACAAAGCTCAGCTTGGGTAGAAGCTAAAAGGTTTCAAATTGCTACAGAAAAATTAATAATTAATAAACATGAATTCCACCAGTAGCCACTATTTTTTAAAAAAAAAACTACCTTACAAAAAGTTGTATTCATCAAAAAAGATTTTTTTAAAAAAATAATGTGCTATACTCTGTTGTAAAAGCAGATAACAAAATGTCAATCCATCCATTCCCCTAATCACTGCAAATGCTAAAGGTTATGTAAAAATACCAAATGTTGTAGAAGATATTGAAAAAGCAAACTTGCAAGAATCCGATCATAGATATAAAATTCGTGTTGATGCTGTATATCAAAAATGTCTGAACACATAAAAAAAGAAAACATTAAATGTAAGGAAATAAATATGTCAAATATAGATGTTACAGCGCTATGATGCAGCTACATATGTGGGCAGGATGTGTCCAGGCGCATGCGCCCAAGATACTTTCCTGATACAGTTCTACAATAGGTGATAAGATCAGAAGGAAGACAAGGCATTCAGGAACATATCTGCTACACACTGCTACACAAAAGGTAGGTCTTGGGGGGTTGCATAGATTGTACATGTGTTTGTACATAAATCTCTATATATATAATATATATGGTATATGTATGCATGCACGTATGCATGGCAATCTGTCTGTTCGTCTGCCTGCCCGTCTCTCTGTCCTGTACCATGCTCGCACGACCCAAAAATCCCCATTCCACTGCCACCCTGTCCGAGCTCTCTTTTTGTTCCGGCTGCGGTGATGCCGGAAAGATTCGGCCTGGCCAAGGAATGACAGAAACGACCGAAATCATCGGAAATCGCTTTTGGCCCAAGTATTCCAAAGGCGGAGTCCAGAATGAACGTGATTTCAGAATTTCAGAAAGTAAAAAAAGAAAAGGGAGTAACAACAACAACAACAACAACAACAAAAAGAACAACAACAAAAAAAAAACAACCACAACGACAACGACAACGACAACGACAACGACAGCGACAGAGACAGAGACAGCGACAGCGACAGCGACAGCGACAGCGACAGCGACAGCGACAGCGACAGCGACAGCGACAACGACAACGACAACGACAAACGACAAACGACAAACGACAAACGACAAACGACAACGACAAACGACAACGACAAACGACAACGACAAACGACGACGACAACGACGACTACAACAACAACAACAACAACAACAACAACAACAACAACAACACCAACAACCAACAACCAACAACCAACAACCAACAACCAACAACCAACAACCAACAACCAACAACCAACAACCAACAACCAACAACCAACAACCAACAACCAACAACCACAACAACAACAACAACAGCAACAGCAACAGCAACAGCAACAACAACAACAACAACAGCAAATGCCCTCGGACAATGCCTTTCTTCGCGACACAATTCTTTTTTGGCCAATGCCTTGGGTTTGGAGCTTTCCCCCTGAGTCACCTTGTCCATCGTGAAGCATCAAGCTGCACTGATGAAAGGCGCTGCGCAGCAGCGCAGCAGCAGAGATCTCCTGCGACTACGTTGAGGGTCCCTGGCCATCCCTACGTGAGGTGATAACCATCTCCAAAGTGGGTTGAACTTCATCCACCTGACCATGACACATATGGCCATGGGTCACAATTCAAGGCCTATGTAGTGTCGTTACGATTTGGAGCAATGGACCCAAGAATCAATGAGAAGTATGTACTACAAACAACTAAACAAAAACCCAGAAATCAATGGATTGTTTAACTTGCGAAAATCTACCGAAACCATGATGTTACCCCGAAAGCCTCAGGTTTCCTCCAAATGTTCCCCTCATCCAATTTAGGTCCTTTCCAACTTCCGTCTGCGGCACTTCCTGATTTGGGGTGTCTCCAAGTCTCTCCAACTAGCTTTTGTCCATCGTGTATCCCATTCCATCCGCTGGTTCATCATCATCATCAACATGTCTCCATGAAAATAGCCAGAAACATCTGGTGTTCTCATCTCAAGGTGAAGTCTGCGCACTATATCCCATGGCAAGTTTCCATATTCCACGAAATGTCCCAAAAAAAATGCTTGGTTGTGGGTCAACACCTTGTACCCCCAATGAACCATCATTACCGAAATGGTTTATACACACACTGGTCACCACTACCATCCAAAGTGCTACCAATACGTTTTGACCCACAGCCATATTAGGGCGGTTTCGTTTTGTCACGGGACCCTCAAATCATCCAGTCATCACATCCATGACTTAGTAGAGCTATGCAGCTATGGTGACATGAGGATCCTCCATTTTTGGAATTCTCCTAATATGGTTGGTTCTCTGATGAGGTCATCGCCTCCACCTTGGACCAATTGGACTCCACGGACAGCGCAAGGTCCGCAGCCAGCGGCCCCGGCGCCTCCTTGGGAAGTCTTATCCATTGATAGCTTTACTCAATGGATTGCCTGTAAATTTTACAGGGAAAAAAACATAGAAAGAATGGGAAAATCGATGGTTTCCGGTTTCGATTTTGCCTCCAATCCATTGGTTTACGGTTGACCACACTAGTGAATCTTAATTGACAAATTCTCGTATATTGATGTTGCCTGCAGAAGCAGACGTTCGCCACGCGCTCACATCATCTCCCGTTTTCTCCATCATATTACATCATTGCACATGGATACATGTCTGCCACCCCCTCAAACAATACGTATAAAGGTCTTATAATGGTTAGATAATGTTTTATTTTCTTCCATCACATTACATCATAACAAAAGGATATATACATGCAAAAGGGCCGCTTTCTGCGAGAAAACCTAGGATCCGGGAGAACCAGAAATTTACGTCAAGAACCCTTCCACGACTTCGTCGGATTCCTTCCACGACTTTGTAGGGTCTGTTGAAAACTCCGGTCGTTTCGCGCGAGAAAAAAATAGGCTCCGGGCAAACGTCCGGATCTATTAATGAAGGGGAAGTTCTTTCTACCAGTTCATAATCAATGAAATAATTGACTAGTTGCGTATACTAATGGCACAATGCGCAACAATGTTGTGAACATAGCTAGAGAACTTCATTACTATTGCCATAGTTGTTAGTTACAATATGTTACAATTGTGAACTATCGATTGGGAACTGAGGATCTCAAATGCTGCCTACATTGTTTAATTAACCCTACCCGACAGAATGAAAGTGCCCGAAGCACCACACATCACCACACCCTATTCAACATGCCCCTTCTTTGCTGCAGTATTTGTACAATCCTTCATTTAGTTTCATGACATTCTCAGCATTTCAACCTCCAACCATTTACTTCAAGGATTTTCCCACGTTTGATGACACCAGAGGCTACTTCTCTATGGTCACTCCCAGCTTTTCCCCACCAATGCTTCAGCAATCTCATCAAGCATAATCAGTCACCTCCAGTTAGTGCCATTGTCAAGTAGGCTTTGGGGGGCCCTGGTCATCCCACCATCATTAGCCCAATGCCTGCATTAACATGATTAACCCCCAGCAATGGAGAGATGACCATCCACGTCATCCACGGCATTATGCCAAAACCAACGGCAGCCAAAGACTTTTTCGAAAAAAAACATGGCTGAAATTGGCAAACCTGTGGTGAAACCTTCGAGATGCAGGAAACCGGACCCTCCTCATGGAATTCCAAGAGTTGTCCGAACATCAAATCACTTTGTATTGGCGGCGACGGGGGATGTCAGCTGCGCGGAGTTTTTTTCGCTCCGACTTATCCGGGATCACTTGGCCTCGAGAGAAAGACTGGAGATTCCTGTTTCCCAAGACCACGATGTAAATATCATTGCATAGATACACCATAGATACAGATGACACAACATATATTCTGGGTAAATTATAATAATGCGCTAACCTGAAATAAGGCCATTTTGGGACGATTCCTCTTATTAACCATGATTCCAGTGAGGTCGCAGTGAGGTCGCTATAATTTATTCAGATACATTGTATTACGAGTCATTGGATGTGTAGATGTACCACAGAGAACCAGAGATAGAGAGAGCCGGTGGGCTCTATAGGCCCATTTTGGGCCCTAGCTTGCCTGAACACAGGCTACATGGGGTCAAAATGGTTCCATTTAGGCTCAACAAGAGTGAACGTTGTCCCAAAACCAACAAATGAGCCCATTGGGGGAAAACAATCGCACAATAGGATTTCTAAGAGGATTTTAGAACGTTAAAGTCTGTGTCTGGGATAACTTTGATCTATACTTACTTGACCCTAAAAAGAAGTAAAAGTTTATACTGATCGCACAAAGTTTCAAAATTCAAGTTACAAACAGGTTTTACGTAAGCTTTATTGTAATTTAGTCTTTCTGAGAGAGCCTACACGTTCTGCCATGAGCAAACAATTCCGGTGCAGTCGTGATCGCAAAGCGACCAGAATACTGGTTGGTGAATAGTTAGCCCAGTATCCGTTACTTCTGGGTTTTCATAATCCCGAATAGATTAGGTAGTACGACCTCCTATGTCTGATATTCCGATATTTGGGGTGATTAAACCCCCATCAACCACTATCATGGTTAAATCCCATTGAAATTCACAAAAAGATCCAGTTCAAACATATATAGATTTACCTATATATCTATATTATATATATATACAATGATATACATGTCTACATGGTTTATTCACGATTCATGGGGTGACCTTCTTAGAGACTGGGACCGAGATGCATCGGTGGCGGCTTTTTGACATCTCCTCTGAAGCGATCGGGGCATGAACCCATGGTGTAGCAAGCGTGGCCTACCAAAAATGTCGATATAGGTAATGGATATGCATGTGTGTGCATTTGAGTATATACATATGTATATATATATATATTTGTTATTTATATATATGTATATTTGTATATATATATATATACATATCCTACCAAAAATGGTGTTTGATAGGATATTAATGGGATATAACGATCAATTTAATTGGAATTGTTATGGGATTTGATGGGAATTTCATGCGATAATAGATGTTAATGGGATACAACTATACGGTATCTATATATATATATATAGTATCCTACCACAAATGCTGATTGATTGGAATGTGATAGGATATTAACTGGAAATGCAATTGGATATATCATCTGCTCGGGGGTGCCGTTGAGGCTACAAATGGGTATGACCATGGGCATTTCAGCCCCCATAAGTTGGGATATGAGGCCACGTGGCACGATAGCTAAGTTGACGCAGGTCGAACTTCATGAACTTGGTCAGCTTGGGGAATGCAATGAACTAGTTGATGCGTTTTTAAACCAACAAGCATAACTGGGGGGTCGTCACCTTGTAGGCACCAAAATGGTTGGGTTTAATGGGACTTTTCATTGGATGTGATGGTGATGTGTTTTGGGGATTGAAGCAAGATAATAGAGATATTAATGCGAAATACCCTTCAATACTTTAACATCGCTATGCGAAATGGCCCATTTATATGTGATTATATAATCTAATCTAAATTTTCATTGAATTACCATATGGTATACAATGGGATATGATGGATACTAATGGGATACGGTATATATATGACCAACGTGACATGGTTATGGGACTGTCTGACACTGTGGTATTTACAAACCATTTTAATGGTCATCAAATCATGCTGTAAAGGCCAACATGAACCAATGGATGGAATGGGAGTACCCTACTCTCAAACAAATCCATACAGCCTGTGTTTGTCCATGTTGGGGGGGATACCTCAATTAGTTTGCCTAAAAACTATAGTAGCTCCCATAAAGTTGGAAAAGTAAACCATCACTATTTCAGTGGGATTCTATGGTTTTTCTTTCTTGTGGCATTACTATAAACCAACACAGAATAATAGAAGCCTTTAAACTTAAACCATAGGACCTAGATAAGATAAGGCACCTAAACCTAGATAATGATCTTAAGTGTTGGCCTAGATGTTTTCAACATATTAATGTTAGTAAAGCAATGTCATAAACCACCGATGTTTTGATGGTTCATACCCAGCCATAAAAGGGTAAAATTGGGGATGGTTTACAATTGCTATACTCACATTAGATGATATTTACCTCAAATTTCAAGGGTTAAAAAAACTGTTCTATCTATGACAAGGGTTGCTATATGCTAATATGTTTCAGTGATGTCTTGGTGCCTAAAATTTAAACTGTTGAAGTGAATCAGACCATTCAAACGACTAGCTCAATGAGTCGAGGTAACCTACATGCCGCAGCAAACGAACAACTTTGTAGAAACCATACATATTATTCATAGTATTAATTAGTATTATATACAATAAGTATATATATATATGGACAGATAGAGGTGTGTAAACCCAAAAACTCCAATTCTTGAGGGTTTATATGGGCTTATACACTTTATAACACCAATGTCTGCTAAATTTGGGGCTGGTTCATGAGGTTTACCGCATCACCTGTCCTGCGTAGCTCCCAGGATTTGGCGGGTCATCTCCTTCCTCTGCAACCTGTCGCGGTACCCGTTGGAAGTTTCAAGGAACAAAACACACCGCACTTCTTTCGCTTGTGCGCTGAAGATGGATTGCTGAAATATGGTAATTGTAATGATAATGAAAACTATTCCAGTAATTATAACTGTCCTTGGAAATAAATATAATGATAATGGATGATAATGGATGATAATGGATGATAATGGATGATAATGGATGATAATGGATGATAATGGATGATAATGGATGATAATGGATACTATTCCAGCGATGAATTGTTGAAACCTTACATACCAAGCAACTCTGTCCTTCTTCTTTGTCGAACCTCAGCGAAGCAGCCAATCATGATCAAATCCTTGAAATGAAACAATCAATTTGCACTTCTGCGCAAGCTTGACTGCAAGCCTGCTGATACGACAAGATTACACCTGATTTCCGTGAAATACACACATGATCACACATGAAACTGTTGATTTTTCATCACTTCTCCGCACTTTGCAGTTATAATTCCTGACCAGCAGCCACTAGTTTTTTCTGCCTTTCGAACAATCCAGGCGTGTTCAAGTGCCGCTTCTGCCTGAGATATGACAAGACACGTGTGAGTCCCAAATTCACCGATTTTGTGGGTGCAAAATGTCACCCATGTTGAGGTTCCAATCAAAAATTGTCGTGAAAGAACTGCAGGCTGCATTCTTACCAGCAGATTGGTTGATCCACGGCATGGGTTTGGACTCCTACAAGGGGATGCCATGACCATAGTGCCATAGTCACTGGCTCCAGATCGATCCTTCAAAACTGCTTCAAACTGAGTTGCGGAGAGCCTCTCCTCCTGGCTCTTGCAAATTAACCTCAGATCTGGCAGATCGATCCCTCCATGCCATCTCTCCAATGCCCCATCATGTCATCGGAATTGCAGACAAGTCTCTGCCGCAGCATGTTTCCTGAGGGCTGTAAGTGGGTAGTACATAACCATAGCCGAAGGAAGTTTAGAAGCCAAACTTGCGACAATATGGACAGATGGAAAAGCAGAGGTGGGAAGAGTCAGAGAAGAGAAGAGAAGAGAAGAGGAGAGAAGAGAAGAGAAGAGAAGAGAAGAAGAGAGAAGATCAGAGAAGACAAAGAATCAGAAGAAAGAAGATGCAGGTGCGCGAAAAGGTAGCAAAGTCGCGAAACACTGTGTTTTCCAATGTTTTGTGGCTCCGGAGGGGCGAAAAGTAGGCTCGCTAAAGCGGCGGGTGCGGAGACATCTGGCCAGATGAGAGATGAAAAATTACACGCTGTTGTGGCGAACCACAATTCGAAGTCAAAATGCGCAAAACACGTCAGCTTCGGAGCACTTTTAGGAATTGAGCGGTCGAAAAAGTGCACGCCTTTGTGGCGCGAAGCACATTTCGAAGTCAAAATGCGCAAAACACAGCAGGTTCAGAACACTTTTGGGTTGAGATGTCGAAAAAGTGCAGGCCGCTGTGGGGCGAAGCACATTCCAAGTCAAAATGTACAAACCACACCATGCTCGGAGCACTTTGGAAGTTGAGATGTCGAAAAAGTGCACGCCGTTGTGGGGCGAAGCACATTTCCAAGTCAAAATGTACAAAACACACCGTGCTTGGACCACTTTTGGACGTTTAGATGTCGTTTCGCCTGGCAGGCGCAAGGGATTGTGCACCTTGTCAAAAGTCAGCAAAAATGTGAAGGTTTTGTAGCAGTTTCAAAAGCGTTGGCAGGCGTAAGACATTTGAAGGGGATCTGCAAAGATGCATTTCCGTAGCAGGCGCAATACAAGAGACATGTTCATCAGAGATGTTAGGAGGTCCGCGCGCTCATTTCCTGAGAGGGGTTGCATTTTGGAGCATGAGATCTTCAGTTTTGCGAAGATGATTTTGCGTGACAAGTGCAGCACTTCGTAAGACCTGGCATCACTGAGCCTTGGCCTGGAAAAATCGCAAAACGCATTGGTACCAGGTCGCCAGCTCTGCACTCAACTTTCTATTTTCGAAGGAAATCTCGCAGAAGTGTTTCGTTTTTGATGCTGCCAACTTCGATAACTGAGGAAGTCTCGCAGAATTGCTTCATTTTTGACGTTGTCAAGTTCAAAAAATTGGAGAAGCGTCCTCTGGACAGCCCCGGGCCCTACGGTACGGGCCCTCGAGAGCCCTTACAGGCCTTACGGACCTCTACGGGCCACGGGCCTACAGGCCTACGGGCCCATGGCCCTGTGGCCCGGACATGACATGGACGGAGCCCGGAAAGGGAGGGACACACGAAATCTTACAAGATAAGATCAAGGGAGTATGCAAATGAAAACGATGATCATGATCATGATGATGATGATGATGATGATGACGATGATGATGATGATGATGGTGATGATGGTGATGATGATGATGATGATGGTGGTGGTGATGATGATGATGATAGTGATGGTGATGGTGAATATGTAAATAATGTTGCGGAAGATGATGTTGAGGATGATGAGGTGCAGAGTGATGATGTTGAGGATGATGAGGTGCAGGGTGATGATGTCAAGGATGATGAGGCGCAGGCTGATGATGTTAAGGATGATGATGAGGATGATAATGTGGAAGATGAAGCGGATGATGATAGGGTGGAGGAGGAGGATGTTGAGAAAGAGGATGATGATGATGATGATGATGGTGGTGATGATGATGATGATGATGATGATGGTGATGTTGAGGATGATGGTGATGTTGAGGATGATAAGGTTGATGAGGGTAATGAAAAGGATGATAATGCTGATGTTGCAGAAGATGAGGTGGAGGTTGATGATGTTAAGGATGATGAGGTCAAGGGAGTGGAAGATGATGATGTTAAGAATGATGCTGTTGAGGAGGAGGAGGAGGAGGAGGAGGATCATGATGTTGAGGATGATGATGTTGAGGAGGACGATCAATCCGAAGACCGGGACCCACACTTTGTGCGAGCCTGCACAATCGAAATGCACATGAACGTGTCACAAGTCACGAGAGAACTTTTATGCGGAACTTTACAGACCAAGAGGGAGCCAAACTCGCACGGCAGACTTTCTGCGAACCTGCGCATTCGAAATGCGCACATGGACATGTGACAAGAACCATTTTATCCGGAAATTTACAAGTCAAGGGCCGCAGATCAAGAGCAAGCCAAACTCGCACCGCATATTTTCCGCGAGCCTGCACATTCGCAATGCACATGGACATGTCACAAGAGCAAATTTAGGGCCATTTTGTATGAGACGGGCCATTTTATATGAGACTTTACAGGAAAAGGGGCGAGAACCCAGACTGAGCACCTCGATCAATCACCGGCCTCAACTCTTACCGTAAGAACCCCTGAGTGTGGACACGCTGCTCAGGAAAAAAAGGAAAAACCTTCTGATCAACAACCAATTCGCGGCCCCAGTTGGGCGTCACTTCTGACCACGCTACTCCGCTGGAGAATCTTTTCTGAACGGAGGCTTGAGAATCTGCACCCCAACTGTGATGTGAACGTTTGGCAGCACCCCGCGGGATGAAACCAAAAAAAGGACGATCTCTGACCAGGACTTGGTTTCACAGCTGAAAATGTCGGCATCTCGGTCATTCGCGTCTGTATTGCAACTTAGACTGAACCAAGTGCCTGCGACCTTGACGGTCCAAAATTTTAAGACAGAAACGGTCGAAAAGGTGCTGAGAAACGCTTCCATTCAAAACATTACGCCTTTGCATGCGCGCGATGCTTCTGAAACCACGTGATCTGTCTTTACCACATCATGTTCACCATCACCATCATGAACCATGTGAGCTTGAAGGCGCGGCGAAGACATTCAGTGGCCTACAGTCAAATGCCAACACCAGTTTAGGCTGACCAGATGCGTGCCAACGGTTCGTTTTGCACAGAAACAAAAAAACATATCTCTGAAAGTGGGCTCCTGCTTTCGAAAGTGTTTCCACCACAAAAATATCTGCTGCCGGGAACCGGATTTACTACATTCCCCCGGATCTCATAGACTGTTTGTTTGGCTTTCCAGACATTGCTATCTTAGAAACAAGACTTTCCAATTTCAAGGTGCCCTCAAGGGATCAGTACTGCCACATAAGGCGGTGGCGAAGTTTCAACGAAAGCTTGACTTGTTGAATCGAACGGGTTGTCGCAGACCACGCCGCTGGCAGGGCGACAGGTCGTTGGAACGTCGATGTTTGACTACATCATCATGGCAGACAAGGGGACAGCCCAGCTATTTATTTATCTGCCCTGTTCATCTGCCTGATCAATCAACGTATTCATATCAATGGTAACTAGCTGTCATTTCATTTCAATCAGCTGTCAATGCTGAAGGTAAAAAGCTCCACGGAGCACAAGTTTCAAGTCACCGGGCCAAAGCTTTGCAGCAACAAAAGCAAAGCCAAACTGCGCAGGGGCAACGCTTTGCAGCACAGAGTTGCAAGCCGCAGACGGGCCCACGGGCCGGGCCTACTGGCCTACGGGCCCGGGCCTGGGGCCCAGGGGTCAACGGCCAAAAACCGAGGTCGCAGAATTGCTGCGTTTTTGATGTTGTCAAGCCCAAAAACTCAGGAAGTCTCGCAGAATAGCTTCGTTTTCAAGCTTGCAGATTGCAGATAGACAGATAGATAGACAGACAGACAGACAGACAGATAGATAGATAGATAGACACCTACAACTACAACTACCACTACCATACACTACACTACTACAACTACAAATGCCAAAAAAAACTACGCTACCTTACACTACACTAATTACACTACACTACAGAAATTAATTACATCTAATTACACTACACTACGCTACTTACACTACAACTACAACAACTACCAAAACCACAGTTACAACTGCAATTAAAACTACACCACATTACACTACACTGCGCTAATTACACTGCAATACACTACAACTACAAATACAAATGCAACTACAACTACACTACATTACACAACACTACACTACACTAATTGCATTACATTACACTACAACTACAGCTGCAACTACAACGACACTATACAAATTACACTACACTACAACTACAAATACAAATACAACTACAACTACAACTACAACTCCAACTACAACTACAACTACGCTACCTTACACTACACTACACTAGACTACACTGCACTATACCTCACTACAGTACACCAGACTACAGCACACTGCAATACACTACACTAATTACACCACACCACAATTACAACTGCAACTGCAACTGCAACTGCAACTACACGACACTAGTTACACTACACTACAACTACAACTCCACTACACTACACTACAACTAGAACTGCCCTACACCACACCACATCCAGCAGTTGCGGGTGAGGTGACCACTGCAACCACTGCAACCACTGCAACCACTCCAAAAACACGACTCCAACCACCTTTCGGTTCATCAGTGGATTCGCTCTGCCCTCCATGCATCACAACAACTCACCTCTCCTATAGCGTCAGATTCGGAATATCACCAGTTATACATGGGATATAAAATGATATATCAATAAATAATTTTATATAAACCACGTTCTAACTGCGCTTCGAAGAAAGGGCTGCAATCTTGAGTCTTTTGAAGGCAGCACTGCGAACAAGACTCGTGCACGGCTTGAAAGCTCATTGAAGGGAGGACGCTGAAGGTGAAGACTGCACCTGAGATCGCATCAGTCACAGTTTGTTGACTGATTGGTGAGCAGCTCAATCCCATCCCTTCACACTAATATTAAACACCCCTAAACGAAACCATGGTAGATGTAGGGAATTTCCACAGAATTGGGACCATTTAAGGGGTGTTTAATATTGAGAGCTCTTAATATTAGGGGGATGGGATTGGTTGTTAATCTATTTGCTTCTGCTGTTCAATCTGTACGATTTGGAAAATGACTGCGGATTATACTCAGATATTACTGTATCTGCCGATTTAGTGCCTATGCACGTGGCGTTCGAAAACTCCGACCCGAGCTATAAGAGGTAAACCATGACCGGTCCCCTCCACCAAAGGCTATTCTGCGAGTGAACAAATGGGTCTGTCTGAAAATAGAGTAGCCCAACAACCATCGCTTGATCATGACGTTCATTTCTATAATTTCATTGAAATTGCCATAACTTGGGGACATCCCCCATTTTCAAACACACTAAAAATCTCCACCCGCCCTTGTCCCCAAGACCATTGAAGACTATTGCATCCAGCTTTTCCAAGCCAAGTGTCTTTACAGTCTTTCTCATGGTGGCAGCAGAGTCCCGGTCCGGACTGCTAAACGGAAGCTCTTTGCTAAGCAAAAAGAAAAGAATAACACCTGCCGCTGCGGCCCACTGCCACGGTGTCGCGCACGGTGAAAGAACTGCTACTTCATCAAGTCCTTTGGGTTTGTCTAGAAATAACATGCCCAAAAAACATGTGATGATTGATCCTCATTTCCCCCGTGAAAATGCCATAACTAGGAGGTTCCTACCCTATCTGCAGGCGCACCCATTTACTTCCCAATCTTCCCAAGTTCAGATAGTTCAGCTTGGTTCAATGATCCACGGCCCATCCCCACCTGCTCCAAACGTATCCACTTTGCAATCCTTGCAGCGAATTGCAGCTGGCCAAGGGGAGAATCGGGGCTGATCCATGGGTTAGGAGATTCAGTTGAGGAAACCCAGCTAATCGGATTGGATACAAGGTGGTGAAATAGGGTTTATGGCGGGAAATATCTATAGTTAGATGGATGTATAAATGCTACAAACCAATTTAAGACTGGGGGAACATTCAGAGTTTTGTTCTGGGTCAAATTCGAGACGCAAAAAAAACCACAGGTCTGGACTCGCCCCTTTCCCATAGCTCACGGCGCGCGGTGATGACAGTGATGACACTGGTTTCCTATGGTTTCCTGCTCTTACAGTAAGGTTGTCGTCAAAAACCGGAGATCCTTCAAGTCCCCAACTTTTGAAAGTCCCCACATGGTTTCTCCCCCAGTTTCTCGGCCAAGAGTCGTAGGGCGTGCCGAGGCATACCTGGACCAACATTCCAGGATTGGATTCAGCCACGGATTCGCTGCATGCTTCGAAATGTGAGGGACACCTTTGATAATCACTGTTCATACAAGGGTAATGCAGTAATGTGGTAAACCCAATTTCATAAACCATCCCCAAGTCATCACCATGTTTATGGGTTATCTAAACCATCCCCACGAATCGCTGTAGGTTGCAGCGCCTCGGGCGCCACGAAACCAGCAGAACCACATCTGCGCGACATCTGCTGCGCATCCGAAGTTTTACACGCCAACCTCGGAGATTGTCGCTGAATGTTCCAGAGACCATACCCAAGGTATCCCAAGGTCACGTCTGATCAGTTCCCGAGCATTTTTGGGGGGGGGCACTCGGTATACGTACGGATGTGTGTCCTAAAAATTGTCGGGAATCAAAATCCACGGGCAAACATCATACCTTTCGCCGTTAAAACAGCCACAAACTGGGGGGTTCTATATACCCACTTCACACACGCCCATAGTGAATCAACCATGTTCACAAAACGCTCTAGTTCTTACTAGTTACTAAGCCATGCATCGCCCGTGTCTTGATCAGATAAAGATCCATGGAGTGGGGCTGCTAGACAGGAAGACGGTTGAAGTAGATGGATGGATGGAGAAATGGATAGACAAACCGAAATTGGCAGGCAAATGTACAGGCAAGTTATCTCAAGATCAGATAAAAGAAGATAAGGAAAGGCAAGACCAAACTAGATTGCATTTGAATCGGTTCGATACACGGACCGCTTGGAATACATTGGATAGGACTGAATCACAATAGATTGCAGGTAGATTGGGATCGGATTGGATCTGTTGGACAAATAGATAGACAGGAAACATAGAATGGCCACAGAGACTGGAAGATGGATCATGTGGAATCCATATGGATTGAGACACATTCCGCAAATCCAGAGGTTCCTGGGTTGGAGTAACAACACCATCCACCATGCCGAGCCGAGCCCAGCTATGGTTTTACCATTTTGCCGAGCTTTGCCGAGAAACCCAAAGTCTGCAACAACAGGCGTATCACCTGGATTTAGAAGGATGTTCTCGGTCTTGATGTCCCGGTGTACCTGTTGGCCCCACTGTTGGGCCCCACTGTTGTTGGGGATCCACTGTTGGATGAGATGGGATGAGATAAAAGGACGGAAAAGCATGGCCATGCCGAAAAAATGGATAGCTGGCCTGGCTCGTAGCAAACTCCATCTCTATGACTCTATGTTCGCATGGACACAAACGAGCTTGCGAACAGTGAGCTGAATAGCTCTTGGTTCACAAAACTACCCTCGAAAATGGCCCATTCATAGATGTTTTACCAGTTTTACCTATAGGAAAGATATGTCAAGATGGCGATTTTCCATTGCCCTGGGTAAATTATAATATTTCACTAACCTGAATTGTTGGGCCATTTGGAGATGATTTCCCGTATTGACCAGATTGCCATGTTTGCCAAGACAGCCAAGAGACAATACTGCACTCATGTATCCGCCTGAGCCCCCGCAGAATTCCTCAGCGCTCAGCTGTCTCAGTCTCAGGACCGAAGGACGATCCAAAGATCTGCAGGTGGAAGAAGACCATCCCAAGTACATCATTTTCCTATGGAAACCATAGGTTTCGTAGGTTTCCCACATCTATCTTGGTTTACCCGGTAAACCCAAGTGTTACCCTGCAAAGGCCCCGATGGTTACAAGCTCTCATCATTTTATTCACTGAGCAACCAAAGTGAAACCAGAAATGAAATGAAGCGGGATGTTCTGGATCGTGTAGTCGTGTTGCCGTGTTGCATGTGTCCTGCTGGACAAATTCATGATATATGTACATACATGTGTATATATATATATATGTCTACAATATATATATATATATACAGTATATATATATATATTATGTATATATATATATATGCTATATAAACTATATTTATATATATACTATATATATAGTGTGTATGTATATACTATATATATACTATATATATACTATATATATACTATATATATACTATATATATACTATATATACTATATGTATACTATATATACCATATATATATATACTATATGTATATATACTATATGTCATATGTATATATACTATATATATATACTGTATGTGTATATATATATATACATGTGATTCTATATGTCATAGTCGTTCTGTCTTTGAACTGCCAAGGGTGAACGAGTGTTTGTGCCTGTCCATGGTATCCATCCGAGGGCGACTAACAGCAGCCACAGGCTCCCACGAAAATTGACCTCGCTGCTGCTTCTGGTAATATACCAGACTGCAAGACCTGCGATCTGCGGCGGTGGAACCAAAAACAGGGCACCCAGGGCCCTACCCCGCCTTGAAGAGCAGATCGCCACAAGTGGCGAGATCGAAGACCATGGAAAAGCGAACTTGGTCCTCAAGTGTGCTAGGATTCAAGGGTATAGATCAAGTGACTGGTTACCCAAAAAGTGATGGTGCAATCAAAGTCCATATCATTCCCTATTTTGTTCCCAGCGCCTTCAACTCTTACCCATGCATGACAAGCATATCGATCGTGGAGTCGATAGAAATCAACATGGGACTGTCCCCGTATCTCGACAATTCATCCGAATATATCTGAAGATTCAATTGGCGGAGATTCTATCAAATCCAATGCGATGATGTATCTGTTGTCGCACATGTGTGCAAATATATAGATATATATAATTATATATATAATTGTATTACATATTATATATATATATATTATTATTATTATTAGTATTATTATTACTACTATTATTATTACTACTATTATTATTATTATTATGATGATTATGATTATGATTATTATTATTATTACTATTATTATTACTATTATTATTATTATATATATAATTATATATACACATAATTATATATATACGTGGGTGCATACATGTGATCATAATATATCATAATCATATCATGTCATGTCATACAGACACCAGCCATGCCATCTCCGCAGCCATGCGTATCATCGACGTATCGACCCGCGACCCGAGTGGCGGCTTCTTGACGCCAGAAGAGCGCCCGAAATCCCACGATGTGCTCCCCACGGACCTCTACGAGCGCACTGGCCTGGAGCGGCACGGAAAATCGTGGCGATTCTCGCGATTTTCTGGGATATAATGTGGGATTTAGTGGGTTTCAAGGGGAGATCTAGTAAGATTTAGTGGGATTTAATGGAGCTTACAGAGCTGCTGGGAAAACCCAGGAGAGTAAATGGGGGAAAAATTCCCCAGCAAGCCATCTTTCATTAACATGGGAATGGCATGGCCAGGTACGGGTCATGCCACTTTTCCAAAAATTGGATGACTACGGATGGTCAATGCCCCAAAAAACAACTCGGAATCTGAGTCTAAAATTTGGCGCAAACATCATCAAACATCATCAAACAGTCCCTATACCAACTATACCAACTGGCCAACAAAAAAGAAAAAATAGGGGACGACTGACATCCCCATGAGTTTTGGCCGGTCCTATATCTTGCTGGCATTCAGTGGGAATCCAGGAAATTTGGCGAGTCCGGCCTCACGGGCAATGGATTCAAAGTCCGTTGTGTGGTTCATGTTCTTCACCTGGGGCGCAGTTTCGCTTCGGCATGGCCTAAACGGTGATTTCCCAGGGAATGAATCCCTTCCGCCGAACAAAAAAAAACACCCCATCCATGGTCCCAATGATGTGGAAATTCCTTACATCCACCATGGTCTAAGGGGATGTTTAATATTAGTGGAAAATAGTGGAAAGGGATGAATTCACTGATCATGTGATATTTATATGAAGGCTAACATCTGAAGCCCCAAGAAACCTAGATGTTACTAGCAATTCGAGAAAGGAAAAGATGTTAGGCTTGCTGGATTGAAGAGATTTGCCAGCTGATGGTGATCATCCCCAATCAATTGGATAGTGCACCCAAACTAATCCTCAAGCAATACAAAAATGTCAAAATTGCTTTGTTGATTCTGAGTCAATCTTACTCCTGTGATCCCAAACAACCTCAATCTGACATCAATTTCAGGCTATTGAATGACTAATGATGTCCTCAAATGGGAAAAAGTAAACTGAGTGGTCAGTTCGGTACGGTTGTCCCAACGGTTGTGAAAAATAGACACACTTTCATCAAGGTAACAGAGGGTCTTCAGAATATCCAGTCGAATTCCAGAAAACTGAGGTCTCAGTAGAATTCCACTAGCCTAGGCATCACCATAAATCCATCAATATCCATCAGTATCCATCAATATCCATCAGTATCACCATAATAGACCATTCATGTTTTTTTCAAACAATGTCATTTGCACCATCCCCCAGTCATCACCGTCATCACCATTTCTATATATTTTTATAGGTAGTATGGTTGCCATTGGTCATCACCATGTTTATCTCTAGTATGGTTACCATTGGGTACGCCCAGGCACCGCCACCGGACGTCCGTCACGGCCCTGACAACGGTGAAAGCCATCATCTTTCGCTGGAAAAATGAGGCTGAAAAATGATGAGATAGTTAGAGATAGTCAGAAAAATGCTATTTTTTGGATTTCCCTTTTTTTTTGAGAATAATTGAATAAACTGATCTAATGACTTGGATGTGGGGATGCCCCATTTTGGGATGCCGCCCCTTTTTGAAGTGATGTCCATTTTCAGACGCCAAAAAAGCAGGATGTCAGGGGTGATCAATTTTGATCACTTGCAACGACACCCGCACCTGCATGTGATGAACAGTCGCGTACCTTGCTCGCGGTTCCGTTGTGATCGTTGTTTTCTGCTTGGGGATCGCAGCTTGCCATAAAAACCTAAGCCTTCCAGAAATCCTATGTCAATCTGCTACCAAGACACGCTCCCTCTCCAATGATCTGATCAACATCCGCCATTTTAAAGGAGGCTTCCAAGTCATTGCGAAGGCACCCTCGTAGACCTCAGTGGGTTTACCAGTGGCTATCAGCAGGCTATGAAAATGTGGTAAATCCAATGTAGATCGCCATAAAGCAGTTCCATAGCCAGAAACTATTGGTCAATAGCCATCCCCAGTGGGGGGAGGTTTAGCTTCTTGGCTCTACCACAAGCTGAAGATTCTCCACCGCCAACGTCCCGACTGGCGGTCTTTAAGGGTCACGCTTAAAACGTCCATGACGGCGTAAGCAGTGGACAGACCCTGCAGGAGGATGAACCAGCCTGGAGCCCAGATCATGGTGCCGCACTGGCTGAATGCGGTACAAGAGCTGAATGCGGTACAATGACAGTCCTGTTCGGATTTGCATCCCACTTGTATAGTAACTTCTAAACTACCCCGGTTGATAAGTTGCCTAACCGGAGTTCTCCGGCCAACTGGAAGATCGCTTCTGGTACTCAAACATGGCACGCTGAACCCCTCAATACTTGCCCAAGCCTTCTCTTCCTGCACTTTCCGCTCCCAGGACAGCCGTTCCTCTTATTCCAAGACCACTCCTCGGGGGCGGTCCCTTCTGGAAAAGTGAAGAAAAATAGACCACCAACAAGTGCAGTTCCGACATCCACCGACCATGCCAAGCTTGACTCCATGAAGCAAGTTGCGCCGGTGGGACAATGGCAATCACGGCCATATCCTGCCACTTGTCCTCAGGCACTGGAACATGGGTGAACTGGGTGAACCCATGTAGCTGCAACCGAGAATGGATGGATTCCCCCTTTTAAAAATGGGTTACTTCCAAGATGGGTATCATATGGGTATATGAATCCCTAGTGGACAATCCCATGAGGAAATCCCTGGCTGTTCTCGTTCCAAGGAGCACTTCGAAAAGCATGACAGCTGACTTCAGCCAAAAAGAGTTCGTGCACCTCAATGGAAAACCGGGACGAGTTCACTTGAGGAACCTCACCCTGCCAACAAGTTGGAAATTCCAGATGCCCCCAGTACCACCAAGGGCATTGGAAGTTATTCAAGCGAATGGAAGTTCATGGAAGCTCATAGTTATTGGAAGTTGCATCCAATAACTACCCTCTGGTAAAAACTAACATAACTATGGAAAATCACCATTTTCAATGGGAAAATCCACTATAAATGGTCATTTTCAATAGCTATGTTAAATTACCAGAGGGTATCACAATTGGGTTCCTGGCGATTGGCACCAAGTCTTGACTCGCCGTTTCCACCTTGCAGGACTTTTATTTTGGGCAGCTTCAGCAGAACTTATAACCGGGGCAGAAATAGCAATCCAAAATGTTACAAGCCTTGCTATTGCTGGTTTATAAGATTAGCAATCTCCCAATAAATACCTGTTATGATATGCAAAAAAAAATAGAATTATCGTCTTGTAAACATGTTAACTTAGTTAACTTGACGCTTCCTTTCTTTCTGTGGGACCTTTCGATTGGGACTTACCACTCTGAGTCCCGATCGAAGAGCATCGTCTTGTCAAAGTGGCACTGGAGCCCCAGGATGTTCTCCTCGACGGAGTCTCCCATGGCCATCAAGGCGACCAGAAATCCAGAAATTGGATATCAATAAAGTAAATGCATCGATGACCTATCTAAATTCATGGAAACCTATGGAAACCTATGGAAACTGTCATTATCTGTCTATATTTCGATCGAAGATTTTCAAGAAACAGATTGACTTTGAGGATCAACACCAAAATGACCTGCATGATTCCATGGATATACTGTATATATATATATACATATACATATATCGATATCCTATGTTGGGTCGGCATAAACTATGATCTGCAGTCGTCCAGTCGTGCGATGAACACCAAGCTGCTGAGTGATCTGCTCCGGCATCAAACCACTCAGCAATAGAACCAGCATAGTTTCCTTTGCCAAAATTTCAAGCGATGATTGTTCCAGCAATGCTAACACAAATAATGGCTATATTGATATGCCAGGTAGCCAGTTATGTAACTACTTGCCATAATATGCAACACAAACGTGGAGAGCCAAATTTTTCTAAGCGCACAGCAACCACAGAGGTGGCTAAGCACAGCAAGAAAAAACCAGGTTGCCAAACAATCTCAGAATCTCGGAACATCAACCCACTAAGTTTAGGGCGGCGGCCAGACTCTAGCCACTAGAGCCACTCAGTTTCATCCAGCAATCTGGGGGATTCCATCGATTCCAAAACGAAAACAAGTCGATAATTTTTTTGAAATTTCCCCAAGTCTTACCCAATAAAAAACCAACCTTTAAACCAACCAAAACAAGTCCCAATGTCCCCCAACTCCAACTCTCACCGAGGCGCTATCTACGGTAATCGAAGTCAATTGAGGTGCGTCCAGTCCGTGACAGCTGTGCAACCAGAGGCTTGGAAGCGGAAGACTCCAAAGACCTGACGTCATGGATGACCATGACTGGACGGCTTAACCATGGATGGTACTCGGGGATTCCCTATTTTAAGAAACCCCCAAATGGCTAGGAAAGAAAGAAATCATCTCAATATTAATATTATACTAGTAGATCAGAAGACTGATCAGAACTGATGATTTGAGAAGTGGAAACCCAATGGTTTCCCGAGGTAATGATCCAAAAACATGGGACATGAACCCTTATGAAAATGGGTATATAAACCCCTATGAAAAGGGTGCTCGTTGGAATCTTCCTATGAAAATTGTTTTTTATTAACTGCTCTGAACCCCTATTTTGACCATCACAATTGGAACAACTAGTATAATTAATGGGTATAGCAAAAACCCTATGAAAATGGGGTCTATGGTTACCGCTGTGTTAAGATTCCCACCTTTGGGGTTCCCATTATAAAATGGTGTGATCATCATTATGAGAATCCCTACTAATTAACGGCTACACCACCCTGCAGATTTTACCTTGGGATACCTTGGGCATTGCAATATGTTCGGATATCATCGGATATCACCTCGAATATCACCATTGATTCATTGATAGGATCGAAATTGGTAAATAATGGTAGGTACATGGCAGCATAGCTCGATATCTAGACATATGTTTGCAGTGTATACCATATATTTGCAGTGTATACCATATATATATATACAGCGTATACCATATATTTACGGTGTATACCATACATATATGTATATATATATATATACAGTGTATACCATATATTTAATGACAGTGTATACCAGCCAAAAAGTTGGTGAATTACGGTGAATTCTTTTGGTGTTGTGTACTGCCTTCCGCCCATCCCATCCAACAATAGAGTGCCTTCCGTGGAACTGGATTGAACCTTTGCCGGCGTTGTGGCTATGCCATTGGAGAAATTGATAGTTGATACCTATTGATACCTGTTCTCTCATGGAATACTGGTTGAATAAGAACGGGATTCCCAGTTCATATTGGATGATATTGGATCATGAGAATCCCCAGTTGATATCATGGGTAGATTTTTCTTTAGGGTTCTGTAGAGAAAAAAACAAAGTAATCCTCAATTAAGGGGGTGTCTTACAGCCACCCACTGCTCATCCAATATGGCTAGTCCAACGACTCATGTTATGTCCCAAACAGTAGCGGAACAAAACTGGTACATTTAGATGTTCAATACAAAGAATTTAAGTATCCATTCATAAATCTTAATTTTCTATATATATACATACATGTATATATATATACATATATATATACATATATATATACATTATTCACTTGACGAAATCATACCTCGTGTGAGTTCTGCGCTTGCACCTCGCCTCCATCAGTCATCTTCGCCAGCAGAGTGAAGCTGACCGCAACGCAGCTGGAGCCGAAAGGGCATCGTGGCACGACGGGATCCATAGGAACTGGACTGAAATTGATGTCAGAAATGGATCAGAAAGTCAAATGGTTTATGTTATCAATCTACAGTATATATATATATATGTATATTATATAGTTATAAAACTATATAATAATGTATGTATATATATATATAGTGTTTTTACCGTTTCACCATGTGATAGCTATATATGAGCAGGGATCACCACAACCACCCACCCACCCCAGCCAGATGGTTCCCCCCCCCTGTGGCCTGTGGTTGATGTCCAGTTTATAAGGAGCATATGGCTACGCGGTGAAACATATGTAGGTAGTATGTGTATGCAAATGTGTAAGGAGTAGATGTAGTGGTGAAGCAACGTATGTATATATATATATATTATTACACACAGGTATGTGGGTCCGGGGACCTTGTTCCTCTAGCACCAGGTTGGCCAAGGGTCTGCCAGTGCTGAGCAGGGCAGCAGACCACAATGGCCTTGGTCGTCTCGGACGCAGGCCCAGCCGCTCTGTAGAAATGCCAGCAGCTCCACCTGGCCGCGCAACAAAAGTCACCGCTGTCGTAAAACGGGAGGTGTGCTTTGTGTGTTTTGGTGATGTTAAAAGAAACCGAAAAAAAAAGAAAACAATCTCTATATTATATAATATTATATATCTACCAGAGCAAAAAAAATGTGGCTTTCAGAGACCCGACTGAGAGATTTTGACCCATCCCCATCACCACACGAAAAATCACTGGTAGCGGTGCCTTCTGACCCTCGGACACAGCGAGAGTGTGTGGGCTTGGGTGCTGCACATTGCGTGTGGTAATCATGTGCCGCATCACCACAGGGGCGGCAGCAACCTGCGCTGTTTCTGTGCTAAACAAAACAAAAATTGCTTTGTAAAAAAGCCAAAAAAGATAGAAATTGGTAGAATCCTACTATTTTGTAGCGATTTCTCTGCATCTTTTTTGGGGGGTCCCAACCTTCAGTCGGTTCAGTTACTCTAGAGTCTATAGGAAAACCCAACCGATTTTTAATCCATGGGGAGCCCATGTGTGTGCCCATAGCGATTTGAAGGCGCAACAAAAAAACTTCCCAAGCATTAGCCTTAGGCGCCGCCGGCTCCTTTTTCACCTGCATTGGCACTGCCAAATGGATCCAAGTATGAGGAAAAACCCTACCAAACCATGGTTACTAGGGGATGGGATCATTGCTAGATACCCTCTGTTTTTTAGGTAACATGGCTCTTCAAAATCACCATCTTTTAAGTTCCCTATAAATCGAATCTTCCCTATATAAATGGGCCATCATCCATGGCTATATTCACAAATTACCATGAACTTCCAACCTCCCAGAGAAACTGTTGCATGACAGTGCCACATCCCCCAGCCTTCTGTAACTGCCACGGTGGTAGCTTCTTCACCAGTTGGGTCTTCAAAATCCAGCCCTCTGTCCCGTCCTTCTCTGCCCACACCTGAGAGATAGGAAACGCCCAGGGGAAATCATCTATAAATGCTGGATGTTCATGGATTTTCCATATGATCACGGGTAGAAAAATCTTCATCAGAGTCACTTGAGTCACTTGAGAAAAAGTGGGATTGGCATCCAATAGACAGCGGCTGCGCCTTTTCATCCCCCGGGTTTTCTTCCAGCACTGTGACCTTGTCTCCCATCTTGGCCCCCAGAAATCCTTCATCGCAGACTTCGACATCTTCCTCCAGCTTGCGCATGGCTCGAATTTTTTTTGTGAATTCATGGGGGGGTTCCCCCAATCATTCATAAACTTCATAAACCATCCCCAATGATTTTGCCATGTATTTGGATCATCATCCCCAACTGGTAGGTTTCACCTCATTGGATTCCATGATGTCCTGCCTTGGCAACCATCTGCCGCGGCCTCGGCGGAATGGCGCCAGCTGCCGTTTGGGATTTTACGAGCCTGCCAAGCCTGCAGGAAATCTAGGGAGAACCGAATCATTTGAAATTTTTGGGGCATCTATATACCCTCTGGTAAACTAACATAGCTATGGAAAAAACACCATGTTCAATGGGTAAATCCACTATAAATGGCCATTTTCAATAGCTATGTTAGTTTACCAGAGGGTACTATTTACAAATCATTTCTGAAATGTTACAATTGGGCTATCAAGGTTTTCTGTGGCTGAGGACTGCACAGAGTAGGTCCTACAGGGCCTGAGAGGTGTGCACATATCATGTGTCTCAACACATCCTGTAGGTGTATGTGAAACGGAACGCAGTGTAACGCAACATCACATCATGTATTCTTATGAAATGTAAATGGAATGTATGAGTAGATATGATATGCAAGTAAAATACATGTATGCCGTGTGTATGTATATATATATACACATTATATATATATGTGTGTGTGTGTTAAAATCTTACATGTATGTATATGATATTGATGTGTATATACATATATATAGTATAGATTCTAAATAATTTCTAAATATTACATGTGTTATACATTATTATATCATCTTATAACGTACATAGACATGTCCCTTCTATATGACTTCAGCTGCGTACACACAGGACCCACATCTGTGCTGGCCTAGGTTTCAAAGGTAAGCCACTACAATCCACAACACTTTTCGTGCAAAGCGAAAGCACATGAGTCTTCCTCTGCTTCAATGTCACAGCCTGACGTGATTTGTCCATGATCATGTGTTTCCCACTTTACTGGTTCCCAGGCGAATGCCAGAACAGACAAGAATTGAAGTCAGAATGGTGACCTACCATCTGTCTAGAGACCAGAGACATCCATACATTTTCTGCACCTCACTTCCCGATCCGCCTGGAGCTTTTGATGGTTTTCGCACCCCTGGCCCATCAGACCAAAGTTCTACATTCTCACGCCAGATCCTCAGCGAAACGACAAATCTCGTTCGCACGTTCCAAAAAGTTTGGGGAATCCCAGCATTCAGTTTTTCCGGGGGTTGAATCAGGTTGACATGTTTATCTTTTTTTTTCTTACTGGTGCTAAACGCAGGGAATTTTCGGGAATGATCCAAAAAACATAATCGTAATAATCATCCCAGCAACCCCCATTCCCATCCATTCCCATCCATTCCCTACTAAGCACCAATAAGTTTTTGTTGGTAAAACCTCCATGATTATATGATATATAACATGATATAACTGGGATATACCATGATAATCACCCTCTATATATTGTTGTTCCCAACTTTTCTGACGCTGCCAGGGCTCGGCTCCAAGGTTGCTGCGTTGCGCAAGCGGCCGTGCAAAGGATAGCTGCGCCAGGCCTCGACCCACGGCCGCTGGCGGCATTGTGGACGTTGACGGAGACAGATCTGAAAACGTTGACCGATCCTATAATGGGTGGTATAGACCATCAAAAATGAGGTGGATTATTATTGTTTCAACCACATTAATTACTATAGTCTATAGTTTTTTCGCCAATGAATCTATCATCAGTGAAATTTCCTAACGTTACCCATAAATACCCATAGTAATATGTGTACTCATCTTCAACCAAGGAATTGGCGAAATCGACGTCGCCTCTCCAGCCACCAGCTCTTTGCAAAGGATGACAGGCTCCGGTTCATCGAAGGCAACACAGGCCTGAAAAAAACCAGGGGCTTCCGTCTTAAAGCCCAGATCTCACGGGGTTCATGGGAAAATCACATTCAAAATACTTAAAATCTTCCACACCCCCAAACCACCAACCCAAAGCAGGGCCATCATCTTGGAAAAACGAAATTCATCACAGTCAGCAAGCAACTAACCAGGAGTGTCCCATTCAAAAGGGCCACAAGGGGTCAAAACATGATGAAACCATCATGGAAAACGATGACATGTCAAAATCTGTTACTTTCAGCCGTGCTGATTTCATATCACCCACCGCACCTTGCGATGGCTCTTTCCAGAAATATGTTGCAACATGCCATCCTCAGAGAGCAATGGTTCCACGGGTTCAACCTCTGCATCTAACGACTGTGGTTTGCCCGAGAAAAAACAGTTTATGCACCCTTGAAGACATGTCCATATCACATTGTTTTGCGCCCTGGCGGAACACAGACCAAAAAAGAACTGGTTGTTGCCAACAAAAACCTGGGAACGCAACGCCCACATTTTGCAATTCCCAGATTCTGCAAGATAGCATGGTTACCATGGACCACAAGACCAGTAACTCGTTGCTAAGAGGCCAAAGTGGCCGAAGATACATCACACATGTAGCAGCAGAAGGCACTGCCAATGAGTCGGCAATAGCCAGGCAACTGGCGAAGCTGCTCGTCCATCCTCAGGGGATGAACACCCTCAGCAAGAAGTGGTGACAGTCAAAGGTACTTAGGTACGTATTGCCATGGTTTGGTTATTTGATGTTATTTGTAGTATCTGAAACATTCTGAAACCATTACCAATTCTGGTGTGTCCTGGGTGTTTTTTTTTTGACGGCCAGATGTCCGTCTTTGGGCGCGCTTGAGATGCTATGGCTGCTATGTAGTTCGAGACCATTGGAGCAAGTCTCTCTGAATTCACCTCTGCCTCTCTATGCTGCAGAGAAAGACGATGCTGCCTCACACGATCACGAAAAGGCGCATCCAGTGGACAGGTGGTCCACCAAGGGTGCACATCCAAGGAGAGAACTCCAAGAACAAAACGCCCTCTGCAACCACGTTGCAGCGATTTGCAGCGTCCCTGTTAAAATCTCACAGCTATGCCGCTATACCATGCTATACCATGATCCAACTGATCTTGGGTCAAACAGCTCCCAGTGAAATTCTCCGTATGTCCAATTGTTTTATTCCAGTTGATAAGCGAAAAAACAAGAGTATGATAGACTATTGGTATAGCTCAGTTCCTATGTCACTTTTGTAGGACCCATACTAATCATTAATAATCTATACCCAAACTTCAAGCAGAAATCGTCCGGTGCCTCAAGCCCTGTCTGTCGAAAGGTCCCGCACTGCATCGTTCGCAGTGCAACTGGCCCGGCTGGCCCTCCACCAATACGAAGCCTTCCTGTGGTGTCCAGGTGAACTCACTGGAGTTAGTGAATTCTAGTGAAATTATACCCAAAAATATCCCAACTTTGGGAAGTTGGGAGGTTATCACAAAATGATATTGTTCCCATTATAAATAGAATCATCCCAACGCCCCCTACTGGCTAATCGGCTAATCCATCGGTCACTGGAGCTGATCCCAACTCCGGTTGTCCTTGGCCAACTCGGTCGATAAGGAAAGCTCAGGTTCACGTCCTTCCTGGCGTGGAGACGTTAGCCCACCCTGATGGCTTCCGAGGTGGTTCCAGGGTGGCTTTAAGGGCAAGACATGAAGGTCGAAGAGTCGAAACGTGGGAAATGGTCATCTGAATGGTCATCTCCGCTTCAAGACTGACTCTCCAAGGCAAAGACTGCGACCAGAAAACTCCAGAAAATCTGACTAAAGAAGTCCAAGTGTTTCAGTGGCAAAGTCGTTTCCTCGCCTTCAGACTGTGCTTGCTGCCGCCCAAATGGCTTTTCACACCTCGGTACTTAGGATGGTCCCTGAAGGTTGCCATTTCCTCCGAACGCGGAAAAAATGCGTGGCCAAGTGTCTCTCCAGCGTGGGAAATGGACCAGCTTTGCACCTCAGTGCCAGAGGTGCTCCCAAAAAGCTGGGAAGATTTTCACCACAACTGGCACCAGCACCACTAGTGACTCACTTTGACTTACCAGCAGTTGGCTGGTCCTTTAGCGCGGATATGACCCATAAAGTGATGATGGGTATATAGCCAAAATATAGATGGGGAATACCTGTACCTGGGTGGCAAAAATCGGACAGCCCTGCCACCTTGGTCTCTCCTTCTGAAACAGACTGTCTAGTGATGTATTTCGGGATCACTTTGCAGAATTGTACTATTTCGCGACATCAAGACACAAACCCCAAAGTTTCGTTCTGACTGGAGACCAGTCCCCAACAAGTTCCAGTTCCAGGCATGAATGTCTGAAACGAGCAAATCTATCAGCCAATCAATTTCATCATATCAAGCCATCTGTCCATCCTTCTGTCAACCAATCAGTCAAACACTCAATCAAACAATGAGACAATCTGCAACAATCAGACAACAGACAATCTGCAACAATCAGACAACATCTTTCCAATCTGCAGTTCGGCAATGGCACAATTTGCAGGTGTATTGTAGCGTTCCATCCTTTGTGGGGCTGATGCTGATGCCGCGATCCTCGTACTCCTTTGGCACGGGTGGTAGGATCGTCGAATCCTGTACAAGCGACGCGTCGCGACGCGTCGCGACGCGTCGCGATGTGAATGCCATCACTCCAATATGAAACACCCAGTAGGGGATTTACTGATTTACACATATTTGGGACATTTTGGGACCATCTTAGTGTTGTAAAAAATGCTTTAAAAATTAGATGATTTACAATATTTTATAATGAGATATGATGGTGATATGATGGAATGGAAAACCAACAATGAACCCGTACAACAAGCACGTGATATGACGTGATAGTACAACGTGTCCAACTAAACTTCGAATCCAGGAGAAGTGTTGGCAACTGGCCAGCTGGCCTGCTTGATACCTGCTAGCACCAGGCGCCGCTTGTGCTGAGCCTCGGATGTTTTCGGCAACTGATAGACTGCTAGTGGTTCAGAAATGGGAAATCCGTTTCTACAAGCAAGACAAAACCAGGCAGTACTTCGTGCAAATTGCTTCATACCTTCAGTGCTTTGTGCCCCAGCTTCGTCGACATGTAACAACGCTTTCACACATCCGATGCACATGTATGAATCCTAGAATCACTAAAATCGTCCAAACTTCACTTATAAGATGGGTTTCGTATAAAAACATCTGCGGTAAAATACGGATATGGGTCAAAACTGGGAACCCTAAGAATTGCTTGATACTTGAAAACATTCCCATTCCAATCTGTGGTCCCCTGGTCAACTCTAAACCCCATACTCCATATATCTTCCATCATCTTCCATCTCCTGTTTTTTCTTGGGGGTATCAGCCACTGGCCACATTTTGACGCCCAGGAGCCGAGTCCACATGCTGCTGCATGTTCGCTTCACCCGAAGGTCCAGCATTGCAGACCCAGCAGTAGAAGCCATCGGAACTCAGGAGAATACCTGGAGCTGGTGACTGGTGGGCGGCATCACCGAGATTTCTGTGGGAGAAGCATCTGATTTCTGTGTCAGGAATCAATACATGGAATTTTGGGGGTAGATATACTATGAATTGTCATCCCAAAGGAACTTTTTTTAGTGGAATTACCCATACCAGAACGATTGGTCGCAATGATGTAAGAAAATATTCCATCCCGCTGTGCGAAATTTTGACCTAGACCTTTTGCCAAAACCTTGGTGAACATTCCGAAGGGGTGTACTTGTGCTCTGAGAAAACGCTTGCAAACAAACTTAGACAAAATAAGGCGAATACATACTATCATAATTATATACAATTCTGTGTATAATTGTGTATATATATATGTATATACATATTGTACATATGTTTCCATAATTCCAATGTTGCTTCAGCCTTCATAAAACATGACAACACTGGCCTCATAGCTCAGCCTTTCCAAACCACCCCAGATCGCCTGCCTTGCTCTCTCCACTCTGCCTTCGTCTTCAGTTCACTGGAAACTTTGGGAGCCTGTGGAAACTCAACGATCTCAAGGCGCCTTTTAAGAAATTGGATCATTTTCAGCATCAAAATCATGGTTAAATAAACCATCCAGCTATTGGGGATTTCCCATTTATGGAAACCATCCAGCATTGACCAAGTATTAACCATTTTCAAAATCATGGTTAAATATAACACAGCGGCCAGCTACCTCGACTTCATTCTTACCATTTCTGCCACAGCAGATCTGCAAAAATCTTCGGAGCCTGAGCCGCTTTGGGCTGTGGCTTTGGGTCTTGCAGGGCCAGAAGTGACAGGAAAGCACGCTTCGCCACCACATCAGCGGACGCCATCGATGACGTCATCGACCTCACACGATGAGTCAGCTGAGATGAGAAAAGCGCGATTGGGTTGCGGCAAGTCATAGTAACTTCGTGTGAAAACTGGATACGTACATCATATATGGATTCTATACTATACATATATCTATATACTGTATACATGATGTTTGTATATGTCAAAAAAAAGAATGGACAGGGACAACAATGGACCACAAGCTGCGGCTTGTGCAGTCACAACGGCTTCCCAACTGTTCAAATTCCAAGCAGCGAGATTTGCTCAAGCTCTTTAACCTCGCAAGCTTCTCCCGCTGGGTAAACAGCATGTGCTACTGTGGAATGAGGATAGATTATGATAGATTCCCCACTGGCAACCTTGATGAAAGCCACGTGGACTGGAGGATGACTGTTTCGTAGCTGAGATGCTACTGCCTTCTTTTCCAAACTCGAGTCTTGCGTCCTGAAAAAGAAAGTCCTAGACTGGCAAGTTTTATTCCGAACTGCAAACAACAGCGTGCTAGAATTCGCAGACTACAAGAGGAAAGCTCTTTCCCATGGTTTGTTCCATAGATTGGATGTGAATCTTGTGTTCCTGTCAAAGTTGCACAGTCCCATCAAGTGCTCCCAGCCCCGTTCCCGCGCTCTGGAATCTCCTGATGTCAATGACGCCGCAGATGTGCAAACTGAAGGATTTTTGGACCTTCTCCTTCAAATGGGCCAGGTCTCCTGCCGACGTTTGAAAAAAGTGACGGCTGTTTTGAGATCGATTGGGTCTGGAGCAAGTCCTCAAATTCTTCATAAAATAGAGTAAAAATCACGGCCATATAGGGGGGGTTCCTAAAATGGGGGTACCCCCAAATCATCTATTTTTAAAAGATTGTCCATTATAAACCATCCATTTTTGGGGTACCCCGTTTTTAGGAAACCTCCAGATGTGTTCTGGTATTTGGTTCCAGTTTTCAGCAGTGCTTCCGCAGCCTGCATAGATCTTGGGCAGCTGCATCTGCGTTAGCAGATCTCGGGCCTGGCGGGCCAGAGGGGCCATCAATGAGTCGTAGCCATCAATGATGGCTCAACGAAACCTGGGAAAAAAAAAGAACCGAAGACTGGGCTTGTTGCGCTTGGTACAACAGGGTTCGATTTTTAGAAAATACCGAAGATCCTAGCCACCCTTGCCCATCATGCTGGAAACATTGATAAGTTGCTCGGAAATCAAATCCCTATCAAGCCCGGCAATCTAAACTCATACAACCATCTACTACTGCCAGTACTGCCAGTATGTCGACATTTCCATGACATAATCATAATCTGCAGCTAATTTTTGCTGGCAAATCACCCTTGACTGTATATCAAAGCAAGCAACCCCCGATTACCACAAGCCAAGGAACAGTCACTGGAAGAATTGCCGACGGAGGAGTCAGGAAAACACAGGCCGAGTCCTGTCAGGTCAAGGTGAAGATAACGTGATGGACTGGAGAGATCATTCAGATATATATATATATATATTGATATGTATAGTTGTTATATCAGATGGGATAACAAGGGCATATGAATTGACTATGAGTTTTGATGGGATGTTGTTCACATATCTGCAGCCCATCGACCCATGAGTTGGGGGAATAATGAGCCCCACAGCTAAATATAAATCTGGGTAAATTATTATATTTCACTAACCTGAATTAAGGCCATTTGGGGATGATTCCCCTTATTAACCATGATTCCAGTGAGGTCGCAGTGAGGTCGTTATAATTTACCCAGATAAATGGGGTCCCCACTACCCCAATGAATGGAAGCTGTCAAACATCAAGATGTCTGTGCTGGGAACTGTCCCAATAGAACACGCCACAAATAAAACAAAATGACCCTCAACGACTGGGGTGAATGTCGCAATAGTGGGATTTAAGGGACGTGAACTGCTGTAATCAAGGAAACGAAGATTTAAGCAACAGCAAACTAGCTGTATCCGAACATAGCCGATACCTCAGAAAGAACTGGGATGTCTTGGGATGTAGCGTAACTACTATCCATTTACTTGAAGGCAAGGAGTATCAGTATGACCCAATTGTCCCATTCAATTCCACCTTCAATATCCTTCAATGGTTCAAGTTAAAGCTGCTGATTATTAACCATTGAAGGATTAAAACATATTAAAACTATCATTTGGCTATGGGTCTTTGTACCACTGTACCCCTCTGCTCACATCAGAATAACGTAAACGTAGTTATGGATGTTCATCCTCATTTATCGGAAAACTCATCGGCTTTTTTCCCCAGTCCCAGTCCTCATCCCAGTGTTTTTTTTGAACACCCCTGTTGTATCCCAGTATTGAGAGGTTCATATATATATACATAATATATATATATATACATAATATATATATATACATAATATATATATATACATATAATATATATATATGGCTATGGGTCAAAACCCTGGTACCTAGTGAACCTTCAAATAGCTAGTAAATAGATCTCCATCCCACTCAAATCGACCCACCCCCATATATCCCCAAGTTTCAGCCATACCCATTTGGCCCATTTGGGTTTGTCTGAAAATAAAAACCATCTCATTCCATCCACTGTTAAAAATCAGTTTTCCTCTTATTTAATGGCCATAAATGGGGGGTACTTGGTGGTTCATTCCACTTAGTAAGCAGATTAGTTCACCATAGTTAAAAGTGGATTAACCCTAGTTATGCCCTATGCCATTTACAACCAGGGATATAACCTACTTAGGATTGCTCAGGTAGTGAGCCACCAAGTCCCAAAAATGTCATACCTCTGAGACCGATTGACTCGACGGCGCCTCCACTGCAATGGCCAGTTGCCTGATGCCCAGCGGTGTCCATTCGCAGGCCAGGCCGATACCACGCCGCGAGCGGGCGCTCAGCAGGAGGTGGTACGCCACGGCCGATTCCTTTGTCGGAAAAAGGGATGGCAACCGTGGAAAGCCGTGGAAAATGGAGAGGACTCTTGTTTGGGGGGGATGATTTTGCCACTCTCACCGGCTATTTTATATATTTAGCCACTCTCGCAGCGGCAGTGCAGGGTTTGCCACTCTCACAGCGGCACCTCTGACGTCTCAAAGTCTCCAGCCCCAAAGCGCGACAAGTCCACGATCTGGCACTCTGCGCCACAAGAATTCACGTTGAATCGACCCTTTTAAAGTCCCACAACGCGTCCAATCCCCAACAACCGAAGACCTCAATCGCTCGAAGATTGGCCTTGGGGCCCATCTTACCACCGCCTCAACGGGTCTGGTTTTTGGAGGGCCAGCAATGGTCAAAGTGGGATCCTTCATTGATGCACTCCGGTTAGTGGGCAGTAAATTTTATTCGGGACCCGGGAGATAGCCCAGTAATATATGGGGAACATTAACCACCTACGTTCAACTGGGTTTGCACCCCCAACAAGGTCAGAAACCAAGTTGATGTTCATGGGACCCAACAATGGGCGTTCTGATAGGTGTAATGATGTATATAACCAGTTGGAACTCCTGTTGAGCTTGGGATTCCCAGAATGAATTCGTCCAGAAGAAGTGAACTGATCATTGCCAGCATTGCTTACATGGTGCCCTGAAGATCTGGGTAGTTCAACGTGTCGTACTTCAGATTTTCCTAGACCTGATGGATGACTATTGTTTGGGAAGAGGTCACACCCTGCACATTCCACTGGCTGCTGTGTCTGACCCAAGTTCTGGAAGGCAAAATCCAACAAACCTCCCAGGCTCCCGTCGCTAGGAGATTGAGAGATAAAGATCTGATAATGAGAATCTGCCAAAACACATTTATATACTATGTCTATTATATTTGCGTGTATATCTAATATACAGTGTGTGTGTGTATATACATATATCATATATATATACAGTATATAGGCAGAAAGAGAGAAAGAGAGAGAGAGAGACCTATGTATGTATACATGTATAAATAAGTATAAAATATATACATAGATGTAAATGTGAAGGTATGTATATGTATTCGTATATGTATGTGTATATGTATATGAATAGTCATGAATAATCAACAAACGATGCTTCAATCTCACAAAGATCGAGTTCACACGCCCCTGTTGAAGCGAAGTGGCCCATGTCAGTGACGGAGATCCCATGACGCGTGGCAGCTACAGACGTGGCAGCCCAAGGCTAAGGGACTGGATCTGCACTGATTGCATCTCAGAATGGGAAACAAAAAAGAAGGCTGAATGATCAGATCATTTAGATTAGCTAGATTTACCTAAATTTAGTGATATCATTTGAAACATTTGAATTCTTTTGCGAAATAACTGGTGGGGGTGAACAAAGTGGGATGCAATTTGGGTTTCACGCTGGGATGCTGCTCTGTATTGAGGCTCTTCAACGGCTGAACTCGCGATCCTTCACTAAGCGACCCTTGTATCGTCCGAGAAAGCATGGTGCAGGTATGATGCATGCGCGATCCAAGTGTGACGCAAGTCTGATACAAGTGTGATAGGTTTGCACCAAAGAATTGCCGTGTTTGAGTCCATGACTGGTGGTTTCAACCGTTTCAACCCATGAGGGACACATTGTTTCAAGTGGGATGATCATTCCAGATAGGATAGAGAAAAAAAATCGACAAAATCTTCCCGACAACCCGCCCTTGCAAGGCCCTCCAAGACGCTCCAAGAATCCCAACTGTCTTTGACATCCATGCCTCAGGAAGTCCGGGTGAAACTCGGTTCGTCACCTGATTGAAATCCTCTAGGCTTGCGGGCTTTCACCATAGTTTTATACCCTTATCTCCATTAATAACCCCATTGCATTTTCCAGGATATGTCAAAAATGGACTTCCGCGGCCTTGGACCTTCCGACGTCGAGTCCCCAAGGTCTGTCGCGATTTTGGCTAACCTTGAAGACCTACCAGTAGCAAACAACCACAATCTTTGGCAATAGAAGGCACGAAAACGCAAGATTTTCCCTTCAATCACAGACATTTACGGCCAAAAGCATAGAAACGATTCCATCAACCGACCATCAATCCAATGTTTTGGTAGTAAAGATATACCCATTTTGGTTGATTAGTGGTTCAATTCCCCATTCATTGGTAGAAACTACTCCTCACCAATTTTAGTTGGTTTCAAAACTTGCCGGTCAAATCCCAATTTTATGGTTAAATCATGCCAAATCCATTGAGTCAATCTATCCCAAATTCCCAAAAAAGTGGCGATCCCATTCTAAACCCAGTCCCGTCCCATCTCTGTCCAACTTTGCTGCTGAGATCTCCATCTCTCTGGGCCCAGGGGCCGGGTCTCCGCACCCCCGTTTTCTCCCAATCCCATAAGCGCCGTGACAGCTGCCGCAAGCGCCGGGACTGTGGCGACTCCTTGGCGGCCCAGGGCGATAACGTGGCATGAAATGTTGATATTCATGCCTAATGGGAGGTGTGTATATATATATATACACATAATTGTGCATTTATTCTATTTATCTACTCTGTTTATTCCATTATATTCTATTCGTATTGTACTATATCATATCCTATCATAGCATGTCATATCGTGTGTATGTATGTATGTATGTATGTATGTATGTATGTATGTATGTATGTATGTATGTATGTATGTATGTATGTATGTATGTATGTATGTATGTATGTATGTATGTATGTATGTATGTATGTATGTAAGATAAGATAGGATAAGATAGGATAAGATAAGATAAGGTTGATAGATAGGATAGATAGATAAGATAGATTAGATAGATTAGATAGATGAGATAGATAAGATATATTTATCTATTTTGTCTATTTATTTACTTATTTGTTTACTTATCTATTGATTTATTCATTTATATCCCATTGGAAAGGACTATGCACAGACTAAGTAGTCTTTGAATTGGACTGCAGATACCACGTCAAAAAGACACGTGCAAAAATAAAACATAATGCTCATATATATATATATATATACACATGTATAATAATGGTTAATAATGTGTAATATATACACTATTCACATTATAACCCCAAATATGACTGGGCTTTCGAGATCGAGATCGAATCTGACCAACGTTTTCTTTGCTCCAACATCTGAGGTGCTAACTTTGGAAGAAAACCTTGGTCTTCTCAGCTTGCGCAGATGCCGCCCCCGGAAGATCGGATATAAACGGTTGAATTTTCCAGAACTCAAACATCCTTCAGCCAAACAACCCGAACACAAGCATCATCCCACGATCGTTTGGATTTGAATGGTTAAAGATCGCCACAGCAAAGTCGAAATGTTCATGATTACGCATCCCACGCTTGCATAGCTTGGATTACCCCATGAGCTTGATATGTCAGAAATTAGTCCTGTCCACTGCAGTTGTCTTCTCTCTTCAATCATAGGCTTGTTTTCAGCGAAAACATGGGCTGTCCCAGTGCTTTTCCCATCGATTTTTCCCTTTGGGCAGCGACTCTTTCGGTGTCTCGCCCCGTGACAAGATGGGCACTGCCTCCCATGGATGGAACTAACTGAGGCCTATTCTATCAGATGCGGGCGTTTTTCTATCGTGTTTGACCAGAATCACCAGAAATCCTTGGGATATTAAATTATATATATTATATAAGATATATATTTCATCATAGTTAAGAAGAGACTCCCAATATTTGGCCGGTAAGCTGGGAAGCAGTTGTGTCCGTTGTTGCACCCTATAAACCAAGTTCTGGGTCAAATGCCGTGGGAAGTTCACTTTTCCTTCAGATCTGGAGACACCTTCTCGATCAGCGAGGGTAGTGCTGACCTGTTCAGAAAGCGGAACCCAGGAGCTACGGCCAGCTAAAGTGACTGGAGTGAACCCAATCGTCTCACTATGGCGTTTTGGACCTTTGTGGATGCGGCATCCTGCTACCTGTTTTCCAAGCCCCTGGCAACTCATGGACTGCCTCGTCACCCATTTCCTCAAACCTGCAGTTGTTGGACACATTGCATGACCTCTGCCGATTTTCTGATAGCTCAGCGACTCGTTTAGCGTCCATCCAATGACTGGTCCGCGGAAGCATGGAAGCGGAGTTCAAGTCATTGTTCCGAAGAACATTTGAGACGAAACTGCTATTACCTCCAAAATGTTCATGTCCAAACACTTAAAGTTTCCTATGCAATCCCAAGCCTATGCATATGCATTTTATAAATGTTGCTTTCATGAAAACATCTAGGACCTAGGAATTCCTGAGTTCCTTGCTTGGCTGCCATGACGACAACATTGGCCCAGGGTACCAGCATGGATGCTCCAATGGCCCCGTACTGAGTGAAGGACTGTTCGTTGGATGGGTTTGTTCTATGAAAATGATGGAAAATGAAGGGGAAACGAAGGGGAACTCAGTTCTGCGTGATTATCTACCCTTCTGCAAACAATTGATGGTTCAGGGTTTTAAGGACATCTACGAAAGGGAGTGGAACTACTGCGATCATCTCTACTGTCATAGGGACGTCATCAACCTTTGTGACCTGGATCTATTGGGAAGGATTCCAAAGGCTTAAAGTCTTGACATATGCCATCGTCATCAAGAGGAATGAAGAGACGCAAGACACGCAAGATGATTGAGACACAGAATTACTAAAAAAATCCACCTTTCACACAACGGTAATCTTCAAACACTGCGCTCAAGGTTCACCTAAGCCCGCAGCCAGAGCAGTCTGTGAAAAGAGCTCCACGGCCAACAAGTGACCATCACCCTATCACAGCGGCGCAGCTAACTGCAACCAGAAAAACCTTCATGCACTTCAGGAAGGCTGGAAAAGGACTGCAGTTTTCTGAGATTGGATCAAAACCTATGAGAAATCCCATATTTTGGGGGGATGAAGATCCATAAATCCCGCTGCATTTCGAGCTTCACCTTGGTGCCAGGGTGAACTAACCCATAGCCATTTCATGAGCGCGTTTCGGATCATCCTTTCTCCGATTCCCATTCAACATAGCTGTGGAAATCACATGAAATCACCAGGTCTAATCCGTAAATCATCGAATTAATTTAACGGGCCGTCTGAACCATAGCTATGTCAGTACCAGAGGGTATGTCCCATTCATCTCCCCATTTTTGTATATTTTTGTTGCTTCAATTTTAACAGAATCACCAGAAAATCCCATGAATTCCCAAAAGCAGACCCTTCCCGGCCCCAGCATTCCTTGACCTCTGGAATGCTGTCCAACTTGCCCCGCACATTGACCTCGACTCTACGGACTCTTGGATCGCTGGATCGCAACTGAAATGTGGGCATCGGGCATCGCCGCATGGGTCTGAAAGAGGTGGGTATAGCCCAAAAATATCTAAAAATGCTGGAATTTTACATTGAAAATCATTGAAACATCGAAAATGATGATGGTTAACCGATGGAGTTTGGGGGTTCAAATAGAAAAACCGGCGAAGCCGCATGGATCAAAATCCTTTCAGCCCAGGCGCGCGCAGGTCCAACAGCCACTGGCTCGCAAAGACTGCCAGTACTGGCACCTGTGGAGGTTTCTCTGGATCCGCAGCTGGTGGTTGAGCCACCCCCTGAAAAAATATCCAGGTTCTATGGTTGAAAATAAACAATATGTTGACAATATGCTGAAACCACCAACCAAACATGCATTCCAACTCAAGTCGCAACTGTTTCCAAAAGAAACGTGAACAAAAGCAAACATGGTCACAGTCATGAGCCCATTGAAAAAAAAACGTGCTAAATTATCCAACGGCCTTCCGCTAGACAAACTTGAGGCCGGGGGTGGATGACGAAAGCTAGCGGGGTAGGAGAAAGAAGGAAGGGAAGAGGTGAGTTGCTGAGGGACTGTCATCATCGTGTCGCGGCATTGTTCGTCCCGACGAGGATGCAACAATGATATATGATATATGATATATGATATATGATATATGATATATGATATATGATATATGATATATGATATATGATATATATATATGGGGGAGGGGGCAGGGGGGGCCCTTTCGCGTGAAAAATCACGTGATGTCCTTGGGGAGCCCCGGAATACTTGCTAAAGCAAGAAGACTCTAGCGAGCTGACGCTAGCTTTCGTGATAATGCCAATAATTGCCAACAATGATAAAATGTAATTGAATAACGATGATGATGATGATGATGATGATGATGATGATGATGGTGATGATGATGATGATGGATGATGAATGATGAATGATGAATGATGAATGATGAATGATGAATGATGAATGATGATGATGATGATGATGATGATGATGATGATGATGATGATGATGATGATGATGATGATGATGATGATGATGATGATGATGATGATGATGGTAATGATAAGGATGATGGTGATGATGATGTTGATGATGATCATGATGATGATGATGATGATGATGATGATGATGATGATGATGATGATGATGATAGTGACGACGATGACGATGATGATAGTGACGACGATGACGATGATGCTGGTGATGATGATGATGATGATGACGACGATGACGATGATGCTGGTGGTGATGATGATGATGATGATGATGATGATGATGATATCATCTGTAATTTCAGTGAAAAAGCTGTGTTAGATGAGTTACCCAATTGCCAATTGGGTTTGTCTGAAAATTGCTTGTCCCATTCCATGCCATGCTTGAAAGCCTCATTTTCCCATGTGGCAAGATGGCGGCCATATCCTGGGGGTTTCCCCTACCTGCATCACCAACGCCAGAAGCTGAGCCCCGGTGGCCGCAGTGAGATATGCCGCCTCGGCACAAGTCCCCAGTGGGAACCCCTTCAAAACGGAGGGAAGCCCGCGGCCAATGGCTGGTCCCTGTCTTGGGCAGCCGGACAGCTGTCATGAAGCTGCCATAGGCGGCCTCCTCTGCACCCAAAGCACTGGCTTGTAGCACTGGGACATCGCCCTCGAGTGCTCCGGCTTGGACCTCCTTCTCAACTGCTAGTCCTTGGTGTTCCACCAAGGTCTTGGGCCCCAAGACCCACAGCTTGCACCGTTTCACAGGGATGTCTGTGACTTCTTGCACGCCTGGTCTGTCTTTTCTGTATCTCTGACAGAAATAAACAGGCTTCGTTACCTGAGATTATTTTGCCGCTAGTGACCTATCCGACAGATAACTGGAAGATGAGGGATGGATTACAAATTCAAGAAGAAGAAACACGTTTGAAAAAAAAAACATAAAAACCGTTCGCTGAAAAGGTCAATTTGGACTCTGGCGTTCATCATTGGCTGCTTGAAGCTCGGTGGAGCCTAAAGCCCACTCTTCCTGGCACAGATCCATAGCTTGTGCCATTGTGGCACAGGCCGGGTATGGCTCAAAATGTCAGGTGAAACCCATGGTTTACATTTTTTACATTTGTTTACATGTTTTTCTCCACCTTTGGTGATGTAAAATATCCTAAGGTTCGCTGGTCCAAAACCCATTCTACCCTCCGCAATCCAACAACATAGCACCGGGGCCCAAGTTCGATACCCCCACCATCAGGGCATCCCTATTTGTCTCAACCATACCCTTCCGTCAAAATTATAACAAGGAAAAAAAAAACAGAAATCGTCCACGTTTGGGATGATGATTCCCATAGCCTCCGTTCATCAAACATGGCAATGGAAGCCCCCACCTTTAGTTTGATGATTTTCCCATCAAAGCCCTTCGTTCGGGGAGTCCCCAGCCATGTTTGATTTTTTGTTTGATCTACCTCATATTGTCCCATAGAATCCCCATTTTATCCCTTTTGCATTGGCCATTCTATGCCCACATTTCTTGGTTAAATCTCAAAATTCCCATTTTGTGTTGATACAGCAACTGAGCCTGATATTCCCATGATATCTCCAGTATCGATGATTTGTTGCACCAGATCATCAAAAAACATCGTTAGTTTCAGATAGTATGGTATCCCCATCCACTTACAGATGTTCATTGCTTATATCCCCGGTACTAGTACAGTATATCATATCTATCATCATAATTATGACTAAAACCACCGACGAGATTCCTAGATCATCATTAGTTGAATATCCCCCTGATAATATCCCCATGATCACCGATATCCCCAAAAAAAACCTGAGATAATATGGATATCGGTGATAATATCATCATTTGTTGAATATCCCATGATAATATCCCATCCCAACATCCCTAATGATGGTTCTTAGTATCCCCAGTCTGTCTCCATGTCTCCATGTCGCGCCATGTCGCGCCTCTGCAGCGGCGACCACTTTGGGCCCTTCAACCGCCACGGTGCCGGCGACCCCAGCAAGGACCGCATCCTCAGAGACGCTGGAACCCTGGAGCCCCAGATAGGTTTTTTGGTGGAAATATAGTGGGAATACCCTCTGGTAATTTAACATAGCTATGGAAAATCACCATTTATAGTGGATTTTCCCATTAAAAATGGTGATTTTCCATCGTTATGTTAGTTTACCAGAGGGTAGATGGAAATGATGAGGGAAAATATGGTCTGAAAAATGGATGAAACATATGTATCTAGTAAAGAAATACATCATCTACAGTAGCAAAAAAACAATTTTATTGGAATATGGATGCCGCTACATCTCAGCGCTCCCTCTCAGCAAAAAACATTCATGGTCCTCATGACTTCAGACTTACCATCTGGTTATTTAACATAGCCATGGTATAGATGGCCCATTTATAGATGGTTGACCTATTAAAAATGGTGATTTTCCATGGCTATGTTAAATAACCAAATGGTAGTTGTCCCTGCTCGAGGAAATCTCAAATCATAAAGACCACCAAATGGTGTTAAGACCACGACTGCGCCCACGGTAGGGGCTGCCACACCAGTGGCAGTTGCTGCTACTGCGTCTACAGCAGCCTGTGCTGACAAGGTTGGCGAAGGAAAAAGGCACCAAAACCCAACGAAATCTTCAAGAAACTCTGTTTTACACCTCTAAATATCCACGTGTTTCCCTGTTTTCCGGCCCAGTTGTTGATGGCTTCTTCCCGATGGTTTCCCAGAAACTATAGCTAGGGAACTCAATCAGATAGTTGCAGCGTTGCTGATGTTGCTGCAAATCGGAGAATGTTGCAGCGTCTGGATCAGCACGAGATGCCCCCACTCGCTGTGCCTCGCCGGCCGCATCCAGGCCGCCCGAAGCCGCCGCGGCTTCCGCGGCGGCAGGCAGCTTGGGGAGGTTCTCGGCGACTTCGGAGGCCAGGCTCTCCACCTGGGAGATCTGATTTATGTAATTTATATCTAATAGATATTGGTATCTCCCTAATGTCTAATAATAGTACAGTAATAATAACAGTAATAATAAAGAACAACAATAACAATTTTCATAATAGTGATAATAATAGCAATAATAATAGTAATAATAACAATGGTGATAACAATAATAATATTAATATGTAGTAATAATAATAATCATCATCATCATGTATAGAATGATAATTACTATCATATGGTTAGATATATGTTCATATCTAAATTGCCACTTTTATCTAGATCGTTTAGATATCATAGACTATCCAGATAATCCCATCCCCTATATCTATATAAATAGTGTATATATATATATATCATATATATATATCATATATATATATCATATATATATCATATATATATATCATATATATATATCATATATATATATACATATCATATGTATATGTCATAGGTGTATAATATATCTATATTATATATATCATATGTGTATAATATATATATACATATACCTCTGCTGCCCCCAAGATTTCAGCACCTGCTCGGAGAGCTCAGAGACGCGCTCCTCCTTTTGTCATAGGGAGCCGCTTTTCTGGCCCTTCAAAAAAATGGGGATCGTAACGGATAGTAATATCATATACCCTTTGGTAATTTAACATAGCTATGGAAAATCACCATTTTTAATGGTAAAATCCACTATAAATGGTCATTTTCAATAGCTATGTTAGTTTACCAGAGGGTAATGTCAAACCCGGATTAATAAACCATGGCTTATTAATCAGGGGGGTACTCCTCCAATAGTCATAAACTAATACTTAAACGGTACCCTCCCAAGTACACAGCCTAGGGGTTTATTAATCCAGGGTTGACATTAATGACATTATCATGGTAAAATAATGGTAAGCAATTCTAGTTATTTATTATCCCATTAAAAAATGATGATCGGCTGTAACACAATGCAATAATAATATGAGACTTGAAATTGTGATGGTAATGTGATAACGCGATAATATCATGATATTATAATGCTGATATGCTGATACTGAGACAGTAGTAATACCAGAAATCAAACATGGCCTGCTGGAGCGTCGACCATTTACTTCGGGATTCTCTATTGCCACGTTTACCGGAGGGTAAAGATGATTTTATGCTGGGTTATGGGATAATCATGAGATAATATCACTAGCTATTGTAATGAGCTATACCCTCTGGTGATAATGCTAATAGTTGTGGTAGATGATCAAATAGAGGGTATAATCAACAAAAATGGTGGCAGAATGACGGAAAATGAGCTATACCCTCTGTTGGACATCACCATGTTTTAAGTAAATAATCTATAAATGCACCATCTAATTCTTATAGCGATGTTCAATTACTAGAAGATAGTGGGTACTAGCCATATTAACATCTCCAGTTATATATGGAATATCCCGGAATTACTGCATATATCGATACAGTATATGGCTTGGAAATGGTACATGGAAATCACCCCATTGGCCCATTGGATTTCCCCGGTTCGACGCACATCCAAGACGTATCCCACCGGTGGGGCCCAAGAAGGAAGCAGTTCCAGCTATAAGCAGATGTATTTCACCATAGTTTTACAGGCCCATATCCCAACTGAAAAAATGCTACCAGCTGCTACCCCTTTTTTCCACCCCAAAATAGTTGACCAACTCCAACGTGGCAAAAAGAAAATATGATTCTGGACTGGATCTTTGAGTGATCAAAAAAAACCTGGAAAATCAGATGGAAAAAATCTCACCTTTTGAAGCCTGAAAATATGACATTTTCAATGGTGGGATCAAAAGGGGGTTCTTCTCACTATGATGAATTTTCCACTGTCGGTGTTGATCATCGTTATTACCATCAGTATTTTCAAGAGTACTGTCGTAATTATCCGATAATGATCATGTGAACATTGGTATCACTACTATTGTTGTTGTTCTTCTTGATCAGAATTATTTATTCTCATTATATTACTATCATATATTGTTATTATCATTATTATATATTGCTGTTGTTATTGTTACTGTTATAGTTGGTCATAATAGGTGATCATATGTCATTGTCATTGTCATTGTCATTGCTCTCATCACTATTGTCATCGTTGTTACTAAAAATTGTCTGCTATTATTACAAAAATGAAATCATTCTGGATACCCCCTTTGTTGGCCCAAAAAATGACTCAGAAGAGCCTTTTTGAATAGAGAATTGTGAAAAGAAAAAAATGTCATGTTTTGTTTGGCATCTGCAAGGGGGACTTGGATGGTACCACCCTTAGTTGTGGTCGAAGATAGACCAAACCATAGGGAACCACTTTATCTTCGTTAAGATCCACTCTGCTTCAAGGTCTATGTCCAAAGTCTATCTTAGTGAGCGAAAGCGTTCTTGTTTTGCGGATCTGCCCCCATGGAATTGTCCATTTTGGAGGTCTATGTGCAAAGGTAAATTGTACACTTGCAAAACAAGAACACTTTCGCTCACTAGCATAGACCTTGGACATAGAGGGCAAATTGCTCTCAGATTCACTCTGCTTTAAGCTCTATGTCCAAAGTCTATGTTAGTGAGCGAAAGTGTTCTTTTTTTTGCTCTTGCAACAGTCGCTTTTTATAAATAAACGTAGACCTCGGTTTCTCGTTTCTCAGTTTCGAGGTCTATGTTTGTTTTCCTTAGTGTACTGTCATCATTATAGTACTATTATTGATATTGGTGTTATTACCAAAAGAATATAAAAATGAACAATAGTGAGGTACAACAATATCAAGATAACAATACTTTTACTGAATAATGATATTTTTTATTGTTACTCAATTCTTACTATTATTCTATTAATATCACTATTTATATGATAACTTCAGCACTATATGATATTTAATAGTTATAACAACGTAACAACTATAACCGTATTTTAATATAACAGTATTTCTATTTATTATATCATTATTTGGGTGTGTCTGAAAATAGTGTACCCCTAAACCCAGTGGTTTTGCTGATCATTATCCCAATGGTTAATGGCTATTGTTTGGGAATATACCCTATTTTCAGACAAACCCATATGAATTTATATGATATATGTACCAAAAATATGATACCTATGAGTGATCATGCCAAGACAAACATGATTGGAAACAGCTGCCTGATCTATTTATTATATCATTTCCATTGATTATTCATGATTATTAAACAATGCCTGATCTATTATGCCATGATTGGAAAATGCCTATTATATCATTGTTTATTCTATTGCTATTCATGGCATTTTTTGTGGCCACAATCAGCTGTGCGCCTCGGCCGCTTCTAGTTCCGCTCCAGCCTCTGCCTGGGCCCCCTGGGCCTTGGTGGCGCGAGAACCATGGCGTCGGCCACGTTGGAAAACATGGGATTTAATGGGGTAAAATGGTGTAAATCATGGAAAATCCGGGATTTAATGGAATAAATCATAGAAAATATGGGAGTTAATGGAATAAATCATGGAAATATATAGGATTGATTGGGATAAATCATGGAAAATATCGGGATTATTGGGATATAACTGTAAATATACGTGGATATGGATTATATATCTAGAGAAGTTGTACTAATCGGGAGAAAGCATGCTGTTCACCATCGTCCTTTTTACCAAAAAAAACGCTAGTCACCAAAAAAAGATAAACAAGGGGATTTATATAATTTCATTGGATATACCATGACCATGGGATATCCAAAAAAACATAATATAATCATAAATGTCATTGACTATCATTTTTCCATCTATACCATGATGCACCAAATGATACCATCATTGATATACCATGGTCAATTTATATTGCTATGGGTCAACACTGGCTACCCCACTAGATGAACTAGATGGTGAATGCTAAACATCGACAAAAATCTAGGGCTCAAATGGAGGTTTTCCAAGTTATGGGGGTACCCCATAACTAATCATCCATCTTAATGGGATTTCCTATATATGGCAGTGTGTCAAAACCTTGTACCCCTGTAGTTCACATCAAAATAGCTGGGTTAAAATGGATGTTCATCCCCCTAAAAATGGAAAATTAATAGATATTGATCCATACCCATATATATATATTATATATATATATTATATATATAGATATATTATATATATATATATATACCATCCATTTTGTGGTACCCAGGATCCAAAAAACCGCGGTTTAACCAGGGCCTCCCGGCAGCTGCCGCCGTGTTCTCCGCGTTGAGACTCTTGGCTTCGTCCTCCAGGAGCTCAGCCTCCGTCTGGTCCAAGGCGGCTTCACCCACATCGCGGGCAGCCTGGAAGAATGGGAAAATGTCGATGGGATTTCATGGGTATAACTGGAATATACAGTATCTGTGTATAATATATATACTGTATATAATTATATATATAATATATAATATATAATATATATATATGTGTGTGTGTGTGTTTGATGGGGATATCAGTCGAAATTCATGGGATGAATCTAGAAGAACGAACTGTAACTAAGCTCACCATTTTGGGGGGGATCATGGCTGGACCCAGACCATGCGCTTCGGTGTCATCAAGCATGGCTGGCTGGAAGTTCCTCCATTGAGTTCCATGAGTTTCGCTGGCTGAAACCTGCATTCACGGGGAATTTCCTATTGCCATGTGACAGAATGGTAACAGTCATGTGAACGAGTAGGGCTGAAGTGATTCACTCAATTGAAATCTACAGTGTTCTGACCAAGTCACCATGGTTGTTTCATGTTTCTTAAGTTATGGGGAATGCCCAAGTCACCATGGTTGTTTCACTACGAAGTCATTGTCATGATTGTCATGGTCTAATGACTGGATGATTTGCAGGTACCCCGGTACCCCCATGACTTGGGAAACCTCCATATTGGACTCCATATAATCACATCCTGAAATAAGAGTCTCGGCCTCCTCTTCTGATCCAGCAGCGACGCTTGACTCTTCCACTGCGTATCTCAAATTCTGCACACCTTGGCACAGCTGCAATTCCAAAGAATTCCAAAGGTTCAATCTGCCCGCAGATCAAAGGATTGATTCTAGGGAGAATCAACAGGAAACCATAGTTCTTACCCTGAACGGAGTTTCCTATAAAACTTGCCTTGGACCAATTTTCGAAAGGAAAACACAACAATCACAATGACCATCTCCTACAACCTCATGGCGACAACAGTTCAACTTGCGGTTTTTGGTTGAAGAGTGACCAAAGATCTTCAAAGGCTTTGCTTCCAAAAATGGAACCAAAATCCAGATGAGTTGTAAGGGCTTCTTCTACCTGGGCTGATTATTATTATTATCATTACATGTTAACCTCGGAGTAATATAGCAGATGAACTCACTATTTGGGGAAAAACCCTTGATCTCATCAGGGGTTGACAAATTAGAGATTTATGAAGTAAATGCCCATGGGGCCACATTTCATTTTACCAAAACCATGGTAAAAACACCATGGTTTCCGGTGAAGATGTTGGGGTCCCAGCTCTGGATCTCCAGTTCAATAGAGACCTGGGTTTCTCTCGCACTTGGAACATGGGGAACGTGAAACAACCAAGGAGAGTTCTTTCACATGCATACATACGTGTATATACTGCATATACATATGCATGGAGCAGTCTTCAAAACCTTTGTCATCACTTTCTACTGGTCGGTTCGTAGGGATTCTCAGTTCATTGATAACATGAGAATCCAAATGTTGGGCAGTATAAGTACCTCTCATCATTCTCAGCCAACCATCATCAATTATATTCCCATAAAAGTTCATGGTATTTTGAACCTAATGATGGTTAAAACCCCATGAAACTAGCATCAACTACCAAGGTTTTGGTCACTGCCGCGCCTGGTTGAGTAGCGACCCGAGGAGCACCAGTGGAGCAGCAACTGCAGCGTTCGATGGCTCCGATAGATTTTGTTGAAGGAAACCACAAAGTTTTCCCATCCACTACAGGATCTAATAGGGGGACAACCTGCGTATATAATTTCCTGGAAAAATCGATTCTAGCCTTTATGCATAGAGAGTTTACCACATCGTAAAGTTTAGCCCAGTTTATTATGCGTGTAGATGTTCATCTCCCTGGACCACCAAAGATTTGCATGCTTCTTTGCTGTTTGCAAAAGTGAGTCCATATGCGTGCATCAGCATCAGCAGCATCATCGTCGTCGTCTTCATCCTCATCCTCATCCTCATCATCATCATCATCATCACCATCATCATCCTTGTCGTATTATTGTCATCATCGCCACCACCACCATCATCATCATCATCAACAACAACAACAACAACGACAACGACAACGTCTACAACTGCAAAAAAAGGCGCTGCTGGACATCTGTTTCAACTCTTGTGATTTGTGTCGTGACTTGAACACCACGGCCTGTCACGAAGAGGCTCCGCCCAAAGAGGTTGCACACCGAGGCAAACATAGGCCAAAAGTGAATGAGTTTCTACATGTTGTGCTTTCGCACTTGGAGCTACTGAAATTGCCATAGGCTTTTGTTTCCCACATGCCAGTTGGGTTTCGCACTGAATAGGCTCGGTTTCAAATGGCAAAACCAGACCGGTTTACTTTGCGGGCTTGGGGCCGACAGATTTGACGGCAGGAATTCCAGTGTGTTTTGATGTTTCCGCAGTTTGAAGCCCTCAAATGCCTTAAACCATCTAAAGCCCTGGTTTGTCTCGCCATTGATTTGACTTCACTGGGAGGGACTGGCGATGTTTGGATGTCTGCGCCACTGTTGCGACTGAAACAACCGTCCCTTTTATCGCTTGAGGGAGAAAAATACCACAGCAATCCACAGCAGCTTTCTTCCCAACCAGATCCGACTGAGACGATAACATCTCAAATGTCTTGATGTGAAACACACAAAGATGTGGAAAATATTCATGTTTAGAAAGGTGTGAACATCATTGGCTTCAAGAGCCGTTCAAAACATTCGGATGTTCCTTCAACGTTGATTTAAGAGGAAACTGAGTCGCTGAAGCAGTTGCGGTCTGCAGGCTCCTTTCGGGCAAAATGAAAGCTTAAGCTCCGCAAGATGGATCTTCAACTGTAGTAAAAAGCCAGCCATTGGTTTTAAACTATCAAAATTTTCAACTATGCACAGTTTGAACCCAAGATTCAACCGCCTCCCGTCCATAGTAACAACCTTTTTTCTGCAATTTTTCATCTCAGAGAAAGTCTCCAGAGCGACGCTGAAGGAACCTGGCAAACCACAAGCAGTCACCATCTCGGAATGGGTCAACATTGGGGAAATACTCAAATACAAATAATGGATGGTTCAATACAACGCAAAAGACTAAACGTCATGATCAAAAATGATCAAAATCTGCGGTCCCTCGCCCGCCCAACGAGATTTCCCACCTGGGCATAGTTGTCAGCATCCAGAACTCCACGGGAGAGGCCATGGATGCTTCTGCAGGAGTTCGACCAAGACGATAGCAGTTTGCCTGGCTGCCAAACTGACGAAAGTCACTTAGAAGCTACACAACAGGCCGGCCCAAATTCCCACACTGCATGGCCGATGTTTGCCGTTTGGAAATGAATTCCTTCCCAAACTCAGCACAGCAACTACATCTGAGCAAGGTCACTCGAGGCAGTTTTTCGTAGGGATTCGTGGGTTTCAAGGGCAAGTTCATCTGGAGCTCATCCTGAGATACACAGGGTTGCTTGGTTGGTCGTCTTTGCCCCGGATGTCTGGTGTCTGCCGCGGACAGAACTTGCAACCCGACATGGACATCATCATCATCAGCAGCATCATCATCATCATTATCATCATCATCATCATCATCATCCTGAGCTCGGTCATGCCTTCCCCCTCAAGTCTCCCAAGTTCGCTCTCCCAAGATTCCACACTCGACCAGCTTTGCGGCCGAGAGTCCAAGTGGCCACGGATCTTTCCAAGCCGCTCAACCTCGGAAGCTATGGGCGAGTTCGCTGCCGCTACCCCAAAAAGGACCGCAAACATGATGCCAAATGAAGTGTTGGGATCATCCAAGTTTCAAAGGTTTCATGTCACTCCCATTTGTGGGATAGTTCGATTAGGGTGGACATATAAGGCAACTGCTCAAAGTAAGTGCGAAGGAGGCCCTCCAACATCAAAATCAAAATGCGACGGCTCAAATCTGGCCACGGCCATGCGGCCATATTCTACAACGATCTTGGTGTAGTTTGTAAATGGGTGTGTCTGAAAATTCGAGGAAATCGCAAGGATCCAATGGTTTAAAATCTCATTATGGTTCTTAAAATTGCCATCCAATTGTGGGGTAAACCCACCATTTGCAGGTACCATCCTATTATAGAACGTCCAATTAAAGTCACCATATGTTCCCTTGTTGTCGATATGTTTTTCATATCCCTTCAAACTTTCATAGAAAATCACACAGGTTACTGGATGTTACTGGTATATCAATAAAACTCATAGTTACCATTTGTTACATAGTCATGTACATAGGTTACAATGGTTTCTGGTTTTTTCATATACTCATTGTAACTGGACCCAAAACCGCCATTTCGAGCCACCGAGATGCTGCCTTGTCAAAGCGCTTCGCCGCGCTCTTGGCCTTGGACTCGGTGGATTTCAGTTCCTAAGCAGCGGAAGCGATCGAGATGAGCATCGCAAAACTCGCACTGAGAAGTCTATAGAATTTCTATGAATTGCTATGAATTTCTATAGAAATTCAAGAATTTCTATGCTAGAATTTCTACAGTTGTTCTATGAATCGCTGCAGAATTTCTATGAATTCCTATGATTTTCTATAGAAATTCTATAGAAGTTCTATGAATTTCTATGTTTTTTTCTATAGAATGTCTATGAATTTTCTATAGAATTTCTATAGAATTTCTATGATTTTCCATAGAATTTCTAGAATTTCTATGCATTTCTATAGAATTTCTGAAAAGCTTCTGTGAAATTCTATGAATTTCTATAGAAGTTCCATGAATTTCGAACTCACTAAATCGAGATCTAAGAGATCGATTTCTTCTTTGGAAACCCGTTCCGCAATGCGGAAGTATCGCCGTTTCAAACACTGAAGATCATCGCCAGCATCCACTGGATGTCACATTGTTGGCGATGGACCACCTTCTACCCGCAATGGACCAAATTACTATCAATCGAAAGAGTACATGTCGAATGGCTTCTACACTCTGTTAATCCAACATAGCAATGGACAATTTACCATTTAGCGCTCATTCTTTTCCCATTAAACCCTCCATTTCTGTGACCGGCTATTTCCCAGCTGGCCATATTTGACTGCCCAAGGGTACAAAGCCAACCGCGGTTTCACAAAGCCAGGTGACACCTGGCAGCTTATTGATAAAGGTCTGCTGCTTTGCCAGATCTTCCTTGATTTCCTGGAACAAAGATTCCCCAATCGATTCAGCAAATGACTGGATGTGTCATTCCTGACCTTCTCTCATGAAGGTCGGGCTCCCAGAAATGTCTAATTTCTTTAAGGCGTTTGGATGGGCTAAATGTGGCAATCTTCTCATCCAAACCATCCCAACACCAGTCCTGGAGACTGGCTTCTTCCTTCTCCCGCTTCACCCAGTAGTCGTCCAACTTGTCGCGGTATTTGGCAGCCTCCATCTTGTTTCCAGTCGCCTGCGTCATGCCCTAGGCCCTCGGCACCTCATACAGTTGCTCTGGATCTTCATCCCCAAAAGATCATCCAACAAGATGCTACTTCAATGCACTTCATAGATTTTGACTACCCAAACTTCCACAGATTTTCATGATCGTTTTCTGGTCCAACTCGCCCTTTTGTCCCTCTGCCTCTGCAAGTTCCATTTTCATTTGCAAGTTTGACCTGCCAACAGAGCGGTGCATCCCCCGAACTGGCCCAAACCTGCATGTTGGTTTTCCAACTATAAGATATTGAAAGACTGTGAACGAACTGCTCGGCTTTTTTAGTGTTTGGGGTTCTCAAGAGTTCTTAGGACATCCTTCTCCCAACAGCAGAATCCTCGGTAAGCCACAGCAGTTGCTGGAGGTGGTTGGCTTCCACTGACAACATGAAAGTCCACATGTCACATGCTTAGACACTCAATCGAAATTCACTACTATATATGATGAAATGTAAAATCCAATATATCCAATCAATCTATGTATAGCCGCCGTCAAAATCAATTGTTGATGCTTGGGACGAAAATATTGGTTATCGCTTTTTGGGGGGGGGCCTATCGCTTTACAGTGTTTTGTTCAAATCAACACTAAATAATGCAACAATGCAGCGGAATTGGCTTCACGGATTCAGATCTCTAAGCTGCTGGGAATGGATTAAGGGGCGCTCGTTGTCTTTGCGTTTGCAACCATGTTGGGGAGCTATCTAAGCACATTCCTAGACTCTTTCAATGGTTCCCAACGGTTATAAGATCACTATATAATTCTATGAAAACGAAAAAGGGCCACCTCGCAATCGCAATTGTCCCTCTTTGATAAGCCATGGCGTCAGAAAGCGCCACACTTCCCCGCTCAAAAGCTCTAGAAATTGAAGATGGGACCTCATAGTTCCAATAAAACAAGCGTTCGTAGCTATGACTACTTAAGGCTTCCCAAGTCTCAAAACAACCTGATGGCCCTGTGATGGCCTAGGGTTGAGAACCTGTTCGCTTTTTTGTTGGGCTCTTGTTGGGATCAAATGGGTCTATCCCTAGGTTGTCGCTAGGTTATCGCTAAGGGTATCGCTAAAATAGAACACCCTGATGATCAAGAAAGGAAAAGAAAAGGAACGCGGAACAAAAAGGACAATTGAAAAAATAAAGGGAAAAAGGAAGGAAAGAACAACAAAAAGAAACGAAGGAAGAAGAAAGGACAAATCAAACAAAAGGGAAATACAATAAAATAGATGAAATGCAGAATTAGATTCAAAATCAATTTTGATTTACTTCCGAATTCCAAAGGAAATAAAAGGAAAATGGAAAGGAAAAATAAAGAAAAGGAAACAAAGGAATACGAAATTCAAATTTAAGAAAAAGCACATAAACTGAATTCAGAATCAGATCAGATTTAAAACTATGTCTTAATTTAATTCAGAATTCGGTTGCATTTAGTTGAGTTTACTTCTACTGCTTTGGGAGCTGGGAGAAAAAAAAACAATTGCCTGCAGAAAGCAACGGTTCAATCACCTTGGACAACACATGGTATGGCAACTGCAAGAAACGTGGGCACTAATCAATTTTGCACATGGCGTGAAGGCACACAACAATATTTGCTCGGTTTACACCAAGTTTAATGCACTCTCATATGCTTACAGTTATCGCTTTTTGGGGGGGGCCTATCGCTTTACATGGTTTGGTGCACTTTCTCAACACAACTGGACCCTCCCTTACTAAAGTAGTCTACGCTTATTTTGACCGCATCTCATATATAATCGAAGTCCAATTATAGGTCCTAGCAGTCACCAACATCTTTGAAGACAGGTGACTGGGTGTTGGCGTTTAAATCGGCTTCCCTGGCTTTGAGGTCTTGCCGTTGGTCTGACAAACGTTTCCTGCGGCGAAGAGTGCGGTGGCAAATCATGACAAGACATGGCCCACTGGCACAGATCTTTACCCAGTTTGTCTTATCTTATTCATATCCCATGTATTATATATATATATGTATGTATGCATGCATGCATGCATGGATGGATGGATGGATGGATGGATGCATGTATATACGTACGTACGTACGTACGTATGTATGTTATGTATTTATGTTATGTTATGTTATGTTATGTTATGTTAGTATGTATGTATGTATGTACGTACGTACGTACGTACGTATGTATGTACGCACGTTCATACGCGTACGTACGTATGTATGTATATGAATATCTTCATCCCCATCGAATAACGCAATAATAATACCATATATGCGTGGGATGAATGGGGCGTCCATCCCTGCCTGAACTCATCTTTGTTGATGGATTGCAGTTGCGCCAGCTTGGATTCCAGATCCTCTTTCTGAGCTTTCGCATCTGCCATACTTCTCCGTGCTCTGATGCGCTTGGGCTCGGATTCGGCCAAATCTTTGAAATAGCGGTTCCACCAAGCAATGGCATAACCTCAGGAGCATATGGGGCCAGGACCCAAGCGGCCCCAAGCTTCAACCCCGCCCTCATTCCAAACGGAGCAACGTTGCGTCTCTCGCTTGGCCAGCATGCCGGGGGTGCCATCCGGGTGATCCAGGATAGATGTAGCAGCACCTAACGCAGCCTGACACGTGCAACGCAGCACAACGCAGCACGCGTTGCTGACCACCGACAATGGTCACTGTATGCTCGACCACCGGGCAGAAAGTGGACTACCCTCTGGGAATTTGTTGGTTTGTTATGGCATAGATGGCCAGTTAGTTCAATGATTTTTCCATTGAAACCTCAATTTCCACTGGATTTTCCAGCCAACCATGTTTCCAAAGCCTAGTTTGTCATTTGATTGGGACCGGTATGTCCAGTCCAGTAGCGACAGGCCCCGATTCCAGTTGTGTCAATCCATGGGCAATTGTCTCGGAGAGAAAGACTTGGATTCTCTTCTGGTTTAATCATGTTCAAGCCCCATCTTTGTTGCATATCTTAATTTATCATCATGGATATCCCCATGTTTTGGATAAAACCCCAGGCTGTTCCATCCTTTTCCCCATCCTTTTCGCCATCTGGCTGTGACTCAAAAAATGTGCTACCATTTTTTTACACACAGAATTGCTCATGTTTAGTACTTCACCATCCAGCCATAACCCAGCCATAGTGTCTTCATTTTCCCATCTTTGCTACTGAATTCCCCATGTTGCCCACGGCCACGGCCTTGGCAAAGGTCGAGGTCTTATGTGCCTCCCGCTGCAGCAGCCTTGCGCTGGCGGCCACACGCAGCGCGCCAGCAGAGCCCTGGCGGAGCATCTCAATGAAGTGCTCGTAACTGGCTGGATCGACCTGCAGGGGATCCTCCAGGGGATTCTATGGGAGGATTTTTTTTTCGACACCAACCATAGGAATTTCATGGGGATTCTCGGCTGATTTTTGTTGTTGGGTTTTTTCTTTTTTTGTAGGTTTTCCTTGAAAAACGACATCGAGGTTTTATGGGATGCTGATAGTTGTAGTGGGAGATGTTTTTTAATGGTGATATTTGATGGGATATCACTAAATATATCACCAACTTGATATGGTTATGGGTCGGAAGCCGTGGAATCCCTGGGTTTAATCGTAGTAACTGAAATCGACGGATGTTCATCTGCCCAATATATGGCAGTTCATGGCTTTGGACCGTTAATAACACATTTGTTTGCCATCAAAAAATTGAGCCCTTACCATCCCTTACTCTATCCCTTCAACAAACGCTTAGACATGACGAAGAATGACTATACACTTTTCCGAGGAATGTCACATTCCAAGTCCTTCGCAGGGTCAATCGACCCCACATGTACTTTGGGTCCTGGAAAGCAACCTTCCAGTGGCTAATATCCATATGAAAATAAGCGGGTGATGTATAGAATGTCCACAGGATTCCACAGGTACAAGTGGGTTAATTAAAGTATTTACATGTATCTAAAAGAATCAATATGGAGGAAAACCCACATTGCATCCACATGAATTATCAACCACTGCTACAAGACGTCTGATAACTATTTTTGGAAGACTGGCATGCATAGATAAATAGCTTAGATTAGATTAGATTAGACTAGACTAGATTGGATTAGATTTAGGTTAGAATTTGGATTAGAAGTGGAATTGAATTAGATTAGATTAGATTAGATAGATAGATGTATACATGTATACCCGTATACATGTATACATGTATACATGTCACACACATATATATAATACATATATATATACACCTCTATATAGATATATATATATATACATAATAAATATATATATATATGTAGAGAGAAAGAGAGGTTATAAACCACTCACTATCTGGGATGCACATCCAAGAAAACACCAGCACCAAGTTGGTAAAGTTGGGGATGTCAATCGGAGAAAACTGCTGTTTGAACTGACCAAATGGGGTGGTTGAACCAACGTAGACCCAGGACACTACGGAGTGCTCCATATTTTTCCCCATCCTCCCAAGCACCAAAACGCTATGAAGGGCAACTCAAATGCAACAGAAGAGTGATTAATTTCGGTGCATTCACTGGTATAATTATGTATAAATGGTGTTTTCATAGGAAACAGCGTGTATATTTATCTTGGTGGCATTGCTGTCGCCAAGTAACATTCGACTCCACCTCTCGCAGAGAGCAACGATTTTGAAATGGATGCAGATCCCCTGCAAGGCCCCCAGCAGGACCAGAAGATAGCGCCATCACTCGTGATGCCAGGGGTCATGGGGATATCGACAAAGACATGTCTTTGGCAGTCGAAGAATTCTCTCCGTGAAACATGTGAAGCGGGACAGGCTAAGAGTTATGGATATTTTTTCTCCGAAATCGAAGCTGCTTTACCCGTGGGATCATGTAGCTTTGAGCGGCCTTGTACAGCTGCGTCGGACAGGAAGAAAGTTTCTAAGAATGAGTTTACAAAAGCACCATCAATGGGTGCGTCGGTTCTGTGAGCTGAGGAAATCCGGGCAGAAGATGGAAGAATTTCGTGAATCACATCTGGCCATCATTGGAACTTGATTCTAAAGTTGAGAAATCGGGTTATTGTTTTGCTCAGGAATCAGGGTGTCACTGGCCAACCTTCAGACCACCTGTCTCGCGCAACGCAGAGTGGCATCTTTTTCGACGGAACTGGAAGATGTGCCCGGGGCACCACGAAACTTCCTACACTGCTCTACAGTGACGTCGTGTTTGCATGCCATTTTGACCTGCAAAAAAGAAAAAGCAAGCGTAGATCACCCACTGCAAGCGGGTGATGTTGCTGATTTCAGCATCGCAGCGTTTCACCACAGCGCTACTTGATCCTCAGGCAGCAGTGAAAGCCCACAGATGTCACCATGCCTTTGGGTCTGCCCGTTGCAACTGAAATGATCACGTGTCCCTGAATGTCAGTTATCAGGATCGGCTACACAGATAGTTTCCACCAAGTTTCAGGAAGCTTCGTCCAAGTGACCGTCCGCCACTTGTGGCTACCTCGGCTGCTGGTTTCAGTGGCTCAAGCTTTACCCAGCGATCCGCAAAGCCGAAATTTCTGCCCAGTGACTTTTTAAATCAAGACAAATTTCGAAAGATGTTCCTGCCAATGCGCTGAAAAACTGAAGAGCTTCACCAATCATATTATCTGAGATCAAAATTCGATGTATAGCAACAGGACAAATGATTTATCAATATTTATCACTACTTTGGTAGGAATCTACTTTTATCTCTTTATCGATTGCTATACGACACTCATGGATGCATCTTTGAGATGGCAAAGACCCAAGCGACGCGGCGCCTGCATAGCCGTCAATCACAAATTTATTGTCCTGAGCGGAAAGGTACGAGGAACTGGTGCCTACAATTGGTGGATCCATTGTTTGGTCTCACAATTTTGGTGGCCACAAGAAAAGAAACTCCAAATACTCTGTCTGATGCCAGATCCTGTAACATTTATACCTTGCTTACACATCAATTCAAAGGCCAACGAATCCTCACACCATGTCAATCAAGGTCCACTTTTTTGCCCGGTAAAAAGGCCATCCAACCCATTGCTCTGAAAATTTCAGGGTCACACAAGGGATAATCTAAGATGCCGTTTTCCAACAAGAAACATGTATGTTTTACTGCGATTTATGGTTGGATACATTATCGTTCTATATATATATATCATATATATATATATACATACATGCAATAATTTTTGTGTATATAACATATTTTGATATATAGTATTATATTATGTAATAATTATTCATGCATGGGTATCGGTCAAAACCCCATACACCTGCTGCTCACCTCAAAAAAACAGCTGGTAGTTTTGGATGTTCATCCCCTGAAATTCGTACTTATAGGTATTGATGATATACATATTTTTGTTTGCTATCATTATGATTTTTTAATTATCATTGTTATCATCATTATAATCATTATATATATATTTATATACTTCAGGATTCCAGGCAACCGCACGAAGTGTCACCAACCCAAGATGGATCAAGGATATCAAGGTACATGTCGCAACACGTTTTGACTCGAAGCTGAAAAATTACGAGATCTCGGGCCCCAGCTACGGGCCCCATTGTGAAACATGTGTTGGTTCAACCTGACCCCATGGATTGATCAGAAGGGTTCAGCGAACTCCTGACAATATATATATATATACATATATACATATATATATACATATATATATAGGTGTGTGTGTATGTCTATGTGGATAAATCATGGCAATTCACAAACCCGAGTTTTGTTCGGCCATTTTGGGATGCCCCTAAGATTCACCAGGATTCCAGCCGTGTCGCTGGATGATATCCCTTTTTGTTTCCCTATGACCTCCCACCATCTCCTGCTTAAATCACCATTTTTAATGGTTACATCACCATAGCCAGCATCCCTTGAAACACTTAGCTCGAAATTACGCAGCTCAACACAATCATGTTCAAGAACATTCTATAACATTCCATAATATACGTAGTACGTATATATATATATATACATTGCCCATCTATATGAGTGTATCTATACATATATATATATATGTATATACACATATGTGGATCACCATAACAAGCATGTTCATAACTGGTCTATATATATTTTTTAGATAGATCTATAGTTCTACTTGCTAGAACATGTATAGGATATGATAGATTTATAGTAGATCTATACAGTCTATACATATATACATCTATACATCTACAGTTCGGATATCTATAGCATTCTATAGCATAGCCAGCATAGCTATATAGCTTTACAGTATATGAATGCTACCATTTAACATAGCCATGGAAAATGGCCCATTTATAGATGATTTTCCCAGCTAGAAACCTCCATTTATTTTCGGGATTTTCCATGGCTATGTTAGTCAGAACCAGATGGTAAATCCCATTAAATCCCATTATATCACCAATAAATCACGATTAAATCCCATTAAATCACGATTAAATCCCATTAAATCACCATTAAGTCCCATTAAATCCCATTAAATCACCATTAGATCCCATTAAATCACCATGAAGTCCCATTAAATCACCATTAAATCCCATTAAATCCCAGTAAATACCATTAAATACCGTTAAATCACCATTAAATCACCATTAAATCACCATTAAATCACCATTAAATTCCATTAAATCACCATTAAATCCCATTAAATACCATTAAATCCCGTTAAATCACCATTAAATCACAATTAAATCCCATTTAATCACCATTAAATCACCATTAAATCCATTAAATCACCATTAAATCACAATTAAATCCCATTAAATCACGATTAAATCCCATTAAATCACCATTAAATCCCATTAAATCCCATTAAATCACAATTAAATCCCATTAAATCACCATTAAGTCCCATCAAATCCCATTAAATCCCATTAAATCCCATTATATCACCATTAAATTCCATTAAATCCCATTAAATCTCATTAAATCCCATTAAATCCCATTATATCACCAATAAATCACAATTAAATCCCATTAAATAATCATTAAGTCCCATTAAATCTCATTAAATCCCATTAAATCCCATTAAATCACCAATAAATCACGATTAAATCCCATTAAATCACGATTAAATCCCATTAAATCCCATTAAATCCCATTAAATCACAATTAAATCCCATTAAATCACCATTAAGTCCCATTAAATCCCATTAAATCCCATTAAATCCCATTAAATCACCATGAAATCCCATTAAATCATCATTAAGTCCCATTAAATCCCATTAAATCTCATTAAATCCCATTAAATCCCATTATATCACCAATAAATCACGATTAAATCCCATTAAATCACGATTAAATCCCATTAAATCACCATTAAGTCCCATTAAATCCCATTAAATCACCATTAGATCCCATTAAATCACCATGAAGTCCCATTAAATCACCATTAAATCCCATTAAATCCCATTAAATACCATTAAATCCCGTTAAATCACCATTAAATCACCATTAAATCACCATTAAATTCCATTAAATCACCATTAAATCCCATTAAAAACCATTAAATCCCGTTAAATCACCATTAATTCACCATTAAATCACAATTAAATCCCATTAAATCCCATTAAGTCACCATTAAATCCCATTAAATCCCATAAAATGACCATTAAATCCCACTAAATCACCATTAAATCCCACTAAATCACATTAAATCCCATTAAATCACCACTAAATCACCATAACTTCCCATAACTTCCATCCTTTCATCGGCGATGAAGCCAGGCCACAGAGACGCCAGGCCCAGCCAGCATGCAGCCGCCGCTGCTGCTGTTGGGCGCCTCCGGAAAGAGGGCGCGATGCGGATCCTGCGGATCCCAACGAGCCATGGAGCTTTGAAAAGTGGGCGTTATTTCATAATAGGGTAGAGTTAACTATAATAGTGATTTCATAACTATAGTTATAACTATAGTGGATCCTATACCAAAATTGTCTATGGTTATATACCCTCTGGTAAACTGTCACATAGCTATGGAAAATCACCATTTATAATAGGTAAATCAACTATAGTAACTATAAATGATCATTTTCAATAGCTATGTTAAATTACCAGAGGGTATGGCTTGGTGGGTTGGTGATGTTGGTGGGTTGGTGGAATTTTCTAGATCTGCTGATGTGTTTTCAAGATCTGGACGAATCTGTTTTTGTAAGGTGTTTCACTGATAGAGGAAGGAAATTAGGGGGAGTTGCTGACAAAATACTGAGAGAAACTACCGTATAATGACTGGGATTTCAAGTAGAAACCCTTTTCCATTGGTAATTCCACGCATCCCTCGGTAAACCATGGTCACCCACCAGTCACCAATTCGACCTGATGGACATCACTTCTTGTGAGTTTCTAGCGCCACCGAAGTGTTTCCTGCAATCAACAGACCACTAGAAGAAGATACAAAAAGCTATCTTCGACATGAATTTCTACCAAAGAGGGGAAGAAAAGGCTGGGAAGTGCGGCAGTGCGGTGCTGCGCTCCTCATCCATCCAAATCTGAAACTCAGCACGGCCAGATCTAGAAGCCTTGGCCAGGAAGATCAACTGTGCTCAAACCAAGCCGCTGCGGTTTCATTCGAATACGGCTGTCTGAAAATGAGGGGTGAACCCATGCCTTGTGGCCATGTTTATAGGAAAAATGATACTTAACCAGAGACAAACCCTGAAAAAGAGATCGCTCTTGGAAAAGCCGAATTGGCGATGCTCAGCAAGCTGACTCACCAACATATTTCTGGCCCAAGGAGCCATCGTCATCTTTGCCCAGTACCTGTCATCGATCTCTCGAGGGACATTCGCAAATGATGAACCACACCGCACCCCATTTTTCCATCAATGGCTTCTATGAAAATGTGCGCATCCCAAATCAGAGCATCAAATATTCAACCACAAGAAATGCAAGGCATTTCACCCTTCTGCCAGGCGCGCCTGTCGGGATTCTCCGAGTCTTGGCTCATCAAAATCCCGCGCTCCGCCCAGTTGCCTCCAAGTCAGAAATGCCCTGCACTTTGCGGAAAACCCACCATTTGCAGCGAACTGTCCCAGAAACCGTTTCGAACAATTCTACCGGCCTGCCACATAGTAGCGGCGACGGTTTCGCCCCTGCCAGGCGTTTGAGATTTGGACATCCCTGAGGACAGCGGCACAGCGCCTGCCTCTTGGCTGTGCCAGGTACGGGTGGCGGATGAAACAATGGCAGAGACCACCACATGTCCATCAGCCACCTGGATCGATTGCTGCGATCTGGGCACATGGGCACATTCCACCACCAGTCATTGCAACTTGCAGTAAGCCCCAATAAAGATGGAAAAGTAACATAATTGTCAATGTAATACCCCAAGAATCATCAGTATAACAGGATTTCATTGCTCAAAAAAGTGATGTTCATAGGATTTGGTCTATCTTCTTGGGGCTTGTGATGTTCATTTCAATGGATTGGTTTAAGGGAAAATTTACAGGAAACCATGTTTTTTTACCATTAAATATGGGGGGTTCCTGTAAATTTTCCCCTAAACCAATCCATGGATCATTCATCTTCCACACCTCCAGGCGCAATTGCAGCCGCTCTCCCTGCCGTCCGCTGACTGCGAAGAAGTTCTTACTGCCAGCCGCATCGGGGCCTCGCACCTTAAAAGGCGTTGAGATGGTGCTGTGAGCCCCTGGAACTGCACGTTTTGGTGGCTTTTTGGTATGAATAGTATGTATATATATATAATTATATATATATAATTATATATATATATAATTATATATATATATAATGGAATGAGTCATCAAGTTCAAAGTTTACTTTTTTTGTATTTACAGTATCTATAACATGTATCTGCTATTAAGAATGTTGAAAGTATTGATAGTATCCATGTTCAATCATATGAAATTGTAGTTGTCATCAATCATCAGCATAAATGCAACTTAATAGTATGAATGTATCACAAGGGACCACCACCTAGGGTCCCCCACCGGCACACTGGTACTTTTCGGCATCGTCCTGCGAAACAGCCAGAGATATCTGAGAATTCTGAGATGTCCAAAGCAGTGCGACACGGCAAAGCCTCGCAGGGTAGATGGTCTGATCCCGGTCGTTGTCACGAACAAACTGGAAGGTTTCGTAGCTTTGCAGCCCAAAGCGCGTGGAATACTCAAAGACGTTCCTTGGCGCAGTCAAAATGAGGGTCAAGTCCTTCCAGACCAATCGGGATCTTCCACATGTCATCACTGGTTTTTCACATTCCCAACCAGGTCCCAGATGCCGAAGACCTCTGGTGGCCTTCATGGGGATCATCTTCATCTGCGTCAACGAGCCCAACACCTGGTAGCTGTGCTGAAAGGACGGCATCTCCTTGTGGCGCGGCGACGTTGCGGAAACCGCGGATTTTTTGTTTGTCGTCTTACTGAAAAATGATCCGTCGTTAAAGTTGACTTCGTTTTGTTTTACCCATGACAATGGTGATGTCCGAAATCGTGAAATGTCCATGTTGGATAGATGTCCCCCTAGTCCGGACGTCAGGTCAGGATGGAAGAAGTGGTTCGCCATTGGAAATTCTTCAAATCCACAAGTCTGTCAGGTGCTGCGGCAATGGTGTTTTTTCCGACCAGTTGGACCCAAAGTATCCATCACAATGATCCAATTTCAGGTGGGCACATATCGTCCCTTGATGTCGTGGTGATATCCAATGAATATGCGCTGAATATCTAGTGATTCTGTGGGTTTTTAGCACAATTCGAACAAAGGTTGTAGCAGGTTGATATCCCCCCCTTGAGAGTCTTGTTCTCTAATCTCATTCCGCTCCAAAACATAGATGGTTGAAATCTAAAGCTTGACAAGTTATTCGCGAATCAAAACAAGTGTAATATATATATATACATATGTACACACACACACACACGGGTGTTTCTCAGAATAGGGGATCCCCAAAACCATGGAACGGTTCCAATCTGTAGAAACACCCATATATTTTGAGGGAACCCTAAAAATAATATCTTCCCATCCCAGGAATTGACAGAATAAAAATTGGTAGGTTCTTTTTTTTAAGAAAAAAAGTGCCAAATCTTAAAATAAGCCGACGTAGATCCCCAACAGCGGTTGGTTTCAAACAGTGGTCCAGCTTTGCAACCCAAGACGGATTAATGATGGCAGGAACAGGATTCCATAGCAGGTTTTTCTTCTGTGAAGACTCGAGCCATTTGCAGTGGGCATGACATCATTCATCACTGGCTAAAGGACTTAAACCAAAGCAAGGGTAAGGCGCCGTTTACAAACTTATCGGAAATCAGTACGTGTCCGCCAACCAACAAGCCTGTTATTGTCAACATAATGATATCATGCTCACTGCCTGCTGTGTAGTTTTCGCGTCGTTACACTTGCAAATTCATCGTTTGAATGGTGTCAGTTTCTTGTCGCCTGGCTTAACGCATTATTGAATTGTATAATTGTATCGCCGTGTTTGCCTGGAAAGGTAAGCTGTGTGATTTTGGATATTCAAGACTTCGTGCTAACCCGAGTGTTAAATTTATTCGCAGGTGTCCGCTAACCAGCAAACCTGTGAATGTGAACGTAATGGTATGATGTGCATGACACGTTATGATGCACGTGGCAATATGTTTTCATCTTCATGAAATCATATCATGGTCATGAAATCATATCATGTTCATCAAATCATATCATGTTCATGAAATCATATCATTGTCATGAAATCAAATCATTGTCATGAAATCAAATCATGGTCATGACATCATATCATGGTCATGACATCATATCATGGTCATGAAATCATATCATGTTCAGCAAATCAAATCATTGTCATGAAATCAAATCATGTTCATCAAAGCATTTCACGGTCATGAAAGTATATCATGGTCATGAATTCGGTCACGAAATCAAATCATGGTCATGAAATCATATCATGTGCATCAAATCATATCATGTTCATCAAATCATATAATGTTCATGAAATCAAATCATGTTCATCAAAGCATTTCACGGTCATGAAAGTATATCATGGTCATGAATTCGGTCATGAAATCATATCATGGTCATGAAATCATATCATGTTCATCAAATCATATCGTGTTCATGAAATCAAATCATGTTCATGAAACCATATCATGTTCATCAAATCATATAATGTTCATGAAATCAAATCATGTTCATGAAATCATATCATGTTCGTGAAACCATACTGTTATATCGTTCAGGAACTGCAGTGCAGAAAGTCCAGTGCAGCGACGGAAGTGCAGGGAGTGGATAGCAGAGACTGGAGTGCAGGGACTGGAGTGCAAGAAATGCAGTGCATGGACTGGAGTGCAAAAACTCGAGTGCAAAGACTGGACTGCAGGGACTCCAGTGCAGGGACTTGAGTGCAGGGACTGGAGCGCATGGACAGTGCAGAGACTGGAACGCAAAGACTGGAGTGCAGGGACTCCAGTGCAGGGACTTGAGTGCAGGGACTGGAGCGCATGGACAGTGCAGAGACTGGAACGCAAAGACTGGAGTGCAGGGACTGCAGTGCAGGGACTTGAGTGCAGGGACTGGAGCGCATGGACAGTGCAGAGGCTGGAGCGCAAAGACTGGAGTGCAGGGACTGCAGTGCAGGGACCGGAGTGCTAAGACTGGAGTGCAGGGACTGGAGTGCAGGGTGGACTGCACAGACTGGACTGCAGGGACTGGAGTGCAGGGACTTCAGTGCAGGGACTGGAGTGCAGGGACTTGAGTGCAGGGACTGGGCTGCATGGAGTGGAGTGCAAAGACTGGAGTGCAGGGAGTGGAGTGCAGGGACTGCAGTGCAGGGACTTGAGTGCAGGGACTGGAGTGCATGGAGTGGAGTGCAGAGACTGGAGCGCAAAGACTGGAGTGCAGGGACTGCAATGCATGGACTGCAGTGAAGGGAATCAAAAAGGACCACTCAAGAACCTGCAACAATTGAAACACGTTAGTGCACGAACTGCAGACCCGAGCATGCGGGAGGAAGCAACTGGAGTAGAACGACTGCAGAACCTGGATGTGTGGAAGCGGAAAGGCGAGGCAATTATGTTCTTGCAAATTCCACTGCACCCTTGGCAGTCTTAGTTCTTCACAGTTTTTGGTTCAACTGCGCTCTTGGAAGTTTTTACTTTCGTAATTTTGCTGTCCAATTTGTCTATTGGTGGTCTCAGTTTCAATATTTGTTTGTCGAACTGGGTTCTTGAAGTCCTAGTTTTTGATAATGAAACTGTTTAACTGCACCCTAGGCAGTCCTAATTCTTAACATTTTTTTGGTCCAATTGTGCTTGTGGAAGTCTCAACTTTAGTAATTTTGCTGTCCAATTGTCTCTTGGTGGTCTCAGTTTCATAATTTGTTTTGTCGAACTGCGCTCTTGGAACTTTCAAACTGGACGGTATCCAGGCCATTCGTTTGAGTGCCTGGACGAACAGTTTTGTGGAAACGTATTTGTGTGTATTTGTTGTTAGCATTTACCGTCGTTTAACATGGTTATGCATGGTTATGCATGGCTATGCATGGTTATGCATCGTTAAACATACCTCATACCAAGTATATAGTGGTCAAAGTATACACTTTGTATAAGAGCCAAACTGGCTAACTTCAAATGAGTAGCCTGAGTAGCCTTCGAAGCGACATGGCGCCTTCGTTCACGCATACAACGCCGTCGATTCTGATTTGATTGTTTCGCAAGTCGTAAGAATTTGTTCGTCGAAAGGGGTCGGTCGGCCTTCCTTTTCGTGTTTATCGCGTTGCCGGTTTTGATTTGTTGTTCCGCAACCTTGTCCCTGTCCGGAACCTATGGCATAATCCAGGGCGTATATCCGAACTCTGGGTCTGCAGCCGCGGTGGTTCCCGGAACCTTGTCGGAACCCAGTGTTGCTAGAACCTTGCCGGAACCCTGGTTCCCCAAACTCTGGGTTTCCAGGATGTTTCAAAATTGGTGTTCCGGTGATTCCAGAACCTTGGCACAATCCAGGCTCTGGCTGCTCGAAGCCATGGTACTGCAACCTAAGGTTCCCGGAACCTTGTCCGAGAACCTTGGGATCCCGGAACCTTGACGTCCCGGAACCCAGAAGCTAGCCAGAACCCATTGTTCCCGGAACCTTGCTCAAACCCTGGTTCGCGGAACCTTGGGTTCCCGGAACCTTGCCCGGAACCCTGGTTCCCGGAACCGGCGAAACGAGGCGGACCCTGGTTCGCGAAACCTTGGGTTCCCGGAACCTTGCCCCGAACCCTGGTTCCCGGAACCCTGGGTTCCCGGAACCCTGGTTCCCGGAACCGGCGAAACGAGGCGGCAGGGTCGAGCAGTGCCCCGGATCACCCCGAAGGCTATGTGGGCTGAGACCCCAAAGCATTCTGCTGTTGGGGAATTAATATGTACCCGGCCCCCGAAAAATCTCGGACTAAGTAACATCTTCCCATCCCACATGAGCCATTAAGAATGCCCCTATCCCATCTCATTATACTAGTTGGGTTTTGTCAGTTTCGCTACACAAAGGGGTTAGTTCATGATCTCCAAAAAGACAGGACAGGTAGTAGAAAACTGTCTATTTCGTAACCAATCAACCATCATCCATCACTATTTAGCAATTAGATGTTCATATCTTTGATAGCCTAAAACCATTTAATACCCATAAAACAACTCCATGGCCAGGGTATTTATAGTTGTTTCTATTTCCCATGATATTCCCAAAACCATATGAAACCACCATTTTCATTGGTAGTACAACCAAGTCATAACCAATCATCCAGGGCGTAAAAAATAATGGCTCATTTTTTTTAGTCATGGGTATGTTCAGCATGTTTCACGCATATCATGCCATATCTCCATGTTTGATGCTTAAATCAGAACAATATCATGCCATATCTCCATGATCATCATGGTCATATAAAACCCAATCACCAGGCAGCTGCCACTGCCAGGCAGCTGCCAGGCAGCTCCCACTGACCGTCCGAGATTCTCGAGGTCCTCCCTCTTCCACTTGTCTCTGCCAGATGATCTTCCGCTTCTGCTCACCCTCGAACCAAGCGATCACCGACACCAGGGATCCCTGGCGGCTGGGAATGTCAACTGAGATAGTTATTTCCAAAAAAGGAACAAGAAGAACTAATAACACTAATCACAATGTCCTTTTCCGAAACACAAACAATAACAATAATAAATGATTAAAGATACTATAGGCAGATATATATATATACATCAAACTGATCTATAAGTCCCACAAGCTCAAGACACCCTGTCCCCAGCATTTCGGCACCTCTGGCCACTCCTCATCTCTTCCATCGATGAAAAAGTAGTGCCCCGGCTCCATTTTACATGGCCCTTTCACACGTACATCTGCTTCTCCTCGCGAGCTACGGACGCGTTGTCCACATTGGGAAAAACAAACACACGTTTACGTTTGGGAAACATTGGATTATCATCTTGGATTCGCTAATAATATATGTGGACTTAAAAGAACCAAACAACGATGCTAGATTTCCCTTGGTGGTTTCCCCATTGGGAGTTTTCACAAAAGAAAACACCGACGTAGCAAATGATGACAGTATTGTACCACATCAGTGTCAAGCGGAACATGTACTTTCAAGCCCAAGTCCTGATGGATGCCACGGAAAAATGGCCTGATCTTCCTTGGTTACCAAGAACAAAGGACTCTCTCCCCTGGTTCCAAGCAATGCTCATTGAATTCACCACACCCTGAAAACTGCTCCGGTTCTATCAATGCCCAGTTGCCTTTTTGTCCAATGCCACATAGAAGCGCTCGCAACGCGTCTCACCCAGGCGCAGTTGAAAGTGAAAAGCACCATCCTCAACGGGTGGATCAAGGAAACCTCTGCAGAAACCGCATGCCTTTCAACAAGAAACCCATACACTACTACGGTACAAGTAAGGAATCCATGATAGTGCTATGTACATGATATACATAGTTACATAATACAGATATAGTGTGTATATATATATATATATATGTGTATATATATATACACATGTACATGTTGTACGTCTCTCTGGAATCTCACTTGACTCCTTCTCCGTCATCTCCTCGAACTTGCTGAAAGCCTCAGGATTTTGCAGATCTTAGAGTTTTCACCGGATTTATGCTGGGTAAATGTTAGGTACATTCTCAAATTGCTGTAAAAGTTAGATGGTAAATGTTCGGTAAATCGTGTATTCATAGTATTCATAGGTCTTTGAGCAAGCATGGATAGAATGTTTCTTTCGAAGCAGTTGCCGGCACAACACTTGCTGAGGCCGAAATCTGGGATTTCTTCAAGGAGCCGTCCAGGTGCCTTTGATGTAGAGCTTGCCAGTTGCTGGTAGCGGCTCCTCCGCTGGAGGTGGACTGCCATAGGCATAGGAACCCTCGTAGCACAGGCCTTGGTTACATCGGCACAGGTCTGAGAAAGGCACCTAACATTGATCCAAAACTGCAGATATCTATGTTCTAGTCAAGTTCACTCAGTGATCTGCTAAATCTTCAACCCAAGATTTTCATAAAACCCCAGTTTTTGTGTTTTGGGGGGTTCCAATTTCAATCAAAACTCATCATTTTTACTGAATCCGGGGTTGGCACCAAGATCATGATGATCATGTCACATCTGCCGCCAGAGGTCTGCAAAACTCATAGCTGTCAAACTCATCTCGAACGCACGAGGCTCTCTGTCGGCCATAGCCCTGGCCTTTGGGACGCCTCCAAGGATGAAATCGGTAGAAAACAGTCGCAGAATAAACAGATGAGAAGGTGAGCCCCAAAAATTGTCCCAAGAAATAGATGTTAAAATAATCTTCATATGGTAGGCAGAACGCCTAAGAATTGACCCAAAAATGGCCACAGCTTCCGTGGTCACTGATCAAAGTTCAGCCATTTTCCCACCTGGATGGCTCCGCACAGCCACTCTTCCACTCCATACCACCCAAGCATTTCCTGCGTGGCGGCCCGCGGCCAGCGGCCCGAACTCAGAGGAGCTTCAGCTGCAGTGTGACAAAGGAGGTTCATGTGTAAATACATGCATTACATTGCAGAGTATTTATATATATATATTATTATTGCTATCGTCATTACTATTATTATTACTATTATTATTATTATCGTTGTTGTTATTATCGTTGTTGTTATTATTAGTAGTATTTGTATGTGGCTGCGATTGTATTGCATTACATTACGGTGCATTGTATTGCCTTACATTCCATTACATTTCGTTAGGTTCTATTGCATCTTATTATAAATATATAGATATATATATATATACAATTATAGTTATAGTCTTAGTGGCATTGATATGTGTATTCATAGCTATACTGATCTTACTTTTGGTCTAAATATGGTATGTTTTACTTCTATCTATACTTGTATTCATGTTCACATGTGTATTCATATCTATACTCAGTCTTGCTCCAAGCGTCGGGCAGCGGACATAGACATTTTCCTGGGTTTCTCCCGTTGAACAACGGTGGCATTTCAAGACACCATTGAAATCCAGTGAAACAGTCACAAGAAAAGGGGAACTTGGGCTGTGACTGTGACCGTTGATGCCTCTGGGCCAATTTAAATAGTGCAACTCTAAACTGTCTGCCCAAGATTCTAGCATGTTCAAGTCCAGCTTGTGAATTTTTCCTTGGCATTTGACGGCTTCGTTTCTTTCAATGGCTTGGTCTATGAGAAAATCGTGGCTGGTCTTTGCCAGTACTGCAATCATGAAGCTTTCCTGTGAAATTCTGGGAGTAATATACCTGCTGTATCAGATTCAGGAGTCGATCTTTTGCTCACAACAGCTAAGATTAGCCATCCGAAAGACAATGAAAGCTCTTTGCTCCCTGTTGAAACGGCTGTTTCATGGACTTGCAATGCCTATTTTCTTGGAAGACACAAATTCAGCAATTCGACAAAGCATTGTCAAATCCTTTGAGTGTTTGGAAATTCCTGACACTTTTGCCGCCAGAGCCCAAATTGCCTACAATCTAGGAAGAGAATATTATGTATATCATACGATGGTGTATCAGTATGAGATTCTGTGGGTATGTATTTTCGATTTACCAATCCGTTTTGGTATGTCACTACTCATGTCCACGTCAAAATCACAATAAATCCGAAGAACAAAAACTCAGTAGACTCGAAGAATACATCAAAAATTAAAGTAAAAAATAATATTTTCGATTTACCAATCCGTTTTGGTATGTCACTACTCATGTCCACGTCAAAATCACAATAAATCCGAAGAACAAAAACTCAGTAGACTCGAAGAATACATCAAAAATTAAAAGTAAAAAATAAATAAAATAATATATAAGAAAAAAAACAAGACACTTGGGATCAGATTTCAGGTGATGGGTTCCGATTTCTGTGGCTCACCCGCAGCCATTTGTGAAACTTGGATATTCAAAATATGGGTCTGGGTCAAAACCCTGGTACCCTGGTGAACCTTTAAAAAGTTACTTCATGGGTGTTTATCCTCCAAATATGGAAATTCATAGGGTTTGATCTGCAGTTTGATCCATCCTCATATACCCTCTGGTAAACTAACATAACTATGGAAAGTCACCAATTTTTACTGGGTAAATCAACGAACTCAATGGGCCATGTTCAATAGAAACCTGTTAGTTTACCAGAGGGTAAATGCCATGAAATCCCATGATGTTCCACTTAAAATCCCAAATGATGGTGCTTTTCCATCGTTTTTTGTATGTTTACCAGAGGGTAAAACCACCATTTTCCTATGGTTTTCCTATGATTTTCCCATAAAACCACAATTTTTCCATTTTCCATATGCTATCCCACTGGTGTCATAAATGTTACCAGAGGGTCATAAATTGGAGGCCAAAGTGTCTCATCCCCACACGAGCCTTTCCCCAGATATCCGCGCGCGCATTGGTGCCACCAAATCCGAAGGAGGAGACACCGGCGTAGCCACTGGTGGTTCCAAGCTCCAGCATCTCGCCCTCAAGGTACGAAGAGATAGGGAAATTCACCCAGCAAAAATGGAAAAATGGTAGGTTTTACCATGAAAACTGCTGCTTGAATGATGAATCATGTGGGTTTAACCATCAAAAGTTTGGGGAAACTCGACAACTTGGAGGTTTCAACGAAAAAATGGAAGATGTGTGTTGTTTTGACATACAAAAAAAAGATGGTGTTTGATCATGTTTGACTAGCAACATTGGATGATGGGTTTCAGGGGTGGAGCAAACCCATCAAGGAACTGGAAACTGCAACTATCCAGTTGGGTTTTTGAAGCATTTCGGGACCAACCAACGCCTCCCAAAGCCATACAGCCATACAGGTCACAGGTCGCCTAACATGTCGTTTTTTTGGTGGCTGTGCCAAATGAACGGATTTGTGGGGTTCCAAGTTTGGGACGCACCCATATGTCTTCCATCAAGTGCAGAAACTGTGGAAATATCTGAACTCCGAAAGCAAGTCGCTGAAATCTGGCATGGATAGCCATTCAAGTCCAAGTGAGGATTCAACGAGTAGAAATGCACATTGGGAGCTACGCAGCTGTGGCTCAGCATCATGACACACTTGACCAAACCTCCAGGCGGCTTCACGCAAGCAATTTTTTAGGCTGATTCGACTGTATAAAACCATTCGCAACAATACACGAATGTGTTCCAAAACTCCAAAACCAAAGGCATCATCCGATCTTTGCTGTAATTTTCCAACCGGATCATCATGTTAGGTCAACGATCATTTGTCTACCACACCTGCCATCCCTGCATTCGCTTCTCCATGGGCCAAGTTCGACTTGGCACTCGTCTTCACGATCGGAGAGCTCCTGTCCCTCAGCGTCGCCGTCTGTTTTTGCAGACCCGACTGAATCTTGGAGAAGACGATGTGACGATGAAAAAAAATGAGACCAAAATGTGAGTCAATCGATCAATGATCTTTTACCAGGAATGGATAATGCATGATAATGCCACCATCAAGGAAAAAACAGGATAATTGAATGATAATGGATTTTCCCTACTAATATCAAATAAATGCAGTACCACATCAAATAAAACAGGGAGTCGCAAAGAGAAAGTGAGTGCCACTGCAGCATTTAACCAAGATAAAAGCCACGGCAACGGAGACTTTTCTGGACAATGCCACCATCAAGGAAGTACACCGGATTCGGAAAAAGTTTCCCAGAAAAGGTGAGGAAAAATCACATGTTCTGGCTTGGTACTGGATGGTTCATACACCATAAAAATCAAATACTGTTGGTGATAATACGAAAAATCGTCCCACGATTCCCCATGAATCTCCGTCTGATTTTCTCCTTTTTTGAATCCCATAAGAGAATTTTCCCCATTCATTTTCCAGAACTTCCCAAAAAAAAATATCCCCATTCACCATCAAAAAAGGATCTCCATTCGAATCCAAAAAAAACATCCCCATTCACCAGAAATCTCCAGCATTTTATCTCCTGAAATCTCCTGACATCTCCAGGTCCTCTAGAAATCTCTAGAAATCTCCAGGTCACTTCATGACTCCTCGCAGAGCTCCAACCTCAATGGGATCTCCCAGAGCAGTGCCAGTTCCATGGAGTTCGGCCACCCTGCGGAATCCAAGATGCGAAATCTCCGCAGGTCAGCAGGTCATGAATCTTCCAGGACGTTCACCGAATTTCATGGGATCTCATGGTGATTCTTATGGGATATTCATGGAAATATCTTATGGAATATTCATGGGAATGTAAGGGATCTATAACCATCCATAATCAAAAAGTCCGACTGGATTCATCCATTTTTGCCGGGGATGGTCATACCACCGTTCATAGGGAACTACAACAGCCAATATAAGGAAACCCATTGTTTCGTGTGGACGATTGATCCTCGAGACCAAGAAGACTCCGACGATTGGGCTGCCAGATCTACCCGATACAATCGGTATCGGCGCCGCAGGTGAATCCACCAGTGGCATGTGCAAGGCTGCCCAAAAATGCCCAAAATCCTGGATATTCAAGTTTGTCTTAAAAACAAAGGTACCCAACAAAAAATGATGAGTTTATTCATGGATTTTCCCAATAAACCCATTTGGGGCCCCTAATTCCCATTCCAAGGGCCTGATGTCTGTAGGTGTGACGTTCGCCTCCTTCAAAGAAGCTCGAATGCATTCCTTCGCGACGACTCAGCAAGGCTTGAGGGACTCACGACTCCAGGTTTGCCAAAAAAAAACAAAAAGGGCACGCATTTTGAAGATTCTACCTTATGTGTATTCTATATGTGTACATATATGTTTACATATGATCATAATTGATCATATTGATTCACTCCACTTGGAGACATAGCTAGGCAACTTAGTTTAACTATGATGTCCGCGAATGTCCAGGCCACGTGATTTTCCGACACTTCCCGAGGCTTCGGTCTCCAATTATGTGGTCTTTTTTCAAGGTTCACCTTCAAAATCTACTTTGAATCACAAGTGACGCCATTGCTAGCTGGTGAGCCTGTCCTGCTGTGATGGCCCATGGGGTGCTGTCATGGAAGCACTCCTCACAAGCGATTGGTGTTGATAAGCCTGTCTACTCCAAACAAATGTGTGTCCAATGGTGGTCTTTCGCAAAAAAAAGTAATAAGATCCGCAAAATATAATATGTATACAGTATACATATATATACACATGTCTATTTACATACATGTAATATATATATATATATTCATAGATAATGAGGATCCGTTTTAGCGGAGGAAACCACAGGTAGGCGTATCCAGCTGCAATCCCCCCTGGTAGGCACACGTCGAAGCGTCCTTCCATCTTGGTTGACACAGGTACCACAGAAGATGGCGAGGCGTTCCACGGGTTCTTTGTGGGTCACTTCGGCGAAAAGGCCACTGGTCCCTGGCGTAAAGGCCACTGGAACCTCTGACTCTGACCGCCATGAAGATGCTGATGTTGTATGACTACGATCTAAATATATATATATATATGTGTGTGTGTAAATATATATATATATATATATATACGTCTATACGTCTTCCAATAGAAATACGTTTTTGGGATATCATGGCATTACATCCACATATTGATGTAAATTGTACATCATCAACTTGGGCCTTCTCCACGCCCAAATCCATCCGCCCCATAATCGAAAGTGAAGCACCGGCCCTTCACCTGGCGGAAGAAAGAAAGACGGATGGCGCCGCTGTTCGAAACATCCGAGAAAATCGTGCAAAAATGTCAAACAATCAATGAATACATATATATATATACATACACAGTATTAATATATATTAATTAATATACAGTATATACAATATGAAACAAAAATGATGGTGATTACAGTAACCATCAAGACTTTTCTTTTGGGCTCTCAAAGGAGCCAAGTGGCCGAAAGCATCTTGGGGCCACACAGGCCGATCCAGGAATAGGGCCCGAGCCTCAGACTACCAGGTCTACGGAGTCTACGTTGAACTAGGGAAAATCACCATTGAAATAGCTAAATTATAGTATAAATAAAAGCTAAATCAACTATGTTAAATAAAATGACCCTCAAAAACAATCCTGGGATGTTGAGCTTAGTGAAGTGCTTGATGGCATATGTCCGAATCCTGGTGCTGGAAAAGCAGCCTTTAGAATATAGACATCGTCAAGAGATAGGTTGAATATCGATTTATACATCCAGTTGATGGTCAAATCCAAGAATATCCATTAATCATCCTAATCAATATCCAATGATATCATATCATTGGTAGGTTGTATCCCTATTTGCTGTTGGTCATATCCCCATTTATTGCTGGTAAGATAACTCACACATTTATCATTTAAGAAAATATTGCGCAGGGAAAGTGCCAAAAATCACTTTAAATATGTGTATTCAACCATATTCAATCATATTCATATTTAGGGTCAATCCGGGGAATCCCGGAATGTCCACAGAAATGTCATGGCTACATATGGGACATTTACACCATTGCTGGCCTGTAGTTCATGTTTGGTAGTTCCCTTCCAGCTCATCCCCGCAACAAGTGTCCAGTTCTCCCCGTGTTGATCCAGTTGATCCATGAAAGTCCAGATCATTTTATATCGTCATGATGTCCTCACTTAAAACACGCGTGGACCCGTGTGAAAAACCCCGGAAAGTCAACGAATCATCACGTATCCAACTACAAAACCATATCTTCAACAAAATAGAGACTGTACTATTTACATTACTCCATAGTTTACTATCCAACTATTCAGTCTTGGAAAACAAAAACATCTCCAACTCACCATACTTGTTATCCAAAAATATCCCAAAATGCTTCCCCCAACGGTGAAAAACCGGTGAAAAACCTGGATCCACCAAGCGACAAGGCATTGGTTCCCAGCACCAGGGCATGTTCCACGCCGCAGCAGGTGGCCTTGCCCTGGCCGGGATCCACCGGCCTCATGGCCTCAAAACGAAAGGGACCTCTGGATACAAAGCACATGTTATATGATTTAGAATGTAGATATTCTGTGTATATATATATATAAATAATTAACTAATTATTTAATTAATTAAATATATTTAATTAATTAATTAATTAATTAATTAATAGTATTATGTATACATATATATACATATAACATCAAATTATATCTATATGCTTTTATATAACATAGAATAAGATATGACAAGAACAGGTCAAATCAACTCAAAGTGAAAACCGATTAGATTTATAGATATGAATGCAACTGTGATGTAAGCCCGATTGGACCAATTTCCCATGGGTTTACGATCACTGCAACGTGTTTTTTAAGCTTGTCCCGGACCTACCGTGGCAATGCTAATGTCAAGCTGGTCACCTTAAAACATATCAATTTGATGGCATACTCTATCTGAATGGCATGTTCTCAAGAACTGCCATGTGAATCTCTGTCATTTTCCGAAAGATGTGGGCGTTCTCTCTATTTCGCCAGGGCACATTGTGGGCTGAACCAGTCCTTAGCAGCTTCAGAGCTCTGACTCCCAGCTGTTCAGCTCTGACCACCCTCCCTGCGCCCTGCGCGCCAGGCGTCGCCACTAAGGAGGAAGAACAGGCAGTATCCGAAGAACTGATGGGACCTCGCATGCCGAAGGTGTAGGATAACCTGGGCATTCAACGGCGATCCCAGATGAAAAAAAAACTGGTAGCAAAGGACATCACTAATTATGAGGCTAGACCCCCGATTCTCAATATGTTGAATCAACCAGGGTTTATATGAATCCGGGGTTTGACATTACCCAACTTGCTTTGTTCGAAAGCTTTTCCATTTGATTGGCTGCTACTTTCTTTTGAGAAGCGCGATCGCCGATACCCTTTGGCAAAGCACACCCTGTGGGTGTCCGGGCCTGGTGCTCGTCACGTGGGCAGATTGGGAAGCCAGGTTCTCCAGAATCCCCTCACCTAAGCATCCAGGTCGTTGTGAAAAACCTCCAAGATCCAAAAAAAATCGGAGGATAACCGGATAATCAATGATAATCAATACTGGGAAATTTCATGGGAAATTTCATATAATGGGCATTTTCTATGGGAATGCAGTGGGAATACCACGGGATTATTCCCATTCATCATCCCATTGGGTCATAGTCAGACTTGGTCAGACTTGGGGACCCCCATTTTATGGCTTAAAATACTATATCGATAGACATAGATAGACGTTAGAGGTTATATAATGTTATATATAGACTATAAAATCTCTGCTATATATAGACTCTAAAATCGCTCCCAGATGTGTCTGAAAATTTTTTACCCATTCCCATCATCCATCAGGATGATCGGGCGCCGAGGTACTGCTGCCTGCCAGCAACTGAGCTGGATTCTTCACTGTCCCCCAATCCGTGCCGCAGTTTCCAAGATAGACACCTTGGAGCTACGTCCCAGGTAAGTGGCTACTGATCACGGCCCCAGTTATACATGGCTTTTCTGTATGGGTTGGATATAGGTTATAAACTACAAAAACTATCTGGGATGCAAGAGGTATGACTTGATGGTGGAAGACTAAACGGCTGATTGCTTTATGTATGCAGGCAGAAATCACATGGGGGTATTCCTCTCAACCAGCACATCTTCAGGTGAAACACGGAGGCCAGAGAAAGCTTATATATATATATACACGTGCATTATATAATATATATATATATAACAAGACCTTTGCAAAAATTTGGAAGACAGGGAGCATTCCAAAGCATCAAGGCCAGTGATCGATTGCGTAAAGATCTTGGAGGCTCACACCTTTTTTCGCAAGGAAAAATTGACCCATGAAGTAAATCTCTTTAAATTTCAAAAGATTTCTGGTGTCAACAGCATCAACCATAGCCATTTTGTGGGTCACCTCCAATGGTGTCATCTCATGCTACCAGCTCCAGCATCGCTTGCTGCCAAGGCGCCAATGTTGGCATCCCTCAAGCGATGTCGATTCCATCCAGCTTTCAACAGGATCGAATAACCTGCAGCGAGCAAAAAAAACACGCATTTTTTTGGTGGCTTCGGAGTATATTGGTTTATGATGGAGTATTAAATAGTATTAAATGAGATCAGCAAATCAAAAAATGCCATTTTTAATATGATGAATCCATGTGTGTCCTTTAATCCTGGGATGTTCCCAATTCTGGCTGTTTGAGAAGATCCAAATCCATCTTGGGACTTTTTTTTGGTGGCGTCCGGCCCCAAAAAAGAGACGCCACGTCGCCACGTTGTGAAAACCTGTTTGGACCAATAGCTGAAACTACTTTTTTTTGGGAGGGGGTAGAAAGAAAAAAACTCTAACTGCCCAAGTTGGGAAGCCATCCAATCCGTGAAAAATGGGATACAAATGGCTGAAATTTGATAGCTTTGACCTTTGCCAATTCTGCTTAGGACCACATGATGATTATGAATGGAAACTTTCAGCCGCAAGTGCGGACCTCAATTTGTGAATCGGACCTCAATTCTCAAGAAATGCAATCAGTCCTCGTTACCGGATCTCCTTGCTCTACACCGCCATCAAGAGGGTTTTTCAGTAACAATTTTTTATGTCGACTTGCTCGGGTAGCCAAGACACCAACTTCCAGTGAGTTCCGTTGAATCGGATCCATCAATAACGCCTGCCACGCTGCTTGGCAGCTCCCCGGCTCCACCGGCCCCACCCTCCAAAGCAATAGGGGCACCTGGGATTCGGTCACTCCAAAGAAGCCAGAGTCAAAGCCCATGAGATATTCCTCCATCACAAAGCCACCGTGGTTGGAATAGTATTTTCCTTAGATATAAAAAAAAAAAAAAAACACTCCACAAAAAATGCTCGTTGACCAGCGGAGAAGACACAATCCAAGCCGGAGATTGAGAGTTGTTCTGGAGATGGACCTACATCTCATGTTTTGAAGAATCATTGGCGAGTTACGTGCCCCAAATGTTGCAAGATCATTTGACAAGGGTGTCCCAAACAACAAACTTGGCAGCCGCAAATACCTGTCTCGTGTCAAGTGTAGAATGTCCCTCCCAAAAAAAAACAGAGATGACACGCGAATATCCAAAACAGGGCACAATTGAAGAGCTACACATGCGCCATGGTCAAAAACATTGTATATGGGTTGTTGTCATCCCATCACCATCATCACCACCACCACATCCACCACATCATCATCATCATCATCACCACCACCACCACCACCATCATCATCATCATCATCCTCATCATCATCCTCATCCTCATCATTATTGGGATTCCTTGTAATGGGTCTATTCACCCCCAAAAAGGGTCGAAACTGACCAACCCCGGGTCGAAACTCACCAGCCGCCCTTTTTTTTGCTCAGCTACCGAGCGCCATGTCCTCGGGGGAACTATCGGAAAGTGAATTGAAACATTGTAAAAATAGGGTAAAACCCAGGGTAAAACATGGTGAAACATGGTAAAACATGGTAAAACTAATAACTAATAAAAAACCATGGAAAAGTCAATTGATGTTTTGCTTGACGCTCTGGCTATGTGAAATTGCAACACCATCAAACTGATTTCAAACTGATTTTGCTGATATTGAAAAACAGTGCGGTGGCAAACATCAGCACAAACTGCTCCAGCTCCACTGCTGTCGATTCAGTCCTTGTCAGCCTCAAAGTAAGGCCCCGAGTCCCAACGCAGAGACGACAGGTGTCGACATCCATCGGTGCCCACTGAAAGCATGCTCCAATACCTGGGCAGGATATGGCAGGATGTTCCACCTTTGCGATTCGCAAAAAACCGTCACCCAGGAATGGCAAATTCGCAAAGCCAAGATACTGCTCTGGTGACACACCGTTTCCTGCTACATTTCTTCGTGATGCGGCTTGCAGAATGCAAATACAGAGCCTTTTCCTCTGCAACTTGTCCATAGCCCTAGTTTCAAAAGACATTCTCTCCACCTATCCAATTAGATCTCATCCCAAAAACTCACAGAAAAAACACGTCTATGAAGACCGGATAAGAAAACCAGGGCAGGCAAAGGTCTTTTTTGGGTGATCCAGTACATCATCAGAAAGCGGCTTTCAAGCGGTCCTGCTAACATGCAGTCCACCGCCATGACGCTCACGGTTTTTCCTGTCTTCGGATTCACCGGTGACAGTGGTCCACTCATCACCCCCATGGCGAGGTCAGCCTGCCGTGACGTAGACCGGTGACTGCTGGCTGGCGCTGGGTGGGTACCCGGTGAAGCCGCGCCTCAGCCAAGTTCCCAACGGCTGCCTGCAGTTCTGCACTGTAGCCTGGGAAGAGTGGAATGGAACGCACGGAAGGCCATGGGAAGTCTACACATGATCATTCCTGGCAAATTGTGAAGAGGTCAACAGAGCATGAGGAGAGAATTGGCTTTGGCACCTCAGTAAACCCGAAAAGAGCTGGGATATATGGATATTCAGACTCCCATTTGGCAATATAGGTTTTGACCCATCCCCAATTTCAAAAATGCTACATCCAACAGAACTTGGCCCAGAGCCTGTTGAGAGGATCCAGGTCTGAATGCACGAAGGCATGCCAGAGTCCGAAGTGAGGCCTGCCACTGCTGTTAGCAACGATCAGTGTCTCGCCCTTTGTTCTTCAAAACATAGTTTTTCTTTCGAAAATCACAGTCATCACTAGATATCTCCAAGGTAACAGGCCAGCAAGCCATCTTTAAGTTGAGAGTAGCCCTAAACTCAAATGGCAGTGATGTCCAGCAACTGCTGCGACAGCCTTCGTACGAAAAGCTCAGATGATCGTGGCGAAACACCAGGATCTGACCACCCTCCAGTAGCAGCTCTGCCTCGGTACACCGTTGATGCTTCTCACCGTTGGTAAATGGTTGGTATATAAGTGACTTATAAACCACTTATTTTCAAAATTTCCCAACTTCACAGTAAAGTTACATATCAGAAGTCACACCAAGTTGTTCAAGACAGCATCTGTCTCTTTTCCAGGGAATCAGTTTACTTTTGGCAATCCCCCTAGGAGCTGGACCTTTGTCTCTTGCCGGTCATTCAGCACAACTTTGGCGCTCCCAGTGACCTGGCTATCGTCCAAGCCGGCCCTTCTATCTCCTGGGGGTTGATCTTCTAGGATTTCCTGGCTTTGTCCACTTGTCCACCTAGAAATAGGTCAAATAGCTTCAAAAGAACAACATCCACCATTTAATCCACCTATCTTTATAGGTTTCAAGCCAGACTCTCCACCATTTCAAACTTTCAAAACCAGTCCAGGACTAGCGCACCTGCAACATGGCACACACCTTCCGGCTCTGCAGGAAGTCAATGTGATCCTGGCACGCCATCGGATTGCCCTCTGCCATAGCCATCGGAAAATGGAAAAGGACGTTCAACCATCTACAAATGTACCATGGCGATGTTGAATTCCCACACAGCAATACATATTCTATATATCTATATAGAGAGAGAGAGATGCTTACTAAGTGCCACAGTCCACTAAACCTTCCGTTCGGACGGTACAAGCAAAATAGGCAACTGGAGACCTTCTCTTGAATGGAAGGGCTATATACATGTATATAGTCATAAGGATTGAGAAATTGAATCCTCCAGTCCTCGATTCTGCCATCTCTCACAAGCCTCGCATTGAGCTTCTCTTGTTCTCGTAGCATCTCCTGCTGAGTTCAGTTCCGTCCAGTTATGGAGATACTTCTGGAGAGGTGGGTTGGAAGGCCACTGCCACTAGATATCACAAGATATCACCAACCAGAACTAACTAGGATTAACTAGATATCACTAGATATCACTCGATATCACTAGATATCGCTAGAGATCGCACTGCCGGCATCTGCCACCGGCGCCTGTCTGTCTGCCTTGCTGCGGCAGGGCAGCCGCACCAAGCCGTCCGAGCGTCCGTCGGGCAAGAAGCCAAGATTCGAACATTCCTGGAGAATGGACAAAACGATAAATAATAAGGGATTTAGCGTTACAAAACAATATAATGCATATAATGGTGATATCGTGGGATATTTAACCAAAATTATATGTGAGCCTGTTCGAAAATGATACAGCTATGGGGGCAAAATGGCAGGATTTTTTCTGGATTTCATGGGGATAGAACAAGACGGATAAGGGTTGAAACCCTCATACCTCTGGTAATTTAACATAGCTATTGAAAATGGCCATTTATAGTGGATTTTCCCATGAAAAATGATGATTGTCCATAGTTATGTTAGTTTACCAGAGGGTATCCTGTTTTCACCCAAAACTCGCTGATAAATGGATGGGAATCCCCCAATATTCATGGAATAACAAAGGTTTTGATCCATCCCCTTATGCAAAAAATGGCAAAACGATGTTGAACAACCAGCTACCTTGGAAAAGGCCATTTAACTCTCAACTTGGCAGCTCAAACGTTCGAACTAAGGCCAAGGAACCAAGTAGAGTCCTGAAGCCAGCTTTGACAGCCTTTGGGTCCGTGCTGAAAAGCAATGGGTGGAGTCGTCAGACTGCAAAAGAAAAAAGGACGGAATCCATTAGGATACTAGTTAGAATAGAAACATACCAATGATTCGCCAATGATCCTTTTAGACTTTAGATGCCCTCTTCAAATATGGAGCTTTCATGAGCAAAGCCCTAAAATAGGGCTATAGCGGCTACCCCTCTTCTAATCATCCAGTCATAGACGTCATTAGACTCAGTAGACCATGAAATCTGCTTCCAGGCTGCATTCGGTCGCAGGATTCCAGCGGAGTGGTCACCTGCCACTGGAGATCAACGTACACGGATGGAGAAATAAAAAAAAACAAATCAACCAGAAATGAACTGTGTTCCCCAAAAAAAAATGGGATACCCCTTATCACTTTTGTGTGTGTTTTCTCATTCAAGATGACTTTTTATCAGATTGGATGACAACTTCCACCATGACTTACTTGGATCATCCCACCTATCGCAATTGGTTAACCCTGATTAACAACCATGGTGAACAACCCATCCCACTTAGTAACTGGTTAATAACTGTGATTAACAACCATGGCTGTTGTTAACCATGGTTGTTAAGTCCCCATTTCGTGTCTTATCCCACTTGGATCCGGCTGAGGTGCTCCAGGGCGCACCTGGCTGCGAGGATCCTCAGGCGGGAGCCAGGCCACTTTCTCGCTGCCGATGTCGCGGCCCAAGTAGCAGACTTCCAACTCCTGGCGAAACGCTCGAAAGTCAAAAGACCCTGGAAAAATCGGAAAAAAAAAAAACATTCAGATGTCCAAGGGCTCCAATGATTGGCATCTATCAATTTTCTGACTGTGTATATAGAAATATATATATAATTACACATATACATATATATTCACATATATATATATATGGTTATACAATTATACATACATACATATATATATATATTATACATATTATGTATATTATATATATATATATTATGTATATGTACATAGTCTATAGAGCGTAATTCATGATTTTCGGCAGTTGATCCATCAACTCCTTCACCAAGCGCTTGAAGCTCAGCTTCTTTGCCAGGTTTAAGGCCTCGGCAGCCACCTGCCAAGGTGCTCTAAGGTGGTCCCCTGGGTCAATCTTTATGGTGTTTTACTGTATATCATTGAGAGTTTCCAGTCTAGTAAGGTTCTATAAATCAAGGTTTTGATTTTTTTCTGAAAATTTTCTGAAAAATTTCTGAATCAAATTTCTGAAATATTTCTGAAAAATTTCTGAATCCAGAGATTTTCTGCTGCCAACCCATTCAAAAATGAAGGAAACTAGCTGTTTTGCTGCTATTTTCATACTTTTTGCGTTGCTTTTCTCGAATTTTGACGAATTTCAGAAATTTTTCAGAAATTTTTCAGAAAATTTTCAGAAATTTTTCTGAAAATTTTCTGAAAAATTTCTGAAAAATTTCTGAAATATTCTAAAAAATTTATGAATCCAGAAATTTTCTGCTGCCAACCATTCAAAAATGAAGGAAACTAGCTGTTTTGCTGCTGTTTTCAAGCTGTTTTGCTGCTATTTTCATACTTTTTGCGTTGCTTTTCTCGAATTTTGACGAATTTCAGAAATTTTTCAGAAATTTTTCAGAATTTTTTCAGAAATTTTTCAGAAATTTTTCAGAAATTTCTGAAAATTTTCTGAAAAATTTCTGAAAAAATTCTGAAATATTTCTGAAAATTTTCTGAAATATTTCTGAAAAATTTATGAATCCAGAGATTTTCTGCCGCCAACCATTCAAAAATGAAGGAAACTAGCTGTTTTCAAAGTTTTCAGCTAGTTTTTCATACTTTTGGCAGTTCCCAGGTACCAAAAGTGGAGGAAAACTAGCTGTTTTGCTGCTATTTTCAAACTTTTTGCGTTGCTTTTCTCGAATTTTGACGAATATCAGAAATTTCTGAAAAATTTCTGAAATATTTCTGAAAAATTTATGAATCCAAAAATTTTCTGCTGCCAACCATTCAAAAATGAAGGAAACTAGCTGTTTTGCTGCTGTTTTCAAAGTTTTCAGCTAGTTTTTCATTACTTTTGGCAGTTCTGCTGCTATTTTAAAACTTTTTGCGTTGCTTTTCTCGAATTTTGACGAATTTCGGAAATTTTTCAGAAGAAAATTTTCAGAAAATTTTCAGAATTTTTTCAGAAATTTCTGAAAATTTTCTGAAAAATTTCTGAAAAATTTCTGACATATTTCTGAAAAATTTATGAATCCAGAGATTTTCTGCTGCCAACCATTCAAAAATGAAGGAAACTAGCTGTTTTGCTGCTGTTTTCAAAGTTTTCAGCTAGTTTTTCATTACTTTTGGACTTTTGGCAGTTCTGCTTCTATTTTCACACTTTTTGTGTTGCTTTTCTCGAATTTTGACGAATTTCAGAAATTTTTCAGAAATTCTAGTCAGAAATATTTCAGAAATTAATCAAATTTATCCAGTACCTCAGCAGGCTGGGCAGAAAGTCTCAAGTATATCATGGGGATATAGTGGAGGGTCATACTGGATATAATGGGATATATAATTATATAACCAAGTTTCTATGATTATCTATGATTTGGGTGTGTCTGACATTGTGGTATACCCCCAGTTTCGGCCATGTAATGGGCTCTAAGACGATAATCCCGGTGAATTAAGGGTACTCCACCTTCAGACAAAACCATTTTACTACAAAATAATGATCAAGTTTCTATAGTATGATTGTAACTTTGTCAAAGGATCACAACCGGAAAGTCATCAACCCTTTCAGCGAAACATTTCGAAACAGCCTCCGGAGACAGCAGCGATTGAACCACACAGAAGTCCTTTCGCAAAAGCTGTTGTGCCACCTCCTGTGAGGAACGGGCAGGTGCCGTATCCTCGGGATTTCCCTGGCAAAGCCGAGTTCCCATACCAAGATTTTGATCCTCATGGAATTCGTCATGGAAACCGACATCTGCTCTCCATATGTTTTCCACATTGGGTGATGCATTCATCTTTCAGTGCCAAAACGGCGCACATGTCCAGTCCTGCCCAAGAAATGGAAGATTCTCATTCACCGGCCATGGAATTGGAGCCTCCATCACTCAAGATAACTTTGCCAGGGTGGCCATGGCTCAAAGATATGCAACTGCTAGTTGATGCCTCCAAAACAGCACTTAAACCCTGCATTAATGTGGTAAAGATTATAAACTATCCCTAATATTTCCAGACTATTATGTGTGGGAATGTGACCATCCCCAAATGATAGATTTATGGCATTGGGTGAAGCCCACACTAGACAAGATCACACTGTGATGCTGCAGACCTCCATCCTCGCCTCAGCTCGCGATGCAAAGTCTTGCCCTGTGCAGCATCGAGGTCTTTCACAGCTATGTACATATGTACATACTGATACGTACATACATACTGATAGATAGATAGATACATACTGATTGATTGATAGATGGATGGATAGATAGATAGACAGACAGATAGATAGATAATTACATACATTACATACATTACATACATTACATACATTACATTCATTACATTCATTACATACATACCATACATACCATACATACCATACATGCCGTACATACCATACATACCATACATACCATACATACCATACATATCATACATACCATACATACCACCATACATGCCATACATACATACATACAATACCATACCATACCATACCATACCATACCATACCATACCATACCATACATACCATACATACCGTACATACCGTACATACCATACATACCATACATATCATACATACCAAACATACCATACATACCATACATACCATACATACCATACATGCCATACATACATACCATACCATACCATACCATACCATACCATACCACACCATACCATACCATACCATGCATCCATCCATGCATGCATGCAAACATGCATTGCATAATATGAATATATATATATATACACATGTATGTATGCATGCATGCATGAATGCATGGACGTACGTATGTATGTATGTGTATATATATATAGATAGATAGATAGATAGATAGATAGAGAGAGAGAGAGAGATTTGGAGAAAAATAAGTTTGTATATGTATATACTATAGTTATATATATATATATATATTGGCATGAACTATGTCTATATATCTATATATATATATGTATATATAAGTTGCAGACTTGAAGTCATACATATACATAAGAAAAGTCTTGACCTGCAGTACTGCCTGTTTTGCTTAATTGTGGCATTGCCATCAGAAACTCCCCGTGCTGGTCAATCTGCCTTTCTGATCCACAATGCTTCAACTGGGCAACTACACTCGAACCCCGAATTCACAATTGGGTGCAATTATCCACTAGAAAAATCCCTATGTCCCGATTAAAAATTTATCCACTACAACGATCCATGGACTTCATAAACAACCAGCCAGCTGGCCTCCAAGACTTTCTGTGGAGGCCATACCCAACGTCCAAGCTCTTTACGCCTGGAAAGGGTCGAGGTCAATATATTCCTTGCAGATTTATCGATTTACTGTCCAATTCCAAAAACTGGAATTCCCCCCACTTAAGACATAAAATCTCGGTGGAAACATATTGACTTGCCATGTTACAAGAAACACCACAATTCTGGATGAAACGGTCCAACATGACGTGCCTGGCGCTCGACTCGTCCACGGTCAGCCATGGCGAATGGCAGGGATGTTTGGCCGATGTTAACCGCAGCTTGGAACTGACGCTGTTGTCATTGCCACCCTGGAAATATGTTCCCATCTGAATCGTGCAATCATTGATAGGGGGCACGTTTACCGCAAAGACCATATGAATGTTTCCATCTATATCATGATTTGATCTTGTTGATAAGATGATCAAATGCTCTGCTACTAGGCTCTCTGCACATCTGCAGCTTGGTCCACATCCAGGAGAGAAGCCAGGAAAAGCTCCAAGATTTCAGGGAGTTCCCCTGGAAATCATTGCCCTCGGCATTGCTCAGGATCAACGGACTTTTTGTCGAGCCATGGAGCAGTCACGTGTCGCGACCGTGTTTCACCGTTTTCCTGCACCGTAGCCACCACAGGTCCCATAGACTCACCAAATAAACATGCTTTGGCCAAACAACTTCCTGAAAATTTGGATGCGGGTCCACCCAGTAACAGATGTTCACAACCATGGTTGTAAAAGTTACAACCCAACCATATTAGCATAATTCCAGTAATGAGGACTTACCAACCAGGGAGTACGCTTGTCGTAGGGCCCACGAGAGCCGTGAAACCGCAAGCATTTTCTGCACTAGGCGTACTGCTCCAGGTGTCCTTGGTCAAGAGTTGCGTCCGGTGCATCTGTGTGCAGCTCAAAAATAGAGACAACACCGGGACCTGCAACCAATTAATATGAGATGATCCATCCAATGAAATCCAACAATCGATTAGTTGGATATCAACCTAAGTTTACATAGTTTACATCATCCAATTGACATGAGATATGTCAAGATTTTGGCTGTTGTTTAAAAAATGTCGTTTAATGTCGCTATTCGCGGTCCCACGCTGTCCTTTCAGCGCTTATTATTTGCAGCAACCTCCACTTGCGGTGACCTGGTCGAGATCTGGTAGACCCAGGTAGACCGGCAGACCCAGAAAAAAAAAAACATCGTTGTCGTTGTTCATCATTTTCCCTAAAAGATAGCAAAATGGCTGTAGTTTGCTATAGTTGGGGAAATAACTGGGAATGTACATCATCACTTTTTCATAATTTTCCCCAAAAAACCACCCGCCGTTTGGTGATGTACGTCTCATGTTTGGAGCCATACCTAGCTCCGACAGTGCAGGTTTCCCATTCGTCAATGTGGAAACGGATACGATCCTTGGCCTTTGGTGAAATCTCGGACAATGTTGTCAAAGTTTGTAAGAAACGTGATAGCAATCCTAGTTCCACATGTTCCACATCTGCATGTGAATCAAAAGGTGCGATTTTTTGAAAATGGTGACAGGCTGCCTTTTGAGGGTCAGAGTGGTCCAAATCTTTGGATGGATTTTTTTTCTGCCAACAATGATGCCAACCAGAAGTGCCACCATAGGAAGGCAACCTGAAATTCGCGACTCTTTCGTTGAACTTCTCATGTTTCGTCCATGTGCGCAGTGTTCAAAACTGCAGATGTCATTCCAATCCTGGTTGCTCAAGAACCGGATTCCTAGCATGGAGGATCGTCCATATATTGAGTCATGAACTAGATTCCAAGACAATTCATACTTTCTACCCCTAATTCATGGTCAAACTTGAGCCAAACTCATGAAACTGGCGCGTCAACCAGGCAGATCATTATTTATCAAATTAATTTATCAACTAGATTCCCCCAGATATTCTGGATTTTTATCAATGAAGGGATATAGTCATATAGTTGATAGATTAACCCCGAGAATTCTCAATAAAGGGGATTCAACTCTTTCATCTCTTTCCGATTTATGACCCTTCGAAAAAATCCAGAGCCAAAGACAGTCAGGCAGTCCATTGGACGGACAATCGGATGAAAAATCGTGGACAAAATGGACCCCATTCCAGGGCACTGTACCCCATTCCAGCCATTGGATGGTCATCATTTTCGTCATGTTCCCATTGAGGTCCCGAACTCTCGTGCCAGCTCCAAGGCTTTGGCCCCCCGTGCCACGGGCGGGAGCTGGTTGAGATGCCACACGACCCCTGGAAAAAAAAACGGGAAAAATGATGAGTTAATGGGATATGAATGGGATTCAGTGGGATTCAATGGACATTGGATGGCGATTTAACGGGGCAATGGTGATGTCATGGAATTTACATAGGATTCAGTGGGAGTTGATGGGATTTAAATGGTGATTCGATGGGATATGAATGGTTCGTACCAGGGATATTAATGAGACATCACCCATTATATGTACCAGGGTCCAATTAGATGGGATGAATGGGGGCCCGGGTCATCCATCCCATGCCATAGGAATCCAAACATAGTGAATATATATACATATATATATATGTTATAATATATATATATATATTATATATAATTATGTTTTATATATATAATATATAATTATGTTATATATATACTGTATATATATATACGTATATATAAATCCTCATTGAGGAATTGATGAAAAATCCATCAGTATGGGTATGTAATCCAAATTTGACCATGGCACATATTATGATGTTGGACTATTGGATGCATTTGCTCGACACAAGAAGACCCTTCAACTGAGGTGAAAAATCGGATCGTCTTCCAAGCTTTTCATGGGAGATTCCTCAAAGAATGGGTCTAATGTGGTTAAAACAATAATAAACCATCCCCCAAATCACCATCAATAGGTGGTATAAACCATTCCCAACTGGGTGGTTTATTATTGTTTTTCCCCCAGTAGTAGCTATGAAACTGGGGCTATGACCCCCATGGGAAAATCAACCACTCCACTCGGGCGCAGGCTTGATCTCCCCAGCCATCATCTGGAAGGCCTACACGATCACCGTGGCCATCCCATGATGATCCAATATTTGGCCGTGAAAAGGTACACCTATAAAATCATGGTTTTTAGCGGGGAGCATAATGATTAAGCAGCAGCTTTAACCCATTTTGAATGACTGATGATTCACAAGTAGTCTGAAAGCATTCTACGCAAAATCGATTTGTAGTTGATGATAAAATGGTATCTGCCTTACGGAATAGCTCGGCGTGCGACAGAAATATGGCCACGCACGCAATCATCTGCCGTATCGCACACCAACAACTACAAATGCACCAAGTTGTTCAAGCTAATTGGTTTCGCCAAAGAAGACAAAACGGCATGCAACGTTGCGATCTAGCAAACTGGTTGCTGATAAACTCAGGTGTTGATTCCCGTGAAAGAATAAGCAATCAGATTGGTCACCCAACAAACCACCTTCTCAAAATGCCCAAGGTTGCTAGTACTGAAATACAAAAACAAACAAACGTGGAATGCTTGAAGTGGGCAGTATTTCAACCAAAGAAAACAAGGGTTTACATCCAACAATGTGCATGTTTGTGTCCAAAATTTCTCTTGGGTGTCCAAGAGAAAGAAAATTAGCGGCTTAGCGTGCCAATTCCCAATAGACCCACAATAACCCACAATACCATAACCGTTTCTAGCATTCAACCCTCCAAAATATCCATTCTAGGCGGTCCTAAAACGTTTGAAACCATTCGAGTTTATCCAAAATCACAAAAAAAAAACACAAAAACAGCCAGCAACAAGAAACAACCAGCCGGGCCTGCTCCACGTTGTGCGAATTCTTGGCGCTGGTCTCCATGAATTGCACGCCCATAGAATCGGCCAATTCCTTGGCCTCATCGTAAGAGACCACCTTCTTGGAAGACAGGTCACACCTGAACGTGGGATGTGCACGATGGTCACCATACTGGATACTTGGTGAAAAGAATCAAAACCTTAAAAAATCACATGAATTGGGCGTTTATTGACAATTTAAATTGTTTGAAAAACGATTCAAGCACAAGAACTGGGGCCGCACTTGTTGCCCACCAACAATTTGTTCACACCATCGGCAGCATATTTGTCAATTTCCTGCAGCATTTGGCATGAACAAACATTTGGATTCACGTGTTTGACACAGATTCAGATCAAGCATATCATCAGCGCTCCTGCATCCAATGTTTGACATTATTGAAGGATTCCTGAATTCCACGATGGAAATGCAGTGCAGCGAAATTAATTTTTGGTGTCACTCATGGTTTGCATCACAACGAAATATTGTTTACCATATGGTTTGTCACGAACCTTGTCTGTGACATCATACACGACGATGATGCCATGGGCACCCCTGTAGTAGCTGCTGGTGATGGTGCGAAACCGTTCCTGCCAAACTATTTCAAAATCATTTTTCCAAAACATGCAAAAACACGAAACTTTGACAAAATTTGCACGCGGTGGCGGGGATTGGTCCTGCCCAGCCGTGTCCCAAATCTGTAGTTTCACGGTTTTGGAATCCAGGTCCAAAGTCCGGATCTTGAAATCCACCCCGATGGTACTGATGTAGCTCTCTGTGTATGTGTCGTCTGCGAAACGGAGAAGAAGACAAGATTTTCCAACACCAGAGTCACCTCAGAGGTTCGGCAGCCAGACACGGCTAATATCCCCATGTTTTGTCGTCGTGATTGTCATGATCATCGTGATCTCTGAGATTGCGACCAATCAGCAAAAGTTTGAATAAGTAATCGTACTCAGGAGTCATTCCCATTGCAAAGTGGATTTTGGCACGGTTTGTTGCCACGGTGCAAAGAAAATGCCCAAAACAATTGTTGCATGATTTTCGCGCCGCAAATTCAATCAATGAACATGTTCATATTGCATATGCAAAATTCACGCATTTTTTGAATGTGGATGGTCCGTTTTCAAATTTCCTGGATGATTTTTTTTAGAGTTGGCTCGGACAGGAAGACGCCGCCAATTTTGAATATGGGAGTTCGATGTTTCAAGTCACAGTCATCATTTTGTGAAGATGGTCAAAATTATCACATGTAAGCAGGCACCATGTCGCAGAGTGCAAAAATGCAAATCCAACACTGCAAAAATTTACAGATCTAACAACAGCCTTACATTGCAGAATCATGAATGATTTTCAAAATTTGGGATTTGCGTTATAAACACAAAATTTGTTTTTGTTCGGTACAAAATTTGTCATCTAAATAGACCTGAACCAAGCAGTGCATGCCCAAGTTTAGTTCACCATTAGCTTAACCGAAAAAATACGAATGTTGTTACTGCCCGATGAAACCAAACCACCAGCTGTCTTGATGAAATTGATTTCACAAGACAACCAATATACTGCGATGTCGCTAAAATTCGGGATGACTACGTGCAGAATATTAATGTGCACAAAATTACTAATTACCATGGCATGATTTGCAATGGCATGATTTGAGGTCAAAAAACCATTCGTTTCTTTTTGTTTTAATTGTAAGTCAACCGGTAAGAAAACACCACATGAATTTTGTGACCCGCCATTTTCACGTTGCCAGATAGTGCCCATTCCACACCAGGGCGGAAGTTTCGAGAATTAATTGGAAAATGGTAGTAAGAAATCAGTAGCCTATAGGCTATAGGAACGCTTTTGAAAGGGCCATGAACGGTTGAAGTCGCATCAACGAATGAGGAAATGGTGGTAGAGACCCCAACGAAATGATATGAAAGAAGCCACGCACAACACTACAGGATTCCTTCTGCACGTAGTCGGCCACGTCACAGCGCTGCACCGTCAGGTGCTGCCGATTGAGCCCTATAGCTCGCGACAGACACTTCAAAAGTTAGGGTGCCTGCCCACACCGCGAACATTCCACGCATATGGGACCCAAAAGCGGGAATCCGCGCTTGCTTTCAATGCTGTGAGTTGTCTCCACAACATCCCGCTGCAGCGGTGGGCCGCACAAGATCACCCGAGGCGGGTTGATGTCTTCTGCTCGTTTTGGTCGCCGGAGCCGAGGCCGGTTGATGTCTTCTACTCGTTTTGGTCGCCGGAGTAAGCTTGGTCCAGGGCAGCCACTGGCTTGGGGGAAGTCGCCCCCGCCAAAGGTTGCGACTGGCCGCACCGGTCGGGTCTTTCCAGTAAGACGCCGACGCAACTTGGGTGGTGGTGGCAACCCTGCCGCCTTAAAAGAAGCAGCTGCTTCGTCAAAGTATCTGCCCACACCAGAACAAACAAATCCGAATAGGATTTTTTGACTTGGAGCTGAAATTTTTGCTGGTCGGTTTGGAAAAATATGGGAACATGTGATAACGCGAGTTTCAATGTCAAGGTTCGTCGTGTACTAGCAAGAAACTACAAGGGTCCTTTCATGCCAAGCATCGAGTTCCGGAGGGGGCTCGGTCAGGTAGAACTCGCCAACTGGCAGGCGCGGGCAAACCGACGCCACAGGGCGTGACCAGCGGTTGTTACAACGGCCATCCACGCGCCAAATTGCTGCGTGCCACTCCACGCAGAGACACCAGAACCGCGAAGGTCCTTTCTGGAACCATTTAATATTGCGCCACTCCTCGGCGCCACCAGGAATCGACACACAATGTCGCGTGAATGGAATCAGAACTTCATGCTTGTGATTATGTGCTAAAACTGTTTGGAAGATGTACTGTAACGTCACAGCAACCCGCGCGCTAGAAATTAACAACCATGGGTACACAAGAACGTCGGTTGGCAGCCACGGCTTTTGTTTTCATTTGCCAACAAAGCAACTTCCCAGTTCCGCACCAGGTCATCCGTACGCAGACTGGTCAAAGCACGACCGTGCGGACAGTTCGGACACTTCGGCCCACCGCTACCAACCATTTTTGGCAGGCGAAATGCTGAAAAACGGCTTCCAAGATTTTGCTTACATGTTGGTAACAATCGATTTGAAAATTGTTTTACGACTCACAGCTGAACAGAACCCTGTCCAAAATTGCAAAGAAGAACAAGCAGCACCACTAACCCACGAAGGCCTACCCATTGACATCATCTCGCCCAACATACTCTGTATAAATGAAGAATGGATAATTGCATTGGGTATATAACCAATGTGATGACATCCAACCAATTAATGATGGTTTACATACCCATTGTAATATACATGCATTACACCATTTCATGGGCAACCCATTTTATAACCAATTAACAATAGTGTTACCGCGTTACCCATTCTATACCCATCTGAATAATCACGATTAAATATTGCCAGGACACTGTTACAGGATGACTAGCCAGGCAACACCATCCATGCCTTGCGGCCTTGCCCATTCCCCCCTGTCGGCCCTGTCGGCCCCGCCCACGACGGCCCTCCCAGAAGGCCTTATATAAGTAGTGCCCAACATGCCCAAGATGGGCCAACATAATGCTGGTAGACCGGGCGCGGTGCCTGGAAATGTAACCCTCTCGGCCCGCGATGCGCCTCCATCTACCCAATTAAAGCCAACATGGGCCGAATACGCGCCCAACATGCCCCATGCGAGGCAACCTATGGCGCTTGTAGACGGGGCGCGGTGCCTAGAAATACAAACCCTCTTGCCCCACGACGGCCCGCCCATGTGGCCCAATCGAGGCCAACGTAAGCCAAGACACGGCCAATATGTGCCCAACATGCCCAACGTAAGGCACAGATCGCGGGTAGTCAGCCAAGACACGCACCCAACATGCCCAACAAAAGCCAACATTACGCGCCTGGTTTAGCGCCCACGACGGCCCTCCCAGAAGGCCTTATATAAGTAGTGCCCAACATGCCTAAGATGGGCCAACATAATGCTGGTAGACCGGGCACGGTGCCTGGGAATGTAACCCTCTCCGCCCGCGATGCGCCTCCATCTAGCCCAACTGGAGCCAACATGGGCCGAATACGCGCCCAACATGCCCCATGCGAGGCAACCTATGGCGCTTGTAGACGGGGCGCGGTGCCTAGAAATGCAACCCTCTTGCCCCACGACGGCCCACCCATGTGGCCCAGTCCTTGTAGACGGGGCGCGGTGCCTAGAACGGCCCGCCCATGTGCTCCAATCAATATGCGCCCAACATGCCCAACAAGGGAAAGAGCGCGGGTAGTAAGCCAAGACACGCACCCAACATGCCCAACAAAAGCCAACATTACGCGCCTGGTTTAGCGCCCACGACGGCCCTCCCAGAAGGCCTTATATAAGTAGTGCCCAACATGCCCAAGATGGGCCAACATAATGCTGGTAGACCGGGCGCGGTGCCTAGAAATGTAACCCTCTCGGCCCGCGATGCGGCTCCATCTAGCCCAACTGGAGACACACACGAGATCCAGACAAGAGATCTTGGTAAATCTGATGGTTCAAGGATAGATCTCGTTCGTCTCCGGCGCTGTATCGCAAACCGTAAATTTTCCCAAGATCGCACGCATCTCCGGCTAAGATTCTGAGACCTGGGCGTTTAAGACACAGCATCCTTCGCTGCCATGGACCCCCTGCGGCTCTCCCGATCTTTGGCATCTGCCAGGACGATCAGCCCCATCTTCATGCAAACTGCAAGGAGATGATGCTGCCGCGGTGTTCCACGCTGCGGCCCCCGCTTTGGGGGTGTCTTTGCCCAGGCAAGTGAAATGCGTCAGCTGCGAGACCTCAGTTTGCACGCGTCTTAGAAAAGGAAACTTGTTCTAGCACGTCAAGGATACGCCCACAGGTGGAAAGCTTTCAAGAAAGGATTAATAACACGTCTTCCCTGCTGAAACATGGGAGGGTACATGCAGCAGATGTCGGCAGTACATCTCTGTTAAAAACACGTGTTCAAAATGCCGATCTAAGTACCATGACGTCACAAACGTTTATCAGAGCAATTCGTTTCCCGCTTGTGACATGAAGCCTGGGGCGGAACTTGTAGGTCATGCAGCAAAGTGCTTCCAGCTCCGGCACATAGACAGAGGTTGCAGAATGCAACCGGTGGATGCAGCGTGGGCAACAAAGCAACACATCCTGCGCATTGAACAGGTAGCTGTGGTCACACAGCGTATGTGACACAAGGAAATGGAGCCATATGTCTCATGATTGCTGCAAAGGGCTAAACACTTGAAACAACATGGTCTAAAAATTTGTATTGGGGCTTTCCTACACTACAGGATTCCTTCTGCACGGTAGTCGGCCACGTCACAGCGCTGCACCGTCAGGTGCTGCCGATTGAGCCCTAGCTCGCGACAGACACTGCAAAGGTGAGGGTGCCTGCACACAGCGCGAACATTCCACACATCAAATTGCTGCGTGGCACTCCACGCAGGCACCAGAACCGCGAAGGTCCTTTCTGGAACCATTTATATTGCACCACTCCTCGGCGCCACCAGGAATCGACACACAATGTCGCGTGAATGGAATCAGAACTTCATGCTTGTGATTATGTGCTAAAACTGTTTGGAAGATGTACTGTAACGTCACAGCAACCCGCGCGCTAGAAATTAACAACCATGGGTACACAAGAACGTCGGTTGGCAGCCACGGCTTTTGTTTTCATTTGCCAACAAGCAACTTCCCAGTTCCGCACCAGGTCATCCGTACGCAGACTGGTCAAAGCACGACCGTGCGGACAGTTCGGACACTTCGGCCCACCGCTACCAACCATTTTTGGCAGGCGAAATGCTGAAAAACGGCTTCCAAGATTTTGCTTACATGTTGGTAACGATCGATTTGAAAATTGTTTTACGACTCACAGCTGAACAGAACCCTGTCCAAAATTGCAAAGAAGAACAAGCAGCACCACTAACCCACGAAGGCCTACCCATTGACATCATCTCGCCCAACATACTCTGTATAAATGA